AAAAAATGCGCCGGAAAGAAGTTCTTCAGGGCTAATACCACCTCTCTTACTATAAAAGGACCATAAAAGTTAATCAAGCCTCCATCTTACTCGGTTACTGAAATGGAAAGGATAGCTATTTGTCATTTCATCGTAATCTTATTTTTTTACTTTGATTTCTGCTTCTTTCTCCTCACTTTTGGTTTTTGGAAAGGAAAGCAATAGGCTGGCGTAATGGGGGCTCGGTGGGGTGGGGTACTGTAGTTAGGGCGCAGGGGCGCGCGATAGCTTTTCATCAGCAAGGGGCCTTTGTAAGATTCACCGCCCGTCGTTTTAGCAAGCAGTGGACAATTACCATAGATTATGGTGGAATCTGGTGTGGGATCCGAGATTCATATTTGGGTAAGCGAGTTCTAAGCGAGTTATGACTCAAAGAAGAAAAATAACAAAAAAATCGCGAAAATTGTTTTGCTTGTAAAAAATGAAATAGACCTCGGAAAATTCTAAGACTTTGCTATTACCTTTCTAAAAATTTATACTATTTTTGGGCCAAAAATCAGAATTTTCTCACCACCCGTTCAAGAACGCACAATTTTCGGTCGTAACCAGCGTCCATAGTACAGTTTCGTACTCCAAAAGCGAAAAAATCACATTGTGTTATCTCTTCATGCCCAGCATATTTAAGCATTCTGGCATGGTAACGTACCTTCGATTCTCAAAGACAAGCGAGAAATTTTGGTGCAAACTTCGTTTTTTTTTGGACGCACCCTGTAGGCTGGTCTAAATAGCGTGAAATTGTTTTTTGTCCTGAATATCAAGGAATACCTGAATCAAGTCGTGAACATCCTAAATTTATGTGAAATCTCGCTCGGCCTCTTTTTTAGGAATCAATTAGCATACACCGGAAGCGGGGAGAGCCTATATAAAGGGTGGAGGGCAAGCGCTTTTCAGTTTTTACAAGGGTTGAAAAGCCGCTTCGCGACTTTTCAACCCTCGCCCCGTCTGATCCCATGATATTCTACCCTTTGCATAATTCACGCGTTTTCGAGACGAAAAATGAGAAACGCGTCCTCTCTTCTCTTATACAGGGTGGGCAAAAAAAAAGCCCACAGTTTGGGTCGAAATAACTCGCGAACGGTAGAGAATCGAAGGTACGTTACCATGCCAGAATGCTTAAATATGCTGGGCATGAAGATTTAACACAACTTAATTTTTTCGATTTTTGGCGACGTATCAATACAAATGACACCCGAAAACTGTGCGTTCGGGGAAACTTCATTTGCTTTTTTCTCAGTTTCCCGTGGTGGCTGGCATCTAATTTTTATTATGTAAGTTAATATAAGCAGTAGATATGTACTTACAAAATTTCAGAATTTTTGCGGGTCTGGTTGAAAAGTTAGAGAGGAATGAAATTTTGTATGGAGAAATTTCGTAAATTTTTAATATTAAAAAAACCTATGGCGAAAACCTCAAAAACAATTGTTGTGGAATATCTACGAGCCCGTTACAATCGCATAAAAATCTTAAAAAAATTGTGGAGATCGATGAATTTTCGAGTTTTTCAACGACCCCCTGGTCATGGATTTTTCTAGGTCACGAAACCGAACTTTAGGAAAATATTTTTAAATTGCCAAAGGGGACTCAGCTATTTTCTTTGCTTAGCTATGTAGAACTAGGGTTGATCTATCATCCACAAAATTTCGAGCTACCGTACCCCTTTGGAAGGGCGCCTTTTAGGGCTTCCAAAACGGTTGGTTCGCGCTTTTTTCCGAATCTTGTCACCATTTTATAAAATTTAGTCGCGCTGTGAAAATTATCGTTTTGTTTTTATCGGATACCAGTTGAATAGCGCATCCTAAAGCCTTATTCATGAATTTTTTTTAACCAGCCCTTGGCGCCAGGAAAATTCATCAAAAACCGAAATAAACCTAATTGGAGGTCGCGTCAAAAAATTTTGGAAGGTGGAGTCGTAGGGATATTTTGAGCAATAAGTCTGTGCCATCAGTTGAATAAAACTATGCAAAGACTAATACAATTTTCCGTCGAAAAATTTTTAAAAAGAATTTTAAACTTCGATTTTGGAATAGCGTGATCTTCGATTTTGAGCTGAAAGTCACCATGATCATGAATCAGATTGCCCCCAAATTTGACGAGCGTAGATAATAACATCAAAGCTATAATCGTATCCATAAGACCCAGCTGACTTTTTTATTTTTAAAAATTCGAAAAATGACCCCGGCTACTCGGACCAAAAATCGGCTCTCTGGCCTATTTTGCACTTGGCCTCGTAACTTTGTTATTTACCACCCAAAATCAGTAATTTTTAACAGGTTATCTTACAATCAACTCTAGAAGGCCCTCGAACAGAAAAATCGTCACTTTATGGAATTTTGTGATGGCATGCTAAAACGCGCTCCACGTGGGTTACTGTAGAAAACTGAAATTTGCGATTTTCGTGGTGTTTTTGCCATGGAATCGCTTCGATCTTTTCGGAAAACCAATAGTAGCAGTTTTTGGACCAATTGACCAAAAAATTTACAAAATTCTGCCGCAGAATTAAAAATCAGTTTTTAGTCTTTTTCATGAAAGTTTGTGGATAGTACGCTCTCGTATTTGGCAGTAAGGTGCCCCTACTTATTGCCTAACAACCCAGAAAATTTCAGCCGGATCGAAGCTAGGGGCCCCGAGAAAAGCGGGAAAAACGAAACCTACAGTACCCCGCTGGGGCACGTTTTAGCAAGCAATACAAAAATACCATAGATTGTGGTGGAATTTGGTGTGGAATCTGAGATTAATATTTGGATAGGTCATTGACAAAATATCAGCCATAGGCAGCGAGTTATAAGCGAGTTATCACTCAAAGAACAAAAATAACGCAAAATCGCGAAAATTGTTTTGCTTTTAAAAAATGAAATTGACCTCGATAAATTCTAAGATTTTGCCATTACATTTCTACAAATTTATACTATTTTTAGGCCAAAAATCAGAATTTTCCCGCCTCCCGTTCAAGAACGCACAATTTTCGGTCGTAACCAGCGTCAATAGTACAGTTTCGTACTCAAAAATCGAAAAAATCAAGTTGTGTTAAATCTTCATGCCCAGCATATTTAAGCATTCTGGTATGGTAACGTACCTTCGATTCTCTACCGTTCGCGAGTTATTTCGGCCCAAACTGTGGGCTTTTTTTTTGCCCACCCTGTATAGGCTACCGCCACTTCCGGCGTATGCTAATTTTTTCCTAACAAAGAGGGTTCGCGATTTTTCAACAAAAAACTTAATTTTAACATCGAAAACACCGATTTTTTTTCAAAATTTTATGCGTGTGCAGTCATCCCAAGGCCATTACGCACCTAATGACGTATAAAACATACCCCTAACTGCCCCCCTTCATGAGATACGACTGGAACACGCGGAACACACAGCATGCAAAGTGGCACACACACACACACAGACACTATTTTTTTATACAGTGCGTATCAAAAAGATAGAGCCACTTGGTTTTTGACCTTTATCTTCGCGCAGATGTATTTTCATGCCTAGCTAAGCATACACATCGTGTAGCCCTTGAAAAGACGCATCTTTCTGTGTAACCAAAATCTTTCTATATTGGATATTGAGCTTTTGATGATGAAAACAAGTAAATAGAGCCAAAAACACAAGTATCAAAAAGATAGAGCCACCATTTGCATCCACTTTACATGCGCTTTGAGCTTGCAAATTGCATGGTAATTGTCGTGTAAATCGTTCTTTTCATTGGGTTCTGTTCTATTTCGCGGGGGGAATATGCTTCGCGGAAACTTCCATCTTTGCGCTATTTTCGGTTCGATAGAGCGTCAAAAAAGATACTCATGGTTTTTGTTTTAGCCAAAAATATCCTACTATATATAAAAAAATAGTGTTTGTGTGTTTGTGTGTGTGTGTGTGTGTGTGTGTGTGTGTGTGTCTGTGCCACTTTGCATGCAACTTCCGTCATTCTGTCCGGAGGATATCTCAAGAGTGGAAGGGTATTAGGCTACGTACGATACGTCATTAGGTGCGTAATGGCCCTGAGATGACTGCACGCAGATCATATTTATCAAAATTGCCTATTTTCGACATTAAATTAAGTTTTTGTTGGAAAATCGGCGATCCTCTTTGTTAGGAAAAAATTAGCGTGCGCCGGAATTTCCGGTAGCCTATATAATGGGCTAGCGAGCGCGGTTTTCATTTTTGTCATCGTAAATTCAAGAATTATGCAAAGTGAAGTGTATCATGCGATGAGGTTTTTTTCGCATTGCGATCAGACGGTGCCAGGGTTGAAAAGTCGCGAAGCGGCTTTTCAACCCTGGTTGTAATTTAAAAAAGTTATAGCAAAACAAAAAAAAACTATTGTAACTGGTGCCAGAATGTTAGTTTTCGGCATCTTCACCAGGTTTTCGATATTTTGAAACCGTTATTCGATAGAGCATCCAAAAATAAACTAAGAGTTTTAATTTCATCTAAAAAATGTTTTATAAAATAGTAACAAAACAACAAAACAAACAAAACGAAGAAAGTTCCCCCCGCACAGTTTTTTCCCCCCACGCGAAATAGAACAGTACCAAGTGATGAAAAGCCGGAATTTAAACGTCAATTTCGTAAATAAAAAAATTTCTCCGGGTGGAAAAAGCGCCCTCACCATTTTTGCCAAACATTTCGAGGTCGAAATCCGTCTAAATCCTAGTGAAATCGGCAAAATAAAAATTTAGTTGTAACCTATTTATTTTTTATAATATTTTGCTTTGCAAATTTGGCTGCACAGGATTTTTATGAGTCCCCGTCGGTGGTAAAAATAAAGAAGACGGTCAAATGCCGATGGGGGTCGAGGGGGGGGGGGGTTGGGACAGTTTTACAGTGCGAACTTGGAGAACTTGGACCACCCTGTATGCAAAAATTCTCGACCAGGGGAGTCACTAGCGAAAATTAGCGGCTGGCTTGGCTGACTATCAGCTGACAATCATTCCATCATTACCGCCATTTCTGCCTGGAATCCAGTATTTTAGTGACCTGCATCTGGGAAACGTACTGATCGCCAAAACGTCCGAAACTCTACAAGTCTTTCAAGTCGCCGGACACGACTTTGCGGTCAACACTCACGGGATCCGCGCCGTATTAATAGATTTCACTTTGTCAAGGCTCGAGCACCAAGGTATATTCTTAATAGATCGCCAATCAAGTGAAGTGGCGCAAAAATCTTAATACTGCTGAGATTAAACAACTATTTTCAGGAGAAATCTTCTACACGGACCTCGAGGCGGATCCAGAATTATTTGAAGGCAACATGGCCCCGCAAGCAAGTGTGTATATAGCCAGCCGAGAAGTGGTCCGGTTTGTGTTCACATTCTGCTTAAATTTTCTTGTAGGCGTAATTGGGCAAATTTCGCGCCGCAGACCAACTACATGTGGCTCGTGTCCTTGGCAAAAAATCTGCTGGAAAAGATTGACAAGGTAAGTCAGTTTTTGTCGGGATCTGCATTGCGCTAACTTGGCGCAGGGTTCTCGAAACGGCTCCCCGAACTTGGCGGCGATCACTTTTGCGGCGCGCACATTGCGGCCGAATTTTGCGGTGCAACAGATATTAATCTAAACCAGGGTTGAAAAGCCGCTTGGCGGCTTTTCAACCCTGGCCCCGTCTAACCCCATTTTATCCTTCACTTTTCATAATTATCCTGAATTCATATGACAAAAAAATGAAAAACCACCCCTTCTCCCCCTTTATATAAACGACCCCCACTTCCGGTCTATGCTAATTAATTGCTAACAAAGAGGGTTTTACAAAAACTTCATTTAATATCGAAAAGGGGCAGGGTTGGTCACAAAGGATCCGGTCCGCGGACGGTCCGCGGTCCGGTCCGGTCCGGATCGGTCCGAGTGGATCCGAGAATTTCGGACCGGACCGGACCGGTCCGGTCCGGTCTGAACCCAGAGGACATGATTCAGGAGCTAGATATGGAAAATTTTGTATGCAAAATACTACTCTCCCAGAATTTTACATTGTTTTCCACATCTAGGCTACGATCCGTCGCTTTGTATAGCCAAAAATTAAGGGGGAATGAATAATTTTATACATTTTGATTAAGCGAATTCCACATTGCGTCATTCTTTCGTACGCCACTCTTTTGCAATCCGAATTTGCATGTTGCATTTCCGTTTCTCCTAGCAAATCAAAACCCCTCGGCCCGCCACGGAGCGGACAGGTCCGGTCCGGCCCGGTCCGGTCCGGTCCGGATGGAAATTTCGGACCGGACCGGACCGGATCCGATTGGGGTCCAGTGTGACCAACCCTGAAAAGGGGTAATTTTTAAAAAAAACCCGTTTGGTATGCAGTCATCGCAAGGCCATTACGCACCTAATGACATATCGTACTTACCACTAACTCCTTCCCCTATGGAGATACTACTGGAACAACGATACGGAAGTGGATGCAAAGTGGCACAGACACACATACACTACTTTTTTATATATAGTAGGATCATTTAAATTCAGAATTTGATTTGGGTTTAAAATCAGATTTCAGAGGAATTTGTGTAATTCAGAATCATAATCACCGCCAGTTTTGTTTTGTAATGGTTGGATAAAATACAAATACAATACAATACGAATTAATTTCAACCTTACCCAATGCCGAGACTTGCCAGACCTCTTGAGGGTGTCAGGCAAAGTAGGCCGTCGCTTCGGATGGGCTGCCGCTCCACACTTTCGAAATCGCGGCGCCTGGGCGCTTCGCGCTCCTCGGGCGCCCCGATTTCGAAACCCTATACGAGCTCGCACCCATCCGAAGCGACTAGGCCCCGGGTGGCACGAACCCTTTTTCGAGTCGCAGAGCGAAAGAAGTAGCGATTACTTTCCCCCAAATCGAGGGCCTCCTGTAGCAAAACAGTCTTCTAAGGTTTCTATGACGAAATACTCGGTTGCGGGCCCATTTGTCACCTATCGACGTCGCGCGCGTCTCGTGCACGATTCGCGCGCGACTCGTGCACGACATGACCGCGAGGCGCGCACGAGGCTGTGTCGCGGCAAGGTCGCGAGTCCGTACCGTCTCGCGCGCGTCTCTTGCACGACTCACGCGCGACAATCGCGACTTGGTTGCCCCGTGTACACCCTGTTGTTGGAAAACCCTGGACATGGCGTCACAAAGCCCCCCGGGGGGTGGGGGCTTTTTTTGCGAGGGTTTTTCCCTAAAAACTGCCCCTCAGCATGGGCCGTCTCTTATTCGAAACTGTTCTAGAAAGCTCATCCGGCCGCGGCAAACCTCCTCAGCTTCTTCCGCAGAAAGACCACTGGCGCACCCACCACGCTGGAAGGCCTGCTTGCACATCCCGTGTGGGCAGCTTTTTGTGCAATTTAAAAGGAATGGGATGGACGTCGTTGAGAAATTACGGAGAATTTTTGTTGTTGTTAATTTTTATTGTTATAGTTGTTCCATTGTTTATGTTTTACTTGTTGAGTTTCGAATAAAGTTTCACGGCATACATGGCATTTCTCATCCAAAAGATCGTTTGGGCGATGTATTTTTACAGAAATTCAAACTCACGTCTCCGGTAGAATGCTTTTGAGTTTTTAAATCGTAGGAATATTGTTTTAGTTATAGAATAAATTTTTTTGGCACTAATGTTAGGGTGGCAGATGGGGTTGGGTGTTGTTAGGAGATTATTTTGGCACCATTAATGGGCTAATATTTGGAGAAAAAGCCCAAAATAGGCAATAATGATACGGCGGTAACTCCATGGAGAAGTAACGGATCGGGATGATTGATATAGCGATAGAAAGCCCAGAGTAGGGAGAATACAGGGCGAGGTAAAGCAGAAAACCCGTATTGCTAAAGCACTTTATTCCGGTTACTAACGGTATCTTAGCGCGGCAGAGGGCTTGCCTGATCACGGCACCCTCGACAAGAATAAAGAGTGAGGAGAAATAGACCTCCACCCAAAATCGACCGAGTCCGGAAAGCGCATAAGGCCCTTTAGAGTTTTTTCGCAAAAAATTTCGAAAAAAAACTGTGCCAAGCCTTGTTCGGGTGACTCGCAAACGGCCTTTTAAACGCTATTTATTTTTATAATATAGACAGTTTTTTCAAAAAATTTTTGCCTGCGGCGCCTTTTTCTTCGCTCTTTAACACCATTTTTTTTATCCTATAGGCACCGTTTTTCAAAAATTTCAGCCTGCGGCGCTGTTTTTTCAGTAAATTTATCGCAATTTTCGCTAAGTTTGCTGCCTGGGGCGCTCTCAGGACGCCCCAGGCGAGCCGCCCCCCCCCGCCCCGCAATCGCCCGAAAAGTTCATAAGGGGACCCTTATGATCTTTTTCCGGAAAATTTTTCTGCCTGCGGCGCTTTTTATAGCTGTTCGCAAGTGGGTTTTTGGTGTTAGAAACCCCATTTTTGAAAATTTTTTGCCTGCGGCGCTCATTTTTTCATTCATTGAATCGCAATTTCGGTTCAAAAGTGCATTTTTGCCGCGATTTGGCTCAATCCCAGGGTGTTTCTTAACCAATTTTGCTTTTTACTTCTCCGCCATTTTACAAAAGCGTCGACCGGGGGGGAGGTCGTCAAAAATTTTTTCGGTCCTGCCCCCCCCCCCGAATTTTCGGCCCAGGTACGGCCCTGGAGCTAGGCATTAAAACCAAAGGTGCTAGTGCAAGGTTCTTGGCTTCGGAATGAGCTTGAGCTTTAGCGAGCCGGAGTCTAGGCTCCAAAGCACATCATAGCACACTTGGGCCGGAAACTACTGTATTTCGGGATGTGGGTGCCGAAGAGTTTTTCAGGTTTTTGAGACGCATCCGAAATTTTCACACGCAGCGCAACCGCGACGCGTTGACCGATCAAAAATTCCTTTTTTCTAGCTGATATAACGGCTCGGTCTAAACGATGATTTAAATCGTTTAAATGAGGTTTTTCGTGCTTATCTCCACTTTTAAAAATTTTTGTCTATTATGCCGTGTTTTTGACCTTTGTTGTTTATAGCTAAACAACCAGGCTATCTTATGCAACTTAAGATTTTCACCTTGTTACTGTGATTCTGAAGCTGTCAATATTTTGAGGAGGAACAAAATTTGATGAATATTTATTCAGATTTGGCGACTCTGTGTTTTCGACGCGTTGGTGTATGTGAAATAGTACGACCCGCTGGGTACTGGGTAGCTAGTAGGGGAGATAGGACGACTAAAGAGGCTAGGAAACGCGAAAATCGACTTCTGCCATTCACTAGGTCTCAACAGCTACGCGGCTACACAAGTTACGCAGCGGCAAAAACGGGATAGTTTGCACTTAGGTTCTTGGTGTACCGTAGCGCTCGTAGAGATAATCAAAAGGCGAAAAACCATCCGGCTTTGGCGCTTTACGTAGCTGTCGAGACCTATGCGGCGGAGAGGTAGATTTTAGCGCTTCCGATCGATTTTATAAGTGTTTTTAGGGGCAAAAGTTTGGCTTTTGAATGCTGGTTTCTTCAGTTCATTCGATTGCGAGTGTTCCATAGAGTGCATTATGGTGTGCAAAAGCGTAGTGCCACGGAATATATATAAAACGAATTAAATATTCTATGCATACGGTTATATCACATCTGGGAGTGTGGGGGGAGGGAAGGGGGGTGTGCCTAACCAAAGGAAGGGAAACGTAGCGAAAAAATATCGAAAAATAAGCTGTAAACAATTTCCGGGCGGTTTTTTGTAGTGCAAAAACCGCCCGACACGTTGTATGAGCAATCGAGGATGAGGATGGCGGACCCTTAGGCTTAGGCTTAGGCTTAGGCTTGGGCTTAGGCTTAGGCTTAGGCTTAGGCTCTGGCGTGGAATTAGGATTATCATAAGAATAAAAAAATTCAGAATATCGAAAAGAAGGAAATTCTAGATCATCAAAATGTCGACAAATCGAAATTTCGACATAAAAATGCCGATAACGTAAATTTCGGAATTCTACTTTTTGACACCTTCGCTTTCAAACCTTCGGGTCCACCATGGCAACAACATGGGAAAAACGAATGATTTAGAAAATCCAGAATTTTGGCAAAATACCGACTAAATTCCTTAATGGCCATAAAGTTTTTCTAGTCGCTGGCAAGCGTCCATTTTTAGGTTTTGAGCCCGTCGTAATAGGTCGATGTCTTGGTAGATGCGAGCCCGATAGATCATCGTTTCTTCTGAAAAAAACCCCGATAAAATATCTCATCACCCTCTCTCTCCCTCTCCTTCTCTCTCGCTCTCTCTCTCTCTCTTCCTCTGTCTCTCTCTCTCTCTTTCACTCCCCCTCTCTCAGCATAAAAACCCACTTTGATTATTCTCCTTGTAGCACTGCATCCGGAGTTGTTGTACGTACTCATCTTCCACTTGGTTCTCTATCCGTTTCAACTGGCCCTTATAGTTTTGCAAAAAGTCGGGCTTGACGAAATAGGGCACCTTCAGCTCGGTTGTTTCTCGGCGGACAGTGTATTTACTAAAAGAGAATTTTAACTGCTTTCTTTAGTTGCTTTCTGTCTCTCTCTCTCTCTCTCTCTCTCTCTCTCTCTCTCTCTCTCTCTCTCTTTCTCTCGTTCTTTGTCTCTGTCTCTCTCGCTCTCTCTTTCTCTCGCTCTCTCTCCCACTCTCTCGCTCTGTCGCTCCCTGTCTCTCTCACCTATTCTGATGTAATGAAAATGTGGGATCAGAAACGAGGAATTGAGCGATAAGGCCGAGCACGAGCATCGCGATCAGCGGGAATAACTGTAGGAATGGGGTATAGGGCGAGTCCTCCCGACCCTCATGGTGATGTTGTCTCGGGACTGGCCCTCTTCTCCTGGAAGTAGATGTTTTAAAGGGATGGTGAAAGCCAGCAGGCGCTTTAAAGCGGTTGCTCCTGCGGCGAAACCGACAAAAAATGGATTGAACCTTTTGGATTTCTTGGTAGCTGTTCCTACCCCTTTAAACTCCAAATTATATCAACCGTACCTCTGAAATCCGCCATCACCCGGAAATCCACCCCCGAAGAACATGTTGAAGATCTCTTCTGGCGTCATTTCAGCTAAATTTTTATTTAACTACAAAAGAAGAAACGCTTACATTCGAATCCTCGGTTGTAGTCGTACTCAAAATAGTCGCCCTGGTTGCGACGTCTTCTAAAAATCGGATTAAGATATGGCAAAGTCTCGAGCTAGCTTACGTGGAAGGTGAAGCGCTACCATACATATCATACTGTTGACGCTTCTCTCGGTTTGAGAGTACGGCGTAGGCGTTGCCGAGGGCTAGAAAAGGGTATATTAAATGGTAGATCAAAAGCCTAATCCTAAGCCCAAGCCTAAGCCTAAGTTTAAGCAAAGCCTAAGTCTACGCCTAAGCCCAAGTCAAAGCCTATGCCTAAGCCTAAGCCTGAGCATAATCCTAAGCTCAGGCCGAAGCCTAACCAAAATCCGTACCTTTAAAAGCCTCCGTAGCGTGCGGCGCCCTGCATTTATCAGGATGCAGTTGCAGTGCCAATTTCCGGTACTCCTTTTTGATATCGTCATCCGAGGCGGTCTTCTGGACGTTCAGGATCTCGTAGTAGTCCTTGCCCTTCCGGATCCGGGCCACCAAGTCGACTTGCTTTTGGGTGAAGTCGACACCCAGACGAGGGGCACTTCTCGAGCGAGACTTGGCTCTTGCAGCTGCCGCGCTGCCGTTCGCATTTAGGTTCTGGCTGGAGGGGACTGAAAAACGTGATTAGATTTTGCTATTTTTACGACTTCGAAAGCTGCAGTTTTCAGCTTTTGTTGTATTACGGCAGAGGCGAATCATATTTGGAAGCTTGACTTCAAAATCGTCATTTGTTGAGGCCTTTCCAGCGTAGTTTGTTGTAATCCGGAATTAGCGTATCTTTTTACACCCACCATGCATGCTATGCCGAGCGTGTCGACTGCGCAACCCGTCTGATTCTTCGTAGTGATCGTCGTGAGCGTAGGATCTGGGAAAAGGGGAGATGAACAGCAGGAGTAACGTATCTTGATTCTAACGCTCTCATTCGCTAGTAATTTTAACTCTTATTCGTTTTTTAGGTTTTTTTTGTAGTCGATTTTGGAGCTATTCTTTCTTGCCTTATGGTAATGCCGTTTAAGGTTTAAGTTTTAATGTTGCCACGCAGTTTCAAAGGGGTTAAAAGTCGTTCTCATCCTATGTGCCTCAAGACTGGAGCTTCGAGAGCCTATATGCAATGTCTCCGCGAGACAATGCAATGTCTCCGCCTTTGTTATATCCTTTCACCCACCTATCATTACTCGGCTCTGATCGGTTGCTGCTCGACGACTGCTGAGCGTGCGTGCCGAGATTCGCAGCCTTTTTTAACAAATCTAAAAATGATCATATTTTTTTCAGAATCTATAATAAAAAATTTTCGCGAGGTTTTTGTTACGACAAATAGCTTACAATTAATATCCTGATCCGGGTTGAGCTTTTTCGCTTTGTTTAGCATACGGGTCGCTTTTTCGGCGTCGCCTTCCTGAAAATGTCATAGTTTAAAGTTGAAGAATTATACTTCAGGCTTTTTCCGGCTTCGCAGACTTTTGAAAAATGCGAGAGCTAGAGAGAGGGAACGAGAAAGAGCACGAAATCTTAAAAATTATAGTATGTTTGGCCGGTTTTCAATGCTTTCCCAGCCTAATTAGCTCAATTTTCCAATAAGTTTCTATTTGCAACATTTTAATTTTTCAGTTACTACCAAATTACATACCTTTAAAGCCTCCCTCGCCCGATCCATACATGTCTGTGCCTCGGCCTTGTTCGCGTCGGCCGCCATCTTCGGTCGACGAGAAGCTGATCGAGAGTTCGGACCGACGGGACCTTTGGTGGATGCATCTAGAGAGGCAGGGGAGACCTCTCTCTGGCTGTCTGCCCTCTTGCCACTTCTGCGCCTGGGACACGTTTTAGGAACCGGAGGATCGGGTGATCCAGGTCCTTCCACTGCATGAAAGATCTGTTGTAAAATCTCAACTACGAGGTGCCAAAAAATCAGAGAAATATGGTTCTTTGACTCTAATGCGATTAGGGGCGATGCGTCATAAATTACTCCAAAACGCGCGCTAAAAAGGCTCGTTTTCTTGAAATTGAACCAGAAAATGGATTCCCTAGGGTGCGAAAAGAGTAGGATCTTAATATGTGGTTAACACAACTTGGTAAAAAAGGGGGATTGATCATTATCTCGAAAATCAACATCTCGAAAATCAACATCTCGAAAATAAACATCTCGAAAGTTCGTTATCTCGAAAGTTCGTTATCTCGAAAGTTCATTATCTCGAAAGTTCATTATCTCGAAAGTTCATTATCTCGAAAGCTAATTATCTCGAAAGTTCATTATATCGAAAGTTAATTATCTCGTATTCGAGTAGAAAGATAATAATACGAGATAATTAACTTTCGAGATAACGAACTTTCGAGATAACGAACTTTCGAGATAACGAACTTTCGAGATAATTAACTTTCGAGATAACGAACTTTCGAGATAATGAACTTTCGAGATAATGAACTTTCGAGATGTTTGTTTTCGAGATATTGATTTTCGAGATGTTGATTTTCGAGATAATGATAGGTAATCGTAAAAAAGCTTTAGTAAAATTTTGCCTTAATTGTATGAAAAATATCACGAACTGAATCGAGTTTTTCACTTACTCAAAAATTATCGCAAATCAAAACAGCCCTTTCCGGGTTTTTTGTACCTAGGGTATATCGAGGTATCTAAGTATCATATTTTTCTATTAAGCGACTTTTGTGCTCTTTTAAAGTCACTAAATCCGGCTTTCTCCCGCTTGCAAGCCGGCACGTTGCCCTGAAAAGAATCGGAAATGAGAGGTGGACAACCGGAGGGCCAACAGTCGGCCCTCAAGCCCCTAGCTTATTCCAAAAATATGCTAAATCACCTTAATTACTGTATATTTGGGCGGCGGAGGAAAACGGTATGTTTTTGATATGTATTTCGGGCCTTTGATCTTCACGAACGCCCTTGGGAGTCTGCAAAAGCATTGATAACAATCTCGACAATAGGAATTTTGACACAACGTGATCAGAATACCGTAGCGTTGCGACATCAAGTTCTAGCAGTTCAGCGCCCAATTTCTTTCAGTTAATTATCATCGCCGCCAGCTGCTTGATCATTCTCCTCTATATTGGAGGCATCATCCAGAGCCAACATAAATTAGAAGCTACAAAGCTTCGAAATCCACGCATAATCCATCATCCTCCACGAGCTCCCGGGATCGTCGTCCGGGTGTTGAACTGGGTACGGTAATCAATCGGCTGCGGAAGCTGGCTTTCGGCAGCTTTAAAACGTCCTAGGAAGTAAGGGGAACTACAACGAAATCTTGAGACAAAAATTTAGTTGCTCTTTTGCATTTTTGACATGTCATGTAGCTGCCAAGACCCAGTCAATACGAGGGGTCGATTTTCGCTTCCTTGCCCCTTTAAAATCCGACAAAATCCCGAACTTTATTAGAATAACACGGAAAGACGACCATCAGGAATTTCTAAACCTCCCGCACCGCTCGATGAGTATATTTTTATGTATGGGGCGTACTACGACTTACGGTACGTAATCTCGGTAGTACGGTAGTTATTGACTCGTTTTTAGCGATCCCGCCGGACCAAGGATTCGATTACTCGCCATTATGGACACCAAAATAATCACAATGGCCCAAATACTGCTACGCCTCGATACGCAGGTGCTACGGATTGCTGAAATTAATGTGTTGGCTGGTAAATTGCTTGATTTCTTGGTTTTACCTCACCTTGTAGATGAAGCTGCTCACGCATTTTATTTCGGTTGCAAGTACCAGGAGGTAGATATCGTCTCGGAGGTTTATAATGGGCATCTTCCAAATATTGTAAGTACCGTTAATTCAGAGTATTTTTCTAACCTTGATAGATCTCCATCCACTTCAATCAGGTTAGCCAGACGATTCCACTACAACCACTAGCTACAAACTACGACTCGGGGTTGACGGTGTGCCAGAAGCCGTTGCATTGGTGAGAAGAGAGAGAGAGAGAGAGAGAGAGAGAGAGAGAGAGAGACAGAGACAGCGTGCGAGAGAAAGATCGAAGAACCGAAAGTCTAGGTACCACAACTGGCCACAATTATTCCTGTTCTTTGAATCATGGCGTCGCTATGGTACATCAAAATTTCTTCTGAGCCTACACTCCGTATCGATCCCGACGATGAAGTTAATAGAATATTATAAACGACTGGTCAGTTTTGGAAAATGGTTTACATTTTCGCGAAACCAGTTTAATCGAGCTTTTCTAGGAATTGGTAGATTTCCAATGGATTTCCCAGATGCCAATGGTTGGAGGGGTAACTTTAAATTCATTACGATTTTTTATTACTAGCAATTTTAATAGATTTAGTACAACAAATGCAATTGACTCCACTTTCTATTTGAACTCCAGCTAATCCAAATCCGTTTTTAGACGGACCCCAACAACGCGCTCGACTGGCAAGGAGAACACCTTTTCGAGCAACTCTGCTCGTATAGATCAACTACAAAATACACTGCTATCGCCGACGTCGATGAATTTCTGGCGATCAGCAACGGGACTGATATCGTCAAGTTATTGGAGGCCCTGGCTTTCAAGGAAGAGCATCCCAGTATTTTTATGCAGTGGTAAGAAAGTGTTTTTAGGCTCATTCCGTTTCGAAACTGTGCCCATCACTCTTCCGGAGAAGATCTTGTCCGGACAGTCAATTCTGAACCTGACGTCGCTAGAAGATGTGAAAGTCAGAGATGCTAGCAAAGAAGAAAGGGTGAGATAAAACTTTCATAAGGTAACATCAAGAAGTGATTTTTAGTGCATCTACCGCACGGAGCAAACTCGGTTAGTAGGGTGCCGGAAAGGGGGTCAAGCTGCACGTGCCGGATTCGCAAATTTTGCGGACTTTACAGTATATCGCAAGAAACGCTCTCATCATAGCTTCTTTTTAGGTTCCGGGAAATGCAGCAAAATATTTACACGCTAAGAAAAATGCCAGATTGAACTCCTTGACAACGCCGGCGGGAGATAAAATGAAGCTTTTCGAGGAGGTGAGAGAGAGAGAGAGAGAGAGAGAGAGAGAGCGAGAGAGAGAGAGTGAGAGAGAGGCAAAGAAAGAGCGGGAGAGAGAGAGAGGAAGAAAAAGCGAGAGAGAGAGAGAGACAAATTAACGAAACGAGAAAACTAACATGAAGCAAAAAAAATTTCAGGAGCACCTAGAAACGATGCAGAAGACGCTATTCGAAATTTTCGATGGCAAGATTCCGGACTACGAACCGGAAGCGATCGACAAAGCTTTTCAGGGCTGTAAGAACATGTAAGAAACACGACCCATTTTTAAAGGGGCTGAAAAGCTCGCGAATTTTCTGTGTATTTGTCTAGACCTACAGGGTGGCTGAAAAGTTCCCGCAATTTCTTGATACTGTTAAATGGACTGGTAATTCCTAAAATTCTCATGAGGTAAAAAACTTATGGTAATTAATAATTTAATTAAGACGTAAAGAACAAATTGCGAAACAAAAATCCACAATAAATCTTCACAGCTTCTCCCAGACGCTTCGATACAAATGCGCATATACCTTGAAAAGTTGTCTCCCATGGTCGCGCCCTCTGTCACAATAACCGAGGTCTAGCACTTTCCAGGGCTGTTTTAAGGGGATTCACTGTAGTGGACCGTTTTTCTGAGCTCTTTTGCTACAAAATGGTCAAAACCGAAAGATCAAAAAAATTGAATCGACTGAGTTGGAGGCCCAAACATCAAAGCCGCAAAAACCCGATTGCAACTTTTCCCAGAGGGTGATAGTTGAACGGGCCGGAAAACCTGGTGTTTAGTCTTGCTTAAGCGTGAAAACGTTTTAACTAAACGATTGCTTAATTCATGGCTCTGAAACGATCCTAAGCGCTCGATATTGATGCTCGTTGACTTCGATTTTTACATTTTTTTGAACGAAAACGGTTTAAGGGTTGCTGGGGCTCTAGATTCCTACTCAAATCATCAAAGTTCTCGGAAAACGGGAATGATAGACCAAGACTCCTCTATTAACCGTTTTTGAAAAGTTTACGATGATTTTGCCCGTTCCGGCTCGATTCTATACTGAAAAAAATGACGCCTCTATGCTCACCGGGAGGGCTCGACCATGACCGGGAATTTCCATGGCTGCCTGCGCGCTTCTATTCAGCTGCTGGTGGAATTCGTGAACATTTCTTGCGGATTTTTGTGTTGTAATCTGTTGATTACATAGTAAATAAAGTTTCTGTTGCCTTACCTAAGCCAAATTTTAGGAATTTTCCGTCTATTGACCTGCTAGAAGAAATTGCGGGAACTTTTCAGCCACCCTGTAGTTTCCGGATGGGTCGATTTTAACACAATCATCTTTTTTAAAATTCATAAGTTTTAGGACCTCCCAACGTCTACTCTGTCCGATGCCAACCGGCAAACATTGCCAAGAAGAAATGCTGAAAGTGGAAGAATGGGTGTTGCCTAGCAACAAGGAAGGAAATGTTTGGACTGTTGTGTAGTGTATAAACTATCTTTATACAACAGATACAGTAGGCAATTGAGAACCGTTTATTTCATGGTGATAGAGGAATTCGGGGGGCCTAATGACGTCTCCACCGCGCTGCCGTTGTTGCCGTGAGATCCGTGTGCACCGGGGGTCAACCCATGGGATACACCTGGAAAAGCGGGAATACCTTAGCATCAGCATAAGCCAAAGTCTACGCAAGAAACAGAAACACAAAATTCTACACAAAACACTATTAAAAATGAGAGAAAAATCCCATACCATAGAGAATTCCATGAATCAGCCGCATCTCGTCGGGCCGGAGGTGATGGAGACTGATCAGATTCTCGTGGTAGATTTCGAAACCCTGAAAAAGCTTCATTTTGAGAGAGCGAGAGAGAGACAGTGAGGTAGAGACCGAAAGAAAGAGACAGTGAGAGAGAAAGAGTGATAGAGCGAGAGGTCGAGAGACAAAACTGTGCGAGAGAAAGAGCGAGAGAGAGAGAGAGAGCGAGAGAGCGAGAGAGAGGGCGCGTGATTGAGATAAAACGAAACTTACCTTATGCTCAACTTTATCGTAGATGAAGCTCCGAGTTAGGTCGCCGTTGAAGTGCTCTTCAGGACGCCACGCCAAGAAGCGCTGACGCCCCAGCTCGTCTCGCGTATCGAGCGGATGGATTTTTTTGGCGGCTAGGCATCTAGAAGTGACTTATCATCAGCAGATTCTAAATGAAATGTCAAATCAAATCAAAACCAATCAAATGAGAACTATACTACATAACTTCAACGAAATTATTAAAAACTAAAAATTTAAAAATCTCCAAAAATTGACCATCTAAAGTGTAATTTGCATAAATCGTACCTCGCAATAGCCAAGTCCTCCCATTCGTGATAGGGACACAATTCTCGAGATGGGAACAGCTCTTCGGCAAAGATCTTCATCGCCGCCCGGCTCAACGCGTAGCCAGACCCGCCCGCGTTGTAGCCATTGTCGGGCTAAATTTGGTGAATAAGCACAAGCCTAGGTCTAACCCAAGCCTAAGCCTAAGCCTAAGCCTAAGCCTAAGCCTAACCTAAGCCTAAGCCTAAGCCTAAGCCTAAGCCTAAGCCTAAGCCTAAGCCTAAGCCTAAGCCTAAGCCTAAGCCTAAGCCTAAGCCTAAGCCTAAGCCTAAGCCTAAGCCTAAGCCTAAGCCTAAGCCTAAGCCTAAGTCTGCCTAACAAGCCTACGCCAGAACCTACGTACCATCCTTCTCCGCAACCGGTACCCAATGTAGTACGGTTGATCGGGGTCGAAATTCTTGAGATACTTCCGCAAATTGTCGACCACCACATATGTGTCGTCGTCACCTTTGAAGTACCTAAAGTCGGAGCTTTTTTTTGGTTTCATTCCCTCATGCTCCCCGGTGGGAGGCACATCGTAAAATACCCACGCGACCTCATTTAGGATCTAAGCGCAGCCGGCTGGGCATAAAAAAGCTGGGCAAAAACTTTGCGTAGATACGATCGGGATCGGGAGTTGCGAACTGTCATTTGTGCCTTGATGCCTCACTCTCTCGCTCTCTCTATCTCTATTTCTCTCGCTCTCCCTCGCTTTCTCTGGCTCGCTCTCTCGCTCAAATTACTACTACCTACCAGTCAAAATCTCTGGATACATATTTGTAAGTGTAGAGGAGGGCGAGTCGAGTTTTCCAGAACAGCTTGAAATAGCTGTCCGGCAAGCCGTTGAAAATTGTGTGGAAAGGAATCTAAAAATTTTCTCTAACTTCTCTCATCTAATTATCTCAACCTCTCTCCGACTCTTTCTCTTTCACTCTCTCGCACTCGCTCTCTCTCCCTCGCTTTCTCTCGCTCTCTCTCACTCCCCATTTGTCTTTCACTCACTTTTTGCGATAATTGATGCCCATTGGTCGTGTAAAAATGACCAGCGTCGCAATTCGGCAGCCAAGTCGTATTTACGGCTTTTACCTAGAATTTGTAAAAGTAACGAGAGAAAGAGAGAGAAAGAGAGAGAGAGAGAGAGAGAGAGAGAGGGAGAGAGGGAGAGAGAACCCATACCCTGGTCCGATGATGCACCGGCGCTGTCATCACCCAGCAGAAGAGAAAACCGCTGTCCGGCTGCCGAGCGGCTTGTTTCGACACGTCAACATATTCCAGCATCTCCTCGTTGTAATTCCTATTTGAGTAGACATAGACTATCAAAATTTACAGATTTCTTAACACTTTTTGTATCATTTTGCTGGATTTTTGCTGGTTTTTCGTAAAAAGGGGTCATCAGTTTAATTACGGGATTTTTCAAGCATTCAAAAAAATTTGATTTTAACGTTGAATTTATAAATTGACAATTTCCTTGATAGATAATTATTGAAAGCTGCTGTAAGTCTCGAAAAACCCACTCAAAACCGCTGTCGTCGATAGGAAAAAAGGAGAATACCTCGATACCCGTTTTGTATTGCACCTAAAATGTATTTTTCGTAAGGTCACTCGAATGCTTTAAGTTTTCCGATACGCTACGAATTACCCACCTTGTAAAGCGTGATAACAAATAGCGAAAAAATTAATAACACGGCCAGGTGGGTGCCCGACCAGCAGCTGTACTGGCTCATGTGGTCGCTGAGACGCCGGAAGTTGTCCTGGAAAACCGCGCGATTGTACGTAAAACACCAGCGTATGCACGGCTACGCACAGTACTGTACGCTAGAGTGTTGAAAAATGGCATTTTTTTATTGTAATTGTACGATACTGTACGCTTAGGCTTAGGCGCAGGCGCAGGCGCAGGCGTACGCAAAGCAAAATAGTACGTCCCACATTGTACGAAAATCTACGCAAATGAAGCCCAAACTTGGCGCTGAAGTACGAAACTGTACGCGGAACACCAGTTTTTGGAAACCTACGCAACTGTGCGGACGCGCGAAATACGGACGCTATAGCAGAAAATACGAAAAATCCAATTTACGGGAGTAGTACGATACAATACGGCACATTACGCCACAGTAAGTTACAGTACGATGACGTACGCCACGTAAAAACGTACCCAGACATACTCCCCGCCGGTCCGGCACACATCCCAGGAATTAAAGCAGCAGGGACTCTGAAAAACTGGCCATAAATCGGGTGCAAATTGGGGCGGGGCGTACCAGACACGAGATCGTGCGCTTCGCCAGCCTTTTCAACCGCAGTTGCAGGTATCCTGGAAATTGGAGTTTGAATTTTAAAGGACCGGAGAAGTGCCAGAATCGGCCCTTGTCTGGAGTAGGTCTGGACTCTTTAAAGGAGCAAGGAAGACACTCAACAAATAGAAGCGTGTAGAGGGCTAGATCTGGACGGGTTTAAAGGAACTTGGAAGCTAAAAAACGATCCTGATTGGCTAGGTCTAGACGTTTTTAAAGGGGTTCGAAAGCGTAAGTTTCGACCCCTCCTTTAGACTAGGTCTAGAAAATTCGGTCCCAGGCGGAAACTGGATTTCGCCGGTTTTAAAGGGGTTGGCAAGCGCGAGTTTCCACCCCTGACGCAAACTCCGTCCAGGCAATTTCTAAGGGGTTAGAAAGCAGGGATTTCGACCCCTGACGTGGACTAGGTCTAGACCATTTTAAAAGGTGTTGGAAAGCCTAGGTATCAACCCGGTCGGAAACTAGGTTTCGACAATTTTCATAGAATAGCAGCGATTTTTCCGAAATCGTTTTTTCCGAGAGCAAATTTTTCATCGGCCACCCTTGCCACGAGGCGGTGCAAAAACGGCATTTCCTGGACCGCATCCGCATAGAACTTGCGTTTAGATCCGACAAAATCGCACGAGGAAACACCAAGGTCGCCACACGGGGAAGGGTCGAAATTCCAAAGGATTCTGGGGAAGTTGAGGCTCCCACGGGGGTTAAGTTCACGCCGCTTGTATTTAAGCTGTTCGCTGGAGGTTTGGAGTTCAAGTTGAAGCTAACTGGGTATAAACGGCTAGAATAATTCATATTGAAGGCACTTTGAAAAGGTAGAGAAGGTAACCGAAACTGAAAATTACGGCACTTGTATTCTTATCTTTCTTTAGATCCATTATCAATTTGGCGCTCAAGCGTTTTTTCTATTTTGCTACTTTTTGAATCACAAACTAGCCATTTTCTGAAGTTTCGATTTGTGCAAAAACATTCCGAGCCGATGCCGCTAGTCGAGGCACATTCGATAAATTGTGAACGGAGTTCAATTATAATACCGACACCCGAAATCCAGCAAACAAAAAACCGGACTTGCCGAAGTCCCGACAACTAAAATAACAAGAGCCATAATCCCGACAAGCATAATCCATACCGCCAAAATCGCGAAAATGAAAATCCCGACAGCCGAAATCCCGAGAGGCCGAAATGCGGACAGGAAAAATCCCCAGGGATTCTTTTGGTTGTCGGTAATCATTGGCGTCATTTTGACCTTCTGAATTATGCCTTCGGAATACTATTTTCACTTTCGGCATTTCCGCTGTCGGGATTATGGATGTCGGTATAAAGCTGTTTGGAATTTGAATGTCGGGTTTTTTGGTTGCTTTGGTTATTCTTTTTGGTTTTGGTTGGTGTTTTTTGATTTTTGAGGCTTTCCCGCGCCAGATGTCTCACGCAGTGAATCATGCAGCATTATCTTGATTTACGATTTAGGATTTAAAGCTTTCAACAGGTCAAAATGCTGAGGCAAAACGAATCTATTAATACTACTACGTTAATTGGAATCTAGGTAGTACGGTAGAGTGCACAAAATATTTTTTAAAAACCCTAAATCCCAAAAAACGACGCTCAGCTTCACCTTTTCTCTCGTGGAGCATCCGGATCGGGTGTTGGCATTTGGGAGGGCTGGGGGCCCTAGATGATCAGTGTTGTGGGCGTAGCGGGGCGTAGCGCTGCGTAATCTTCCGGAAAATCCTCCAAAATGGAATAGATCGATTCGGGGCTGCCGTCCGGGAGATGCCAGATGATGACGTAGCTCCAGGCTATGGCAGTGGGGAGATCGAGGTGGGGGGTGGGTGGAGTGGCTTGAGGCTCCGCTCCCTGGATTTGGCGCTCCACACAAGATTTCTCCCCTCAGGCCTGTGGAGCCGGAGATGGCTATCGGGCCCGCTGATGTCTCGTCGTCCATCCGCGAGGAGGAGGACGAGGAGGCGCAGGAGCAGGAGCAGAGGAGGATCTACCTCATCCTCTCCTCCTCTTCTTTTCTCCCGTCAAGCCAGTGTCCGTGTGGAGTTTTCGACATAAAGAGGAGCGCGAATTGGCGAAATGCCAAGCGGGCTTCTCGGTATAACTTTGTTTTTCTCTTCCTGTCTCTCTCTCTCTTGCCCATTCTCTCGTGCTCGCTTGCCTTTTTTCTCTATCTTTTCTTGGTCTTTGTCTTTTTTCTCCTCCCCTCCTCTTACTCTCTCACTCTCGCACCTTCTCGAAGTCTAAATCTTCCTCACCCTTCCATTTTCAAGGAATTTCTCTATGTTTCCTTCGCTCTCACTCTCTCTCTCTCTCTCTCTCTCTCTCTCTCTCTCTCTCTAGTTCCCTGTCTCTCTCACCATTTCGGTCTCTAACACCCTATCTCTCTCGCTTTCGTACCCTCTCTCTCTCTCTCTCTGTCTATCTATCTATCTCTCTATCCCTCGCTTTCTACCGCAAGGTTGCTAGACATCATCTGTGGTGCAGTCCGATGCAGATTCGACGAGACGTCTGGATTTTCCTTAGTCACCAACCACCATTCCGCAAGATGTTTGGCACCGTCCAGCGGAGTGTACAAGAACATACGGTCGGCATTTCGGAAAAACCGGATCGCTACCCGATAGCTGCTTGTTTTGCTGTTTTTCTGTGTGGTTTTCTGTCTGGCGGGCGCTGCACTGTTCTGCACGTCTGAAAAATACGTAGGGAGTGGGCTGCAGAATTTTCTTAAGCGAGATTCTACAAAATTTTCCATCCATTTTTTTGGACGTTTTCAGCTTCTAGCTGGGATTCTTGCAAGAGAAAGAGAGAGAGAGAGAAGTAGAGCGAGAGAGAGTGAGTGAGTGAGGCGATAGAGAGAAAGTAAGATCATTACAAAACAATAATTTAAAATTTATTGATAATTCTTAAAGGTCTTTGAGGGTTTTCCTCAACAGCTCGAAAGTGAGGTCGAGGTGCTTCTTCTCGTAGACAAGTGATGGGCGGAATCTAAACCGAGATTAGCGTCAAAATACATATTTATTTTCACCGAAGCGAGCGCTCCCCGCATCCGCCACAATGCAGTCCGTTGTTTGTAGCCTAAAACCGGATATTATCATTTAATATTGATTTTTTAATTTTACTTACTAACTACTTCTGGATCTGCGCACTAATGACATCCTAACCATTTTTCGGTGCAAAATTGGCATATTCTTACCTTGGCGATAGCCTTGTCGCGTAGTGCCATTGTCGGCAAATCGATAGCCGCAAATGTGGAAAGTCCACGAGCTCGGGAGAGGAGTTCGGGGAAATCGTTCTAAACAATGAGATAACTCCTATAATTTCCGCTACGCTACGGAGCCGTACTGTATGCTACGGCGCAAAGGGCTACGCAAAGACACGCCAGAAATACCGCAACACTCTGATCCACTAATCCAACTCTAATCCAGGCTATTCCACTCATCGCAACGTCGCACAACACCACAACAGTAGTTTATATTGCCTTGAAAAATCCCACAACTTTTCGTGATATCCCGTTTGCTAGCTAAAGTCTACTAGGCGCTACCACACGCAGTACGCCACAATACACTACGATACGTTACGTAAAGCTACATGCTGATACACTACGGAAAACGATTACACAACAGCTACGCAGTACCTTACGTAGCTCTAAGTAGTGGGACGTAGAAAGTAGTCTCGCTTACCTGAAGTTGTAGCAGCTCCTTCTGGAAAAGTTTCCCGACCTCTCGGTTCTTCTCGATCAGCTTGTTTTCTTTGATGACCTAAATAGTCATTCTAGGACCTTTCAAAAATTGATAAGTCCATAGCTAACCTCGCTGGTTTTAACAATGAAAACACAAAAAAAGTTAAAACCAAGGGCGTACCTTTACAGCAGCCTCCAGGAGCAGGACCTTCGTCGGGTCGCCGCACCACGTGTTATAGATGCGTTGAGGCTAATAATTTACATGCTTGCTAATATCAAGTATACTCCTACCTCTTTAATCCTGAGATGCTCAGCATAATAGTACCCTCCCGTGATCAGCTTCTTCGAAAAGCTGACGATATCGGGCGGGGAGTCGAGGTTCCAGTGGCTATGTGCCCACCATTCTCCGGTAGTTCCGCCGCCAGTTTGGACCTGAGTTTAGGCTTGGGCTCAAGCTTAGGCTTAAGATTTGGCTTAGCTTAGGTGTAGACTTAGGCATCGGCTAAGGCGGCTTAACTTACCTCATCAACAATGAAGACGATGCCGTACTTCTTCGTCAAGTCGCGGAGGCCCTAAAATTGACGTAGAGAAGCTAGAATAAAATTGTGGAGGCATTCAGGGCAAAAATCAACCCATTGCGTCGTTCGACAACTACGCGGCACTCCAAAATGACTTGAAGGCGCAATTTGTAATAGCGCGTAGCTGTCGACACCTAGGGAAAGTGCGTCGGTTTTGAGCTTTGCTGTCCCTTTAAAATACCATACATACAAATACCATACAAATACCTGGAAAAACTGAGGACTTCCGTAGTGGTCACCTCCTTCTGACTGGATGGGCTCCACGATGACGGCGGCGACGTCGTTGCCCTAGAAAATCTAGCAATTAGTCGAGAAAGAGAGAGAGAGAGGGGAAAGAGAGAAAATAAGAAAAGATGTTAGCATCCAGACCTACCTTCTTCTTCCAGATGTTGATCTTCTCCTCAGCGTCTGCCAGGCAGTCCCGGTCTTGTTTGGCATTGTATTCCTATTAAAAATTGGGCGTGAATAAAATAAAAATTGAAGTCATTAATAGACATAAAATAAATCCAAATTTCTAGAATTTACCTTATTCTCAGCCAACGGGTATTTGTAGCGTGGATAGTTGCCGATCGGGTAGTCAAGTACTGGCATGTCAACCTGGAAAGAGAGATGTAGAGAGAGCGGGAGAGAAAGAGCGAGAGAGAGAGAGAGAGGGAGTGAGAGAGAGAAAGGTAGAGAGATAAATGCTTACCTTATGAATCGGTTTCGAGTGCGTAACAGATAACAGCGCCAACGTCCTACCATGCAGACCTCCATGGAATCCCATCACACTGAGCTTCGGTGATCCGGGCAAAACCTATTTCACCATTGCAATTCGGATTAGTCCCAGTACCTGTAGCATGCAGCTCTTGTTGTGCTCCTCATCTGGGGGAGCACCGCCTCGCTTTTGCGTCTGGTACCTTTTAAAGAAAGCTGAAGAATGCACGTTCTTTGGCTTACCAAATAAAAGCTGTCTTAATAGCATTCTCGTTTGATGACGAGCCGCAGAGCATCGTTTGGTTTGCCTAAACAGAATGCTTCTTCTTTTTTGTGAAATGTTTTGATTCGTATTTTTGAGTTAATTCCTCGCGATTCGAGTTCAGCTTACCGTAAGCCCTTTCGGAGCAATTGATGTGAGGGCACCATCCAAATGACGATGCCAGTCGATGCGGGGGTAGGAACCGAGGGCCGGGCGAGAGACGGCAGCTGTCTAAAAAAGGAATTTGATAGGAGAGAGAGAGAGAGAGAGAGAGAGAGAGAGGGAGTGAGAGAGCGCGAGCAAGAGAAAGCAAGATAACTTCTTAGCGAAGGGAAACAAGCAACTTACGATAAAGTCTGGTCTCTGAGTCGCGGCTACCAGTGCGGGGTGGTTGTAACCAAGAGGGAGGGATGAAATCTAAACATAAATAATTTTCTCGTTCTTTTAATCTACCATTGTAAAAATGTCCAACATTGTGTTCCCATCAGCGTCCACCAGATAGTTTCCAAACGACTTTTCGAAGTCGACGAAGCAGCGGATCGAAACGATGCTCTAAAATCCTCAAATTTAACGCTTGAATGATTATAGGGCCTTTTTAGGAGCTATTTTTAGTTTTAGAGATTAAAAAATAGCTGGACATACCGAATGCTTCTCCATCAACTTCTTTTGAGCATTGGTTTTCGGGCCAGGGCATGTGGTGAGCATCTTCGGGCCTGCTGGCTCTTCCGTAGCAATTGAGGCGGTGGCATGATGACCTCGGACTGTAGAAAACGACTTTTTTTATACCTTTTCTTGTCATTAAATATGAACAGTTTACCCTTATTCTGTTTTTAAAAAGAACAAAAACGTTAAAATATGACCTATTCGTTCGACTAGGTCTCGAAAAACTAATTCGGGGCCAAAAGAAGGTTGTAAAAAATTATAGTTGAATGCGTAATTTAGCATTTTGCGTCGATGGGAGACCTAGTCGATATGAGGAGTTGATTTTCGCGCTTGTCAGTCCTTTTAAAATTTGTGGGATTTCACTTGCCTGTAGATAGGCCAAGGCCGGCGGCTTTACTACGCAAACGTACTAGCATAATCCAGGAATCAAAGGCCCGGAAAGGAGCCTAAATTCTTAAAAATCGAATCGAGTACAGAGGAAAAATAGAATCGACATGAATAGCATAAAAAAAAATCATTAAAAACATTTAAGAAGTCAATAAGAAAACGGCTGAACTGCTTGGACTTGATGAAGCTCAGAAACTCAGGAAATTGCTTGATTTTTAATTTTTTTTTAATGCTTATCTATGTGATTTATAACAAAAAAAAAACAAGAAATTGCAAATTCGATCGAACGACAGTGCAAAAAGGGCAAACGTAGTGGAATAGTGGTCGTCCGAGCTGACTGACCCCCTGCCATGCGCTCCCTTATCAACCGAACTGCAGGGGTCATTTCGGTCTAAAAACGGATGGCTGGCCGGGGGATGAATGTGTCAAGGACATGCCATCAGTAGGTGTAATCTTTTTACTTTCTTTTGGGATAGAGAACGACCTAAAAATCGTGCAAAGTTGACACACTTCAGCTCGAATCCGAAATCCGAAAAAGGAAAAGCGGTTGAGCGAAGAGCGACACAGAGATAGAGAGAGAGAGAGAGAGAGAGAGAGAGACAGCGCCTGAAATCCTTCTATAGCTCGATACCAGGTGCGTAGCTTTTTGTACGTAGTTTCACCTGGCTAGCAGGATCCCGACCCCCGGGTGCATCGAATCAGCTAGAAGACCGACCCACGCGACTCTTCCTTGTATTTAGCTTGAACCTGAAGCGCACCACCAAACCACGTGATCTCGTGCAGCTCAATTTTCAAGAGAGGGTACCATAAGAAAGCGTCGTGTTTTCCATGAACCGAAGAAAAACCCCACGAAAAAAAATTACAAAAATGCAGAAGGCTCATTTCGACTCACGTCAGGTAAAGCACTTCACGACGGATTTTTCAGCTTTTCACAATTCACCTATGCCAAGCCTAAGCCAAGCCTAAGCCAAGCCTAAGCCAACCCTAAGCCAAGCCTAAGCCAAGCCTAAGCCAAGCCTAAGCCAAGCCTAAGCCAAACCTAAGCCAAGTCTAAGCGAAGCCTAAGCCAAACCTAAGCCAAGCCTAAGCGAAGCCTAAGCCAAGCCTAAGCCAAGCCTAAGCCAAGCCTAAGCCAAGCCTAAGCCAAGCCTAAGCCAAGCCTAAGCCAAGCCTAAGCCAAGCCTAAGCCAAGCCTAAGCCAAGCCTAAGCCAAGCCTAAGCCAAGCCTAAGCCAAGGCTAAGCCAAGCCTAAGCCAAGCCTAAGCCAAGCCTAAGCCAAGCCTAAGCCAAGCCTAAGCCAAGCCTAAGCCAAGCCCTAAGCCAAGCCTAAGCCAAGCCTAAGCCAAGCCTAAGCCAAGCCTAAGCCAAACCTAAGCCAAGCCTAAGCCAAGCCTAAGCCAAGCCTAAGCCAAGCCTAAGCCAAGCCTAAGCCAAGCCTAAGCCAAGCCTAAGCCAAGCCTAAGCCAAGCCTAAGCCAAGCCTAAGCCAAGCCTAAGCCAAGCCTAAGCCAAGCCTAAGCCGAGCCTAATCCAAGCCTATTTTTTGCAAACACCCCCGATTCTGCACTTTATGATGATGACCGGTCACCGTAGCCTCGATTTCGCGATTCCCGCGGGAATTCCCTCACACTCCAGCAGACAAACAGCAACAAGGCGCGGAGGGTCACGTTATTTTGGGGGGTGCGCGAAAATTGCCGCGCGGCCCCGGCCGGGGGTCCACGGTTCAGCGCCCATAATAATCACACGATGTGGCAGGGATTTTTGGGGAAAAAGGGAGGAAAGTGGAAAAAGGGGGTGGTCCTGGATAATCGGTTACCCCAATTCTCCACCCGGGATTCCGAATCCGAATCCCAATGACCATCGTTTGGGCAGGGTTGTCCCGCGCTGCTTACTCATCGTTTCACAACTTTTAAAAATTGTGGGTATCAGTGTGTTTGAGTGCGAATTTTCTTTTTAATCGATTAACGCTTAATCGATTTGAAAGAAAAATCGCACTGAATTATTAATCGATTAAAGTGCGATTTTTCAATTTCTCATTTTTCCGTTTCCAAGCTGTCAAGCTGTTCAAAAAATTCTATACCGGAGCCTACTGTAGTCGGAACGTATTTGAAGCGAGGGCGGGAGGGTTAGAAAGAGAGAGAGAGAGAGAGAGAGAGAGAGAGAGAGATAGATAGACAGCTAGACAGCAAGAGAGAGGAACCTATTTTCTATTTTTCACATATGTTCAAAAACAGGATGAAGAACCGGATTCTTAGCATATTTTTCTCCAACCCCGTGACCGTGGATCTTTCTCCGAATTTTTGGAATTTGTCATTATCAAAGTCCTCACCGCTACTTTTATTCCTTGTTTTCGATAGAAAGTCTTTACAGTTTCTTACGCCATGAAGATTCTCCTGTTCTCCCTGTTGCTCATCGCTTTCGTATTTTCCGCTCCAGTTGACGAGCACTCCAAGGAGAAGGGTACGTTTTTATGGCCATTTTAATATATTCTATTTTTAATCTTCTAGATGTTATCCACCTACGAGAGCGCCGTCGGATCAGTTCTTCCGATGAGGTGACCGAAACTCCAGACACGGACGTGGATAGACGAAAGCGGGAGGCCGAGCATGGCTGCGATGAGAACCAAGTTCCTGGAGGGGAAGTCGCGGCTCATATCGACGTGAGTTTTCAATAATTAAAATCCTTACACATTCTTACGATGACCTAAGAACCTTTAAAAAACTTCCCCTCAAAAATGCTTTTTGAAATGCTGCATTAAAGGCTTCGGAACAAAGCAAGACCTTAAAAACGTATTTTTTTTAATTTAGGTTCGCGACAAGCGCAGGATAAAGCAGCCAACGGGTCCCGCAACGACAACGACAGGTATTTGGATGCCTAATTCACTTTTTGCTTTTTCCCTTCCTTGGTTTCCAGAAGCTCGCTTAGGCTTCAGGTGAAGCTCAGCAATTCCAAGTTGAATTTAGAAGCCCCGCATCATGAAGAAATCGAACATCACGAAGCCCTGGAGCACAATGAGGAGAAGCGCTCTGTCGAAGAACCTGTTGCAGGTCGTTGAAAGTGCATTTATTATTCCGTGCTGATCTTTAGATGACCATACCAGTGCTGACTCGGAAGACAGCGGGAAGAGCCATTCTAATGGAGATTCTGAGGACGAGGTAGGCATAGAGAGTGCGATGCAGAGAGTAAGGGGGCGAGAGAGAAAGAGCGAAAGAGAGAGAAAGAAAGAGAGAGAGGAAGAGAAATCGCTCTTGTCGTAAGCGTATAAATTTTGCGCTACAATTTCTAGGAGCCTCTAAGCGAGGGCCACAACATTGGCGACCATCTCGGCGAGCACACCGAGCCGGAAGATGGCTTCACTGGAGAAGGTAGGGCCTTGAATTCTGCTTTATTCGTAAGCCGGCGTCCCAAGATTGTGGCTAGGGCTAAAAACGAAGATCCGGAGAGCTTACTTCTCTAAGGATTGAATCTCCGAAAAATGGCGCTTTTGCAACTTATAGGCTAAATATTTCACTACGTATTTTTAGTAGTGGTCCGCGCGAAGAAGGCCACCCACGGCAGCAAGCATCCAGCCCGGCTGATGCAGAAGAACAAGAGCAACTCGAATGTTGGCGAGACTTCTGGAATGCCAGGGGATCAAGCTTTTGTCGCCTGAGTGTTTGTATTTGTCATTTTGTCGTGTATTTTTTGGAAATGTATTTTTTGTGGTTTTTGACATCCGGATAAATCCATTTTTTCAAAACCTACCTACATAGGAACCTGAATTTACCACGCCAAAAATAGCCCTCGCTTCCAGTTCCGCCCTCCAAAGATTGAAACACGGAACCGGTTCGCTAAAAAAATGGGGAATTCCTCGCCCTCGGGTCCAATGTTTATCAATTTATGCCCCCCGCACTGTTTATGAGGGTCCGTAGAGTACTAAAGCGACCGCTTCAAAACCTCCTCACTATTCGTTTCTCACGAAAATGCGAGTGATCATCATCGCTGCCCTGCTCGCCGTCGTCGCCCACTCCAGGCCGGCCTCATCCGCGGGCAATGAGATGAAGGATCTGATGGACCAGCTCAAGTTTGACATTGATGAGATGCTGCCGAAGGAGCTGACTGGTAGGACTTCTAGGGCCAAGCCTAAGCCCAAACCAAGCTAAGCGCAAGCCTACGCCTAAGCCTAAGCCTCAAGCGAAGCCGAATTCAAGCCTACGCCTAAGTCCAAGCCCAATCCAAACCTAAGCCTAATCCTAATCCTAAGCCTAAGCCTATGCCTAAGTCAAGCCTATGCCTAACTTGAAGCCTAATTTCAGGCTCAAGCTCAAGCTTAAGCCTAAGCCTAAACGAATCATTTCAGAGCACTTCTCCTCCGACCTCTCTGACTTCCTGAAGAGCCTGGACTTCATGGACCTTATGAGCATGATGATGCTTGCCAAGGAGAAGGAGAACCTGAAGACCCCGGACCAGGTAGATCAAGCTTAAGCCTAAGCCAAACCGAAAGCTAAGCTTAATTCTAAGCCAGAACGCAACCTAATTTTTCAGCTCCTGCAAGCTATCAAGCGCGCCAACCCCAACACGTACGAGAAGGTGAACAAGCTCGTCGAGGCGTACAAGAAGCGCTACGACGCTCTGACGCCCGGCGCCAAGAAGTTCTTCGAGGGCTCCGAGGGCTCGGGCTCAGGCTCATTTGTGAAGATCGAGATTCTGTCGAAGGTTACGGAGACTGGAGCTTTGGATGAGAAGGAGCGCCGGGTTGGTGGAGCAAGGCCTAAGCTTAAGTCTAAACCTAGGCATGTGTCTAAGCGAAAGCTTATGCCTAAGCCTAAGCCAGCTTACAATAATGTTGATCTCCCTGTTTCAGCTGAAGAAGGGCCAGGAAGAATTCAAGAAATTGGCTGATGAGGACAAGGAATCCATTCAAAAGCAGTTGCCCTTCATCTACAAGGTTCTCTCCGGTATGATTTTTTTTCAGCCCTTCGAGAGAGAGAGAGAGAGAGAGAGAGAGAGAGAGAGAAGGGGATACAATGAGATCTTTAGACCCCGAGTTCATCGATAATCTGAAGCCACTACTCGAGAAGAAGGCGAAGGAGCAGATGAGCATGGTTGCCCAGGGGTTTTAGTCATCTTTCCTAAAAGTCATCTTTCCTAAAGTCATCTTTCCTAAAGTCATCTTTCCTAAAAGTCATCTTTCCTAAAAGTCATGATTCCTAAAAGTCATCTTTCCTAAAAGTCATGATTCCTAAAAGTCATCTTTCCTAAAAGTCATCTTTCCTAAAAGTCATTTTCCTAAAAGTCATTTTTCCTAAAAATCAATATTTCTCAGTTGATTTTTTTGCAAGAAAAAATTTTTTGGAGCGGCCTTGGCCCTAAAATTTTAATGTCTCCATGCCGTACTAGATCTTTTCGGGATGGTTTGATTTAAGTTATGCTATCTTTGAATTCATAAAACTATTCAGAAATCAAAAAAATAGGATAGGCTCCGATGGGACTAAGAGCTTTTATGAGGACTGACGGCATTCAAGGCATTACACAGCAAGCAGCTTTCAAGTTAGGCGGAGGTGGCATCCCTATTCGCCTACCTAACTTCAGGAACAATTAATCTTCGCAAAAAATAGTTTTTAGAAAACAGTGATGGAGGAAAAATTATAGTAAACGATTACCTAGTTTTAGGAAAAATGACTTTTAGGAATCATGACTTTTAGGAAAGATGACTTTTAGGAAAAATGACTTTTAGGAAAGATGACTTTTAGGAAAGATGACTTTTAGGAATCATGACTTTTAGGAAAGATGACTTTTAGGAAATATGACTTTTAGGAAAGATGACTTTAGGAAAGATGACTTTAGGAAAGATGACTTTTAGGAATCATGACTGGGATTCGTTGCCCAGAAACAGCAGGCACTCGCGGGAGCCGCCTAAAGCCAAAAACGTCTCCATATAAAAGTTTTTTTAAGAATTTATGTCATCTACATCCTATCAGAAAAATTATCTAATCGACAAAGAGAGCGAGAGAGAGAGAAAGAAAGAGAGAGAGCGAGAGAGAGAACAAGAGAGAGAGACGTAAAATAAAGAGTGCTCGAACAGAAACAACCTTTTGAACAACGTATCGTCGAGAGGCCGATTTCCGCCCTTCCTAGCCCCTTCAACTTGCCGAAAGGGAAAAAAACAGCTTCGCGGTGGGGCTCAGTGTTTATCAAACTTGGACCTCGACTGTTTATGCTCGTCTCTCAAAAGTCCCAAGCCCGGAGTTTCCGCATAAAATTCTCGACTTTTTCCTACTGAATTAAAATGCGTCGAGTTATTATCGTTGCACTGCTTGCCGTCGTTGCATACTCGAGACCTGCCACCAATTCGGACAAGGAGCTGAATGACCTTTTTCAATCGTTGAACGTCGACATCATCAAGATGCTGCCGAGGGAATTGATTGGTGGGTGGCCGAACGGCCTGTAATTGCTTGTCGGCATCGTCGGGCCATCCGGCGACTTTGGCAAGACGTTCAACCCTTGAGGTTGGAGGAGTTCAAGTCGCGCCGGCTTAATGTCATCAAGCTTATCAAATCCATTTTAGACCACTTCGACTCCGACCTGGTCGTCTTCTTCAAGACCCTCGACTTCCTGGACATAATGTACTTGGCCATGATCGCCCGGCAGAAGGAGATGATGCAGAATCCGGAACTGGTACCACAAGCCTTAAGCTAAGCCTAAACCTGTTTCTTTTTAGGCGCTACAAGCCCTTAAAAGAACCAACCCGAATACCTACCGCAAGCTGCAGAAGCTTGTCGACGCCTACAGCGTGCGCTACGCCCGTCTGACCCTCGGCGCCAAGAAGTTTTTCGAGGGCGAGGTTCGATGCCATCGTTTCTAACAGACTACTTTGCTTCAGAACCCTGATCCGGCAAAATTCAGGGATCTGCCGTCGATTCTGAAAAATACAGATGCTACTCGACGTCAGGTGGGTTAGACTAAGCCTAAGCCTCTTAAAAGCCGAAGCCTAAACCGAAGCCTACGCTTAAGCCTAAGCCTAAGCCTAAGCCTAAGCCTAAGCCAACGCCTAAGCCTAAGCTTAGGCCTAAGCCTAAGCCCAACGCTATGCCTAATCCTAAGCCTCAGCCTCAGCCTAAGACTAAGCCTAAGCCTAAGCCGAAACCTAAGCCTAAGCCCAAGCCTTAGCCCATGCCTAAACCGAAACTGTCATGCTTCATCACCACTTTTAGGCCAACCAACTAAGGAACGACTTCCAGAAGCTGGCCAAGAAGGACAGGAAATCGATTCAAAGGCAGTTGCCCCTGATCTACAAAATTTTTGATGGTGAAGCTTTCGGAAATCTCTGATTTTATTTGTCTCTAGATCCGACCTTCTTGCAGACGCTGCGACCAGCGATCGAGGCAAAGGTCAAAGAGCAGATGACCCATTTTTCCGGAAATCAGGGGGCGCTTCTCGGGGCCGCCTAAGATGATTATAATAAACGTTTTTGCAAATTTTAAAAATTTTCTTGCACGTGTATGGCGAGATGTGTAGCTGTAGATATTTAGAAAGCCACGTTGCGGTCAGCGTGACGAACGCCGCGACGGGTAGCGTCGGCCCGCTTTGGAAACGCGTCGCGGTCGACGTCACACATGCGTCACGGTCCGCGGCGCGTACGAGCTCCCAGACTTTAAAAGGCCGAGTCATTATCAGGTTGCGTTTTGATAGGATCAACTTTTGCCCGACTTTCTGCGCCTTTCTGTCATAAACTGAGTGGTTACGAGAAACGTAAACACTAGCGCCGATGTGTCATCATTTTTGTGTCTTTGTACAGTTCAATCGTCAAACTTTCCGATTCGTGGAGCGTAGCGTACAGTTTTTTTTTACAGCTTGACTCATCTCGTCGGGCGCGGAAACGCATTGCCTACTTGCTACAGTAGCGGTCAAAAAGATGTCCCCTCGGGAGATCGCTTGGTGCTCGTAAACTACAGGCCCACATTTTATGAAACGTCGTGTCTAGGTCAATTCGGCAGCGCAGAATCCGATGGCAACATTAAAATCTATTGAAAATTTTATTTTAATGGTCAAACTTTGATTTGAAAAAATCTGTAAAAATAAACTTTTTCATGAGGGATTTTCGGGTTTCAAAAATGTCTCCATCGTGTTCGCAAGGGTCGAAAACCACTAGTCCGTGATTTTACGACACTTTTTCTGCCGGGGCCTGACCATACTGACGGCCGAAAGTTGCTGTCGCGCGGGCCAAAATCCTTTGGATAGGCTTACGGGGGCCAGGAAAGCGCCCCGCGGCGACAACTTCTCGGCCTCATGGTAGTGAACCTCAAAGAGATAAATGTTTTGAAACATGTTCGAGATAGGTTTTCGACCCTTGCGAACACGATGGACACACTTTTGAAACTCGAAAATCCCTCAGGAAAAAGTTCATTTACCGATTTTTAAAAAAATTAAAATTTGATCACAAAAATAAAATTTTCAGCCGATTTCAAGTGCACCATCGGATTCTCCGTATCAAAATTGCCCTAGTGGAAAGTTTCATAAAATTTGGGCCTGTGTTTTACGAGCAACAAAGGATTTCCCGGGGGGACATCTTTTTGACCGCTACTGTACATACCGGTTTTTCTTTGCCCTCATCGATTCCGAAATCATACTTTTTTTTATTTATTCAGTTCATAAAAATAAGCAAATAAATAATGTTAGGCAAATTCGGCCTCGGCCTTTTTCTTCTCGACCATTTTTGCCATCTGCTCTTGTATTTTCTGCTCGATTTTGGGCTGCAGCTTCTCGATAAACTCGGGGTCTAAAGTATTTGGCATTGCAAGGGATTAGAAGATTCTAGATAAATTTGCGCTAGGAAAATGCACAAGCTTTGAAAGCGTACCTGATAAAATTTTATAGAGTAACGGGAGTTGGGCCTGAAGTGATTGCTTGTCCTCGTCGGCCAACTTTTGGAACGCGTCTTGCAGGCCCTTGATCTAAAAAAAAAGAGTTTTATTAAGTACTAGGCCCAAGTCTACGCCTAAGCCCAAACCTAAGCCTAAGCCTAAGCCCGGGCATAAGCCCACTTACCCTCTCCTTCCGCTCGGCCTTCGTCAACTTTTTCAGGTCACCAAAGCCCATCACCGAAATTTTTGCATCGGCCTGTTCCTAAAAAAATACAATATAAACGTCACATTGTTGTAGCTCACCCGCTCCTCAAAGTACTTCTTGGCGCCGGGGGTGAGGGCTTCATAGCGGCGCTTGTAGGAGTCGATTAGCTTGATCACCTTCTCGTACGTGTTGACGTTGGCGCCACGGAGGGCGTCGAGGAGCTGTAAAAAATCAAATGGCTCATTCATGTGAACGTTTTAAGCTTCATCTCTCTCTCTCTCTCTCTCTCTCTCTCTCTCTCTCTCTCTCTCTCTCTCTCTCTCTCTCTCTCTCGCTCTTTCTCCCTAACCCACATCCTCCGGGCTCTTGATCTTGTCCCGCTTCTGCGACAGCGCGATCACGGCAAAGATGTCCATGAAGTCGATGCTCTTGATGAATTCTTGGAGCTCGGGGGTGAAGTTGTCTATAAGCACTTGTTTTCGCAAACGTAGGCTTGACTTAGGCTTAGGTTTTAGGCTTGGGCGTAGGCTAGATTTAGGATTAGACTGATGCCTAGGCTTAGGCTAGACTTCGGCTTGTCTTAGGCTTAGGTTAAGCTGAGGCCTAGCTTCATCTCAATCTCCTCACCAACCGGTCAACTCCTTCGGCAACATCTCATCAATATCGAGCTTCATCGAATCGATGATGTCCTTCATGCTGGGCGGCTCCTTCTGCGCGGGCCTACCGTACACGGCGGCAATCAATAGTACGCACGCGACGAGACCCCTCATTTTGGCGTCAAGCGGAAAAGTGAGCACGCGGCGGCCGGCCTGCTCTTTTACAGAGCACCACCCCCGGTTTATAAACACGCACAAAAACACGATTTTAAACAACCGAAAAGTGCCCAGCGGGGTCACTTGACTTTCGTGCAAGTTCCTGGTCTTCGGCGCGTTGCGGAATTGTACCGGAAAATTAAATTGGAACCGGGAAAACCGGCTTTACGAGTTTTTCCGGAAAATTTTTGCTTTTGGTCGACAAAACCTTACTTGAAAAGGTCAAACTTTCAACATTCAAAAATTTTTTTGGGGTGATAACAATCAAAGACCGATTAAACGAGTTTAAAAATAAATTACATGTTTAAAAGTATAGACATCAAATCAAAAATTCTAAAAAACTAATGAAGGCCAAATTCCATAATCCCGAAATTTAAAATGTCGATTTTTTTCGCAGTTTTGATGGCTTTAAGTATTTCGGCAATATGGTTTCGACATTTTTTTGAAAAACCCGTAAATGCTAGAAAATACAACTGAAGGATTTTCCCGATTTTTCAAAAATTTCTAAAAACATGCATAAATAAGGCTCTGCAAAAAAAATCGCTGCATGGGGTAGATAATTTTCGTACGATAGGTATGATTTTTGCAAAAATCGAACCCGCGGCGGCGGCCATAAAAAAGCAAAACAAAAATTCTGGAGACGCTATGCAAAGTAATTTGCATAGCGTCTCCAGAATCCGCGAGGGGAGGCTTGCGCAAAAAGGCGCCATTCGTTCATTCAAGCGCCCCGACCACAATGCCAGACTATCAGGACCCCCGTATGCATTTTGTGTTTTAATCCATCCCCCCAAACTCTTTCAAACCTTCAATTAAAGTTATTGAATTCATTTAATTGGGCTCTCTTGCTTGTTTAGCTCTGGCTTTTCTTTACCTGAATAATCGCAAACGTTCCAAAAAACTGGCTGGCAGAAGAGGGAATCGAGAATCGAATTGCTTGTATAAGTTTAGAAATTTTTGTTAACTGAACATACGATATTTAAGTGTTTGGCTCAAGTCTAGGAAACCCCCCCTCCCAGCCGACTTTTCAACTTTTCTACCTTCCTTATTTTTATTTTTCGCTACTTTTTTCGACTGAACTGCAATGTAGTCTTACTAATTAGCCTACGGCGAACATTTTGGTATACTTTAGAGCTCGCTAGCACAAAAGGGGGCCGAGATACAAAAGTTGGTGCCGGCTGGGGGGGGTTTCTAGACTTTTACGAAGTGTTTTTAGTAAAAGAAAATTATATTTCAGCTCAAAAATCTATCTAAAAACTTTGGAAAATTTTCAAAAAGCCCTAACTTTGATCAAAAAACGGTTTTTTTTGTATTTTTATCTAAAAACTTGTAAAGCTTTTAGGCTTAGGAGTATTAAACGACAGTTTCGAAACGATTCAGAAATTTATGTTTGAAAATTGGAAAATAGAAAGTGGTACCTCCGCCGGCATAAAGGGCATTTCCCAGCCTCCCCCTCCCGGTCGACCAACACCTACCGTATCTCGGCTCCGCGTTATCCTGCCGGGTAGTAAAGTATACCACATACTCGCCAGAGCAACACGAACATTTTGGTATACTCTAGACACCTGTAGATGAACAGGGAACCGAGATACGGTAGGTGAGGGTCGGCGGGCGGGGGGGGGAGGGGGGGTAAACTGAACTATAACCCCTCCCCCCCCCCCCGCTAACAGTCCAGAAAAAAAGACAATGCTTGGGCAAAGTCTGATGCTATGCTTTAGACGAGGATATTGGCTTGATTGGCGCTTTGATTGCGTTGGAGAACGTACCTGGGCCTCGGGTGACGCAAGCCAATCTATGGGTGTTTGGATGCTGCAAAGGATGGTGGGCGTGGCGGGGCAAATTTTTTCATCGTCTAGAGTAGCCACTTAATACGAAGTATTTTCATAATGTTTTTGATCAACTATAACCAGATTTCAACTAAAAAACCGTTACTTTTAACTTTTAACTAGAAAATTTTTACGGAAAAATTTTTCAAAACGTTGGATTCCATTTTTTTGGTATTTTGTTAATACATTTTGTAAGTTCTTATACCCCCCCCCCCTCCGATAATGCGAAAGGACCGCGACCACACAGCTCGATGGTGCTTCAGCCGATTAAATTGAGTTTTTTAGAAAACTTCGTCAAGAATGCGAAAAACAAACGGAAAAATTCCGTTATTTTGAACTGCGGCGAGGACATCCCTCCGCAGTTTTCGATAGATGCCTAAATCCTCAAAATACGCACGGCTTCCAGGTGGGGCAGCTATGATTTTGAAGCTACCCGGGATCAACAAGAGAAAGTGATCCGCAACGCTCCGCGCCGACCCATCTACGGTGACTACGCCGTGCTGTGCGGCTTCATGGCGTTGATCATGTGCTTGCCGGCCATCTGCATCGCCGCCTGCGTCGGCGGAGGTAGATGATCTTTTATGGCTAGACTCCAGATAACCTCCCTAAGCGGTTCTACACCTACCGTATCCCGACTTAGCGGTTCTGGACTGTTAGCGAGGGGAGGGAGGGATTTCTGGCGCAAGAAAACCAAATTTTTCCCTGCCATTCTCTCTGACCCACAGCAAAATATAAATCATTTTTGGAGCTTTTTACATAGTTTTTAGATATAAAAACAATGTAAAAAAATTGCGTTTATCTAGCGCTTCTGACTTTTTGCTCAAAAATGTATGAAAGGCCAAAAAAAGATTTTCGAATTTTTAAAATGGGTTTTTATAACTTTCTAACCATCAAAAAATACTAAAACTACTATAAAAATACATAATTTATTATCAACAAGTGGTAGAAGTGGAAAAACAGAAGTGGTTTTCCGCCTGTTAAACATCTCCCCCCGTTACTGGTCCAGAACCGGGCGGAGGATAAAATACGGAAGCACAATCTAATCGCATCTTTTTTCCAGTGGCATTTGTCTTGGGGCGTATGCAGGGCCAGAAGAACAGTCTGCCTCCTGCTAGCCCCACCCCGCCGCCGGCCAGCCAGAGCCAGTCGACCGCCCCGTCTCCCGCCACGCAGCCCTGAAATACTCGATTTGTGGGTTCTCTATCTATCTCCCTCTCTGCCGCCCTCTCTGTCTCTCTCCCGCCCTCACTCTCTCGCTCTCTCTCTCTCGCTCTCTCTCTCGCTCTCTCTCTCTCGCTCTCTCTCTCTCTCTCGCTTTCTGGCAATTAATTTTATTTTTTTCAGAACCAGCCGCTCCTCCTCACCCTTATCAACGATACGAAAAACGACAATCATCGTCTTCTCCAGAATCTCTCCGAATGTCACGTTAATTCATGCTCGTTCACTCGCTTACGATAAAGCTTGGTTTTCCTGCTTTAAGAAACTGAACAAAACCGGCAAAGCACGTGAAGACTGCAAAGCCTGCAAAGCCGGCAAAGTCTCCAAAGCCGCCAAAGCCTGCAAAGCCTGCAAAGCCCTCAAACTTTCAAAAAATTGCGTATGACGCCGAATGAAATTAGCATGCAGATGACATTAACGTACAGGCAGAAACGCAGAAACTCGGTCATTTCTCGCCCGCCATCGGCGCGACGCTCTTTGGCAATGCACGCGCTGAACGGGACGTCGTCTACTTGGGCCGTGTCGAACTCGACCAACGCCACGAACGCGGCGATCCTAGACGACGGATGGGTGAGCCTTAATTCTTTGGCAAAAAAAAATTCCTGACCAAGCCTATTTTGTGCAGAATTTTTTGCTGATTTCGAATCTGCTCTCGATTTTTGCCAAATTCCCCCGTTCCAAAAGGCTACGGCACTTCTATGCGGTTTTTAAGCAAATTTTCGAAATTTTCCACTTTTTTTGTCAAAATTGTATGAAATATCCAAAAAATCAAGATTTTCCAATTTTCAAAGTTTTTAAAATATTTTTTAGCTTTCTAGCGATCAAAAACTACTGAAAACACTATAGAAATACATAATATATCAGCAGAAGGTAAATGGAAAATCAGAAATTGGTTCGTCTCTGCTAAAAATTTCCCTCCCCCGCTAACAGGGCAGTACCGCCACTTTTACAGGTGCGCGGCGATCGCGTATTGCCCCCGCGGCGCCGGCAAGCTCGCTTCACTGAGCAGCAGGCAAAAGATGATTGCTTCTGCTTCATGTGCTTCTGTGTCAACGGTTGTCGTGGAGGGTATGTTTTATAGTAGTAGAGTCCAGCCTTGGTGGTTTTCAACTGGTACTGGTCACAACTGGTCACAACTGGTAAAAACGCTTTCAAAAAATTTTCAATTTCGGCATTTCAAAACTTTCCGAGCTTTTTTGTCGAAGTCTAGAAATGCGTAGTAACTTAATAGAAAGTGTTTAAATAGTTTTTAAGTAATACTAACTATATTTCAACTAGAAAAACTATCAAAAACTTTAAAAATGTTGAAAAAGTCGGCATTTTGGTCAAAAATTGGCCATTTTCAGTCGAAAAGTCGCTTACTTTTACGTTTTTTTAATAAGAATTTGTAAAGTTTCCCGTTGCGAGGAATCAAAAAACCACTTAAAAACACTATTTTTATTGTAAAACTTTGATTTCCGCTTTTTACTTCTTCCTTTGAAAGTGAAAACAGCAGTTGCCCCTCAAATTGCAGGTTGCTTCTTGGGGAATGCCGGAATCTGCAGCTGGGATACTACGGCTGCTCGTGTATTGGCGTCTACTTCACCGCGCTCGCCGTCATCCCGGCCGTCATCCTCGCTGCCATCGCTGGCCTGCGTAAGAAATTAAACATTTTTATCGTATCCTTTGTTGGTTCTTTGGCATTATCCGGGGGAGGCGGGTCATTCTTTACCTAGGCCTAACCCTAACTCTAAGCCTAAGCCTAAGCCTAAGCCTAAGCCTAAGCCAAGCCTAAGCCAAGCCTAAGCCAAGCCTAAGCCAAGCCTAAGCCAAGCCTAAGCCAAGCCTAAGCCAAGCCTAAGCCAAGCCTAAGCCAAGCCTAAGCCAAGCCTGCCAAGCCTCCGCCTAGCCAAGCCTAAGCCAAGCCTAAGCCAAGCCTGCCGCTTCCGCCAAGCCTGCCGCTTCCAAGCCAAGCCTAGGCCAAGCCCGGCCTGCTTCCGCCGCTTCCGGCCTCGCCTAAGCCAGCCCAAGCCAAGCCTTCGCCGCCTGCCGCTTCCGCCGCCTGCCAAGCCTGCTCCAAGCCTAGCCTGCCGCTCCGCCGCCTAGCCAAGCCTGCCGCCTAGCCGCCTGCCGCCTGCCGCCTCGCCAAGCCTAAGCCTGCTTCCGGCCGCTCCCGCCGCCTCCGCCGCCTGCCGCCTGCCGCTTCCAGCCGCCTCGCCGCCCCTGCCAAGCCTGCCGCCTGCCAAGCCTGCTCGCTTCCGCCGCCTGCCGCCTGCCAAGCCTGCCGCTTCCGGCTTGCCCTGCCGCTCCGCCGCTTCCGCTGCCCTGGCTTCGCCCTGCCGCTTCCGCTCGCCTGCCGCCTGCCGCCCGGCCGCTTCCGCCGCTTCCGGCCGCCTTCCGCTTCGCCCGCCGCTTCCGCCGCTCCGCCAAGCCCTGCCCGCCTGCCGCTTCCGGCCGCCTGCCGCTTCCGGCCTGCTGCTTCCGCCAAGCCCCCGCTCGCCTCCGCCGCCTGCCGCTTCCGCCGCCCGCTCGCCTCAGCCGCTTCCGCTTCGCTTCCGCCGGCCCGCTTCGCCTGCCGCCGCCTGCCGCCCGCTTCCGCTTCGCCTGCTTCGCCTCCGCCGCTTCCCGCCGCCTCCGCTCGCCCGCCGCTTCCGCCGCTTCCGCCGCCCAAGCCCGCTCCAAGCCGCTTCCGCCGCCTGCCAAGCCGCCGCTTCCAAGCCTGCCGCCCCGCCAGCCTCCGCTTCGCCTGCCGCCTGCCGCCTGCCAAGCCTGGCCAAGCCTTCGCTTCCAAGCCCAAGCCCGCCGCTCCGCTTCGCCTCCGCGCCAAGCCCGCCGCCTAGCCGCCTGCTCGCTTCCGCCGCCCGCTCGCCTCCGCCGCTTCCGGCCGCTTCCGCCGCCTGCCGCCCCCGCCTCGCCTGCCGCCAAGCCCAAGCCTGCCCGCCGCTTCCGCCGCCTGCCGCTTCCGCCGCCCAGCCGCTTCCGCTTCGCCCGCCGCCTGCCGCCTGCCAAGCCTGCCGCTTCCGCCTCGCCTCGCTCGCCTAGCCAAGCCTCCTGCCGCCTGGCCGCTTCGCCGCCGCCGCCGCTTCCGCCGCTTCCGCCAAGCCCAAGCCGCCCCCGCCGCCCGCCGCTCCGCTCGCTTCCGCCCGCCAAGCCTGGCCGCCCGCCGCCTCCAAGCCAAGCCTGCCGCCTGCCGCTTCCGCCGCTTCCGCCGCTTCCAAGCCTCGCTCCGCTGCTGCCAAGCCTGCCGCTCGCCAAGCCGCCGCTTCCAAGCCGCCCTGCCGCCCGCCAAGCCTGCCGCTTCCGCCGCCTAAGCCAAGCCTGGCCGCTTCCGCCGCCGCCGCCTGCCAAGCCGCCGCCCGCCAAGCCTGCCAAGCCTGCTGCTTCCGCCGCCTGCCCGCTTCCAAGCCCGCTGCTGCCGGCCAAGCCTGCCGCTTCCGCCGCCTCAAGCCAAGCCTAAGCCAAGCCTACGCCAAGCCTGGGGGCCTGCTTCGCCAAGCCTGCCGCCCGCCTAAGCCAAGCCCTAAGCCAAGCCCTAAGCCAAGCCTAAGCCAAGTTTTAAGCTGAGCTGAACATAAACCTATGCCAAGCCCTAAGCCAAGCCTAAGCCAAGCCTAAGCCAAGCCTAAGCCAAGCCTAAGCCAAGCCTAAGCCAAGCCTGCCGCCTAGCCAAGCCGGCCTAAGCCAAGCCTAAGCCAAGCCTAAGCCAAGTTTTAAGCTGAGCTGAACATAAACCTATGCCAAGCCTAAGCCAATCCTAAGCCAAGCCTAAGCCCAGCCTAAGCCAAGCCTAAGCCAAGCCTAAGCCAAGCCTAAGCCAAGCCTAAGCCAAGCCTAAGCCAAGCCTAAGCCAAGCCTAAGCCAAGCCTAAGCCAAGCCTAAGCCAAGCCTAAGCCAAGCCTAAGCCAAGCCTAAGCCAAGCCTAAGCCAAGCCTAAGCCAAGCCTAAGCCAAGCCTAAGCCAAGCCTAAGCCAAGCCTAAGCCAAGCCTAAGCCAAGCCTAAGCCAAGCCTAAGCCAAGCCTAAGCCAAGCCTAAGCCAAGCCTAAGCCAAGCCTAAGCCAAGCCTAAGCCAAGCCTAAGCCAAGTTTTAAGCTGAGCTGAACATAAACCTATGCCAAGCCTAAGCCAAGCCTAAGCCAAGCCTAAGCCAAGCCTAAGCCAAGCCTAAGCCAAGCCTAAGCCAAGCCTAAGCCAAGCCTAAGCCAAGCCTAAGCCAAGCCTAAGCCAAGTTTTAAGCTGAGCTGAACATAAACCTATGCCAAGCCTAAGCCAATCCTAAGCCAAGCCTAAGCCCAGCCTAAGCCAAGCCTAAGCCAAGCCTAAGCCAAGCCTAAGCTAAGCCTAAGCCAAGCCTAAGCCAAGCCTAAGCTAAGTTTTAAGCTGAGCTGAACATAAACCTATGCCAAGCCAACGGATCCGCTTTCAGTGTGCTTCAACCTCGGACTGTCGACCACGAAGCGTTAGCCGCCACCCCCGCCCGCCCACCAAGCAATCACTTAACCGATCGATATTCATATTCGACCTGTATCTCGTTATGTCAATCGCTTTCTCTTTTTCGCTGCCCTTCCCTGTATTCCACACGATATTATGTACCACCCAATTCTGAACGCCCTGTCCGTGCTGGTCCTTTACGAATAAAGTTTAGAGAACTGAAGAATGGAAGAAGAGGTTTTTTTTGGTCATTTGCCATACATTTTTGACCAAACAGTCAAAAAGTTTTCGAAACTGTTAGTATTTTTTGTATTGTTTCTATGTCTTAAAATTATGTAAAATGATATAAAAATTCTTTCTATTGTGTTTGAGGGTCGTGGAGAACCACAAGGAGGATTCGGTCCCCCCCTTTCCCCGTTAACAGTCCAGAACCGAACTGGCGATCTCTCCGGAGATCCGGATCTTTGTGCTGTTTTTTGAACAGACGGTCGGCTGGTCCAGTCGACCTCTGCATCCGGTTAACGGATACTTCCGGTCATTTTGTATGGAGAAATTGAGGAAAATTAGCTCGTATGCAACCCGCAAAAACAGCACAATTTCCAAAATGGCCTGTAAAATAGCGGGTTTAAATAAAACGATTGTTCTGAAGATTGGTTCTAACGTGCCGTTTTAAGGGCGTTCGAACGGTGTGCCTATCGTCCCGATACGATGCTTCTGGGTCGGGTTAGAGGGGGCGCATTTTTACTGGGGCATCCAGTGGTACCTTGGCGGGATTTGCACGATTTGCATTTGCATGATTTGCATTTGCATGATTTGCCTGGCGGTGGCGGTGCGAAAATTGGCGCTGCTCGGCTCATTCTATCGTCTGGCACCACCGTCGCAGCACCGCTCGGACAACAAGGACAATGGAGAAAATGGGCGGAGGTGGGACCCTGGTCCTTGGCCTTTCAGATGACCGGGGTGCGGGTTATACCAAAATGTTTGTCGTGCTCTCGCAAAGCATTTCGTATAACCAATAACTAGAGGTTAGTCGATAGCACTGGACGAGCCTGACGGACATTTCATGCAAAGTTTAACCATTTTTTATACAGGCTGCAGGCACCCCACCAGGTTGAAGTTCACCCGAGGTTCCGTTGAAAGGGGGGGGGGGTCAGCTGATGTTTAGTTCCTTTTTATAGCATCTTGGCGGTTTATGGCCGCTAAAAATCCTCGTCAAGGCGAAGCAGTACAGGGGTGCGCTGCATTTAGCACCTCCCGCCTTTTCAGGACGTTTCGCGTTCCCGGAGGGTTCGGAGAAGCCAATTCATGGGCAAGGCTGGATGCTTTGGTGGTGCAAAGGATAGTGGGTTTTTCTGGCCCTTGAATACGTAATAGTTCCACCGCTGCATGAGATCAGGGCGGCTACGGTTCCGGTTTGTCTAGGGTCCATTTTCAGCACGGCCAGATTTGATTACGAAGCTTCCAAGGACGACCAGAAAAAGTACGAGGAGGATTTGAAAGAGGAGCCCGGCTACGGGACCTACTACTCGCTGCTCATCAGCATCTTGCTGATCATGTGCGTGCCGGCCGTCTGCATTGCCGCCGTTGCCGGGGGAGGTGAGTGAGCTTAAGCCTGAGTCTAAGCTTAATCGTGGGACCACTCCCAAGCCTATTCCTGAGCCTGACCTTAGCCAAAGCGGAAACCTACCCCTAACAAGCGAAGCCGGAGCGGAAGCCAAACCCTGAGACTAAGCGGCAGTCTAAAGCTGAGCACAAGCCTACGCCTATAATAACCGGTTTTCAGCCGCATTTGTCGTCGGACGTATGCAGGGCAAGAAGGGCAGTCTGCCCCCCGCCAATCCGCCGCCCAGCCAGTCGCTCGTCTCTTCTACCAAGTCGCAGGGCTGAAATACACGATTTGGTAGGTTTCACTCGCGCGCGCTCTCGCTGTCTCGTTCTCTCGTTTTCTCTCGCCCTCTCTGATCCTCCTTTTTCAGAAGCAACCGATCCCCATCTTATCACCCATACGAACAACTGCAATCATCATCTTCTCCAGGATCTCTACAAATGCCCTTTTAACCCACCAGCCCTCTATACAGTATCCCTTCACTCGTTTTCGATAAAGTGTCGTTTTGATTCGTGCGCACACCCAATTTTGTATCTCGGCCCCCTGTTGGTCTACAGAATGTTCGTCTTGATCTGGCGAGTAGTTTCGTATGCCTTACACCCCCCCCCCCCCCCAGCACAACGGACGGAGAGCGGAGATACAGTAGGCGAGGATCGGCTGTGGGGGGGGGGGGGGGGGGGATCTGGTGCTCTCTACATATAACTACCCTTTATGGACACCTGAAAACTCGCAGAACATTTCGGCATTATCGCTTGGACGTTTATTTCCACAAAAAAATTACTTGCAAATTAGCATCATAGTCTTGCATCCGGAAATCAGTCGAAAACCGGCATGAAAATAGGCCGCCATAGCTAGCTTGTCATCCGCACGACGCTGCTTCTCGCTGGCAATGAACACGCAGAACGGAACGTCGTCTACTTGGGCCGTGTCGAACTCGACGAACGCGACGGTCATCAACGACGGATGGGTGAGCGGATCGTTTACTATGTTCGTCGGTCGCACGCCTTTACGGCGTTCGGCCTTTCGACCTGGGATTTTGTGGGTGAATTTTGTAAACTTTTCGACTGAAATCGAATGGATTCCGAAATTAAGACGAAAATTTTGGTATACTGTACAGTCCTGTGGCATCAAGAGGAGTGGAGAAACCTTTTTTCAGGTGCGCGGCAAAAGCGCGTTGCCGAAGCGCGGCCGGCGGGGAGCCAATCTGGATGAGAATGGGGCGCCGTGCTTCAGCTGTTTCTTTGTCGATGGGTGCCGTGGAGGGTGGGTTACCGTGGGTATACTTTACAGATACCTTCGAATTTCCAGGATGTTGCTTGGCAACTGCCAGACCGTAGAGATGGGATATTCGGGTTGCTGCTACATCCTCACCTTCTTCGCCGCCCTCGCCCTCTTCCCGGCCGTCTTCCTCGCCGGTGTCGCTGGCATGCGTCGGTCTTCCATTAATTTTTGCGTAATGGCGGAAAGCAGCCTATCTTAGCCTGATGTAAACTAGCAAGCTTCCGCGACGGTCCGCTGAACACCCTACTTTGCAGTGGGCTACAAAGCCGGCCACGACCAGGCGTCGAAGCGCTAGCCGCCGCCCCGCTCGCCCGGCCGCCAAGCAGTTACTTATCCGATTATTCGATCTGTATCTCGTTATGTCAATCTCTCTCTGTCTGCTGTATTCGACACGATGTTATGATACCGCCCCGCTCTGAACACCTCGCCCACGATGCTCGTCTACCAATAAACTTTAATAAACTGTTCTTATGGGCGCTTCATTTTTGTGAAAAGTTCCTGAAAGCCCGAAGTTCACCGAACGGACCGAGCCGCCCGGGGTTGGTTTCCTAAATGGTGGACAGAGCAGGGAAGCACCGTACCCGCTAATAATCCGACCCGGGGGCCGCTTCTATAAACTGTCATTTTGCTTTTCTGGCTTATTTTTTTTTTTGAAAAGTTGCGTTTCGTACACCGATTATTTGTATCTAAACGTGTAATGACAGGAAAGCTTCTTTGTCTGTATCTCCATGATATGCGCGCAAAATTCGGCCAAATTAAATTTTACGATTTTTTCTAAAATACCGTTTTTCAGCTGAAATGTCTGTATTTTGGCCATATAGTGCGTTTTGAGGTGAAAAACGATTGGGAAGGCTTTGGGTCAAAAAATTATAGCCTTTTCGAAAACAGTAAAATCGTAGGTTTTGCAGGTTTTTGACAGCCAAACCTTTCATTAGTTGTAGAATTTTTCAACCATCCCTCTTTTTGATATTTTGTCTACTTTGCTTTTCAACTTGATTTCCGCATATTTTTGTTGCCAATAGATCATATTTTTTCAGATGAACCTACAATTCTTGATGCTGGTCGGGGCGATATTGCCGGTTTCCCGCGCCGACGAAGACCGCTGGGCATACGATCAACACCTGGACCCGCTTGAGGGCGCCGCGCCGACCAAATCTACCACATCTCCACCAGCCGGCCAGCCGGACAACCCCGATGCTGCTGTGCCACCGACGATGAACACCAAGGGCGGCTTCGAAGGTCTCAGCGTGGCACAAGTGCAGGCGAAGCTCGAGGACATGCGGAAGAAATTAGGCCTAACGCCCGAAGACCCCAACGATCCGCTGTCGAAACCGATTTCGAAGGTGGGCGTGATCCCCAAAGCTGTTCAAGGTACCTTTGTGCTTGCTTCTCAAAACGCTACTTTAGTGGAGCTTTTCGAGAGGGATCCGCAGCTGAGCGACTTCTACCACGAGCTCACCTTCAACGACGTGGCGCAATTCGCGAAAACCGGCCTTCCGTTGTATTACGGCGACATCCGCGGGATCGAGAGGGTAGGCGAATTTGGGCAATGCTATCATGTACCGCTTTCAGTGGTTCACGATGCTACACGCGCACAGTCTCCGCACGTCCAGGAAGGTGCGCAAGTTCCGCGCCGAGTGGGAGGAGCACTACGCACTGCTCAACGAGGGGGCCAAAGCTTTTTTGCGGGAGGTACGGTTGAATTTCGCTTGTTGCAGACTTTTTTTAGATCGCCGGAACCGCGATGGGCCTTGTGGAAGAACGGCAAATCTCCTTCGGGCTTTGGGTAAATTTTTTTACTTTCGCGGATTGGCAATGGACTATGTTTCTGGATCGGTATCGGACGGCCAATCCCGTCTTAGACGGTTATTTGCAAAAAAAAACGTAGAATATTTCGTGTTGGAATTTCCAGAAAACGTTTCATACAATTTTTGCTTTCGGAAACTAGTATAAAAGCCTTACTTTTAGTATTGGATATAGGCCCACAAAAGACAATTGGTTTTGGCCGTCGATAACGATCCAGGTGCATGGACCGCCATTTTTTGAGCTTTGCCATGCTTTTGCAAATCATTTTTTTCAGCTCGGAAAGTTACAACTGACGTTCGCGGCGCAACAAGCTTACATCCTCTCTTCCTTGGAGCTGCATGTGCCGTCCATCCACCGACTCTTCAGTGGTATAGCATCGATGTTTTCTGGCAACCATTTTTTTCCTTTTAGACCCCACGCTGCCGTTCATCGTGCGCGACATGTTGCACACAGTTTGGCTGCACCGTCCCAACAAGCCGCACTTCGACCTCGGCCCCGAATTCGAGAAGGTGATGAAGGACTGAAGCCTATTGTGATTCGATTGTATACTATGTATTTTGTGTGCCATTCGATATTCTGTCCAGTGTCTGCGAACACCACGTGTAATTTTGTATGTTGTAATTCCATGTGCAGTCGGTAAGCGCTAATATGATTTGATAAAAGTTGCAATCTCATATTTACACGAGCACTGTGGCTGGGTCCTGAAACTTTTTGCTCAAATCTTCCGGCTAGGCTTTGCCCTGAAGCCTTGGAATCGGTTACCCCGTGCAATTGGTAGCGCCGTGTCGGTGCCATACGTTGCCTTGGCAACTATCAAGGAAAACTCACACTCGGCTTGATCAACAACAGTAATTGTCTAATATAACGGAAATATCTTATTTGTACATTTATGAAACCGTTTTAGGTAATGAACCTAAAATTTTTGATATTTGGCTCGCTGATCGCCATCAGCGCCTGCTGGACGGATCCGAGGGATGCAAACTGGGAGATCTTGATCGATAAACTGCCGAAGGAACTTACAGGTAGGCCATGGAAGGTGATGGAACCTCGTGGAAATTTATGAGGATAAAATTCCGTAAACCAACCTAATTTTCAGACGATATTCTCGAGGATCTCGAGTGGTTTTTCCGGTCGCTCGGCTACCTGGATTGGTTCACGATCCAGAATCTAGTCCCGTATCTGAGCAAATTGGAGAGTATCGACGAGGTTGGGATTCAAGACGAATTAAGATATTTTTAGATAATGTTCATGCTCGAGCGAGCTACGCCGGCCACACATCAGAAATTCCTGAAATTATATAACGACTGGGGCGAGCGGTTCGGGCTGATGACGGCGCGGGCTCAGGATTTTGTCAAAGGGGTAGGATTTATGAAGAATTTTGCCTTATGCTTATGTCTGATGCTGTTTTACAGTCTTTAGAGACAAAATACGCTAAGAAGAATTTCTAGGCGCTGAACGTCCTCTCTGGCGTCGATGACTACCCGGAAGACACTGACGACACCACATGGGTAAGTGAAGCTCAAAAAAAGGAACGAAAATACGAACTATATTTTAGGCACGATGGCTCCAGGGGCAGTTTAAAACAGAGTTGACGCTCGAGGATCGCGTTTCGGTGGCGGTGAACATGCCAACGGTGTATAAATTGCTGGCAGGTGGGCTAAGAAGTTAAAAAAAAAAACCTAAAATATGTCTTATGCTAGTAAGCACGCTTTATGAAATCTAGTATTTATTTTGTTACTTGTAACAATTGTCGAAAAAATCCCTGGATAGTTTTGTCTGTAAAAAAATTATAGTTAACTTCAAAAATAGCTTTAAAACCTAAAGTATTGCTATTTTCAGACCCAAAATACCTGGATCGCACGAATGAGCGGCTGATTCTGCTCTACGACCTGTACTCGGCGTTCGAGGAGGGCGACGAGGCCGAGGTGGTCTTCTCCTTGAACAGCGACAAGCCGGCAAAGGCTTCCGCCAAACCGGCAGAACGATTCGAGCCATTCCATGAGGAATTCTAGGCTTTTCGACGACTTCTACTTTCCCCACGGGTCTTTCTCGATGTATCACACTTAATTTTAGGTATTTGGCTCAAATTTGAGCATTAACTTCTGTTTTGACACTTATGGGGCTGTACTTCTTAATTTTCGGGGTTTTCGTAACGATAAACTAGTCCATTTTGCAATAGTCGATAGTGATAGCTTTAACACCACTGCTCAACCTCGAAATATCACGTTAAAATGTCGGGCCTCGGGGTATATCTTTTCCGCTTTCATCGGGTTTTCCATTCCGTTGTCGTGTTGCCATCGACCCATGCTCGTTTGCCATGATTATAAAGCTTTATGGAATGAATAAAGGCTTTAATATAAGTGGCTAGACGAAATTGCGATTTATCACGATTAAAACTATATCAAAAGTTGTTGTTTTTACGTTTTTACAGCCAGGGCCCTCAAGAGGCTCATTTTTCAGCAGAAAAAGTCTCGCCTGGGCCTGGAAAACAATATTCGTGCTTATTAGGTTTTTAGATGCTTTCAATATCATTTTTATAAGGTTGTATTTGCCAACACTTGCCATTCCCCACTGGCCCTAACCGATTACGCCGCCGGCAATAGGTGCCCGAGGTGGCTGGCCTTACAACGTAAAGCCCCGGCCCTGGCTAGAGGTTTGGCAAGTTTTAGCGCAAGTTCTCTATCTTTCGTAAAATCCTGCCGTTTTGTATTTCATATAGATATCTAAAAATCATTGCGTTAGAGATTCACTAAAAAATAATTTGAAAATAAATGCTATAAATTTAGCAATTTTTATAAATATCTAACCTTTAAAATTTTCAAAAATTGCGCAAAACTTCAATTTTACATGGTTTAGCAACGTTTATCGTAAAAATCTACCAAAATTCTTCCATTTTTATAGTTAGTTCAATTTTTCGGATCGTTACGTTATAAAATTCATTAAAAAAAATAGCTAAAAACAATTTTCAGGATGATAACGCGGATTTTCTTACTTTTGTCCCTCTTTTTCGTCAATTTCGGATACGCCCTCGACGAAATTACTGAAGAGCGACTACGCGACGTTTCTCTGGACGCGCTAATTGATATATTACCAGACGAAATTAAAGGTAAGTCATTTTCATGTTTTTAATGTTGGAAACTCTGGCTCAATCTCTATCGCACGGGCATTCAGAGGACAGGGCAAGCGCCTGTGAGAGGAGGGTCGGCTCCCTATAGCTCTCACACACACTCTCTCTCTCTCTCTCTCTCGCTCTCTCGCTTTCGATACTTATGCAAATTGTCAAATTCCAGACGATATAACTGAAGATATCGGCCCTTTTCTCCGAAGTCTCGGCTATAAAGATTTAATAACCTTCAAGACGCTCTTCGATTTTCCGGTAAAGGATATGGAGGAGGTAATTCTATTCAAAAAAAAAATAGAAAAGTCTTTAAAAATCATTCACAAAACTCGGAAATGCTTTAGGCGATGGTGAGGCTCGCAAAAGCCAATTTGCCCACCTATGAAAAAGCGATAAATCTGTTCAATAACTACACACAGCGATATGCCAAATCCACAAAGAGGGCGCAGGCATTTTTTGAAGTGGTAAGAAAATGGATTTAATTTGGGTTTATCGTTTCTGGGCATTAGCAAAAATTAGAGAAAATAAGTAGTTCGTGAAGCAAGCAAAGATTCTTAACAAAAGTGGCTTTTCAGATCCACAAGCGCATCGAGACGGGCGAGATTTTCGACCTCGGAGAAGATTGGGTAGGTCAATTTTTGAACCATAAAAATCGAAAACTATTTTCAATCTTTTTTAGTCACAAGGGATGCAGATGGTGTACCTGGAGGTGCTATCAGATGAGGACCGCGATTCTGTGGCCAAGAATATGCCATTTATTCACCGCTTGTTCTCAGGTAAATTTCTGCATAATCCCGGCCGGGCAAAAGCTCGAAATTGAACATCCCGACACGCGAAAACCCCGACATTCAAAATTACGATGCCGGAATTCAAAAGCTCAGTAGGGGCAAGATATCGAGATTCAAAATACCGACATGCCAGAATTCCCATATTCAAGACGCGACAGCCCAAAATCCCGACAAGAAGAAAACTAAACAGGATGTTGATCTGTCGTGATTTTGACCGCGTTTATTTTGCTTGTCGGTATTTTAACCACATAGATTTTGCTTGTCGATATTTTGTGGCATCTCCTTACTTTGATCTGCCGGAATTTCCAAGTTCCGGGCTTGGCTGTCGGGATTTTCGCCTGTCGGGATTTTGGGGTGTAGTTAGTTTATTTTCGGCATTTTCGGGTTTGAGTTTCTCAATCAGATTTTGGCTGTCGGTATTTTTCTTTTTCTCCGGAAATTCGATATGATTCTAGACCGAAAATTCCTGGACCGGATGAGCGAACGGCTTGTCCTAATCTATGCCACCTATTCCGGCATCAGCCTCGAAGAACTGGCAGCGCCGGAGATTGGTGAAATTGTAGTTGAGGATCCGGAAGAAGCGGAACAAGACGAAAAAGTACGATATCACGATGAATTTTAGCTATCAAATTTTTGGTGAAAATTGCTTGCCATTTGTTTTTACGGGTTTTTGCTTGTCTTGCTTTTTCATGATCTGCCCCTTGCCATGTTGCTCAATAAAGCTTTAAATAATGCATCGTTTTACGCAAAGAAGAACCATCCTAAAAGAGCTTAGAAAAAAGGGGAAGCAGATATACCAAATTTTACGTTTGGGAAATTTGGGAAAAACATAAATTCTATGATAAGCAAGCTTTAGAAACTTTATAAACTTTTCGAAAATTCGGAACCTTTGACTCCCGCGACACTCTAAAGGGAGCGCTACAGTAGCACTTTTGCGGAAAACTACTTTTCCTCGATTCAGCTCACCTCACAGTGGTGACTCACCGAGGGATGATGAGCGAACGAATGGCGTTTTCGCATAAAATGAGGGTCTTTTCGCCGAATCGCAAGGTATTTACAAATTATTGAGGTGAGTAGCGCTGGTTCCGAAAGTTTTGCCAAATTTTCCAAGCTCTCTACTTACCTGGATCGCATCCGGAAGCTCGAAGAAAAAACCCGGTTGAAGGAACATGTAAAAACCCAGACAAGGGAAATGCTGACATCCAAAATACCGGCAACCAAAAGCCGTAAGGCCGGGGTTTAGCTGTCGCGATTATGGCTGTGCAGATTTTGACCTGTCGCGATTATGGCTTTGTAGATTTTGACCTGTCGGGATTTTAGCTGCACAAACTTTTTCTGTCGGCATTCCAGCTGTCGGGATTTTGTTTGTCCGGATTTCGGCTGTCGGCATTATGGTTGTCTAATATTTAGCTTGTCGGGATTTCTCTTCTCGGACTTTCAACTTTCAGGATTTTGCCTTGTCGGGATTCTGCCTTTTCGAGATTTTGTTCTGCAGGAATTTTCGCTATCGAGATTTTTGGCTATCATTGGGTCCTAAGCCTAATCCTAAGCCTAAGTCTATGTAAGCCCCAACTGTCATATTTCATCTTGTCCGGATTTCCGGTTGTCGGGATTTTGGCTTATCCGGTTTTCCGCTGTCTGGATTCCCGCAATCAATGTTTTGCTTTGTCGATATTATGGTCAGAATTTGTGCCCAATTACCATCAGTGCTAATTTTTTGGATCGACAAAACCCCCAAATTGATCCCCACATTCCCAGCGGCCATTTCGACGCCAGCGTGCGCTGCGGCAACAAGGAAGGGCGAACGGATCGACTCGGAACACACAGGGCGCGGAATTGGAAAAATAACAGACTAAAAAGCGGAAAAAGGGATCTGCCGATCTCTTCCCGGCAATTGATATCCATCCCCCCAAATGTCCCCAAGATATCGATATGAATCTCGTTGATGGTCACGGCCACCCGTCCACTCCCAGCCGAGCTCCGTTTTGCGCGGCGAGTTGGGTGAACTTGTGAAAAATGGGAAAATGGGCTCTCGCCGAGCAGCACTCCCCCCTTGAATCTTTCCATCCAATCCAAATCCCATCACCGGCCCCAATCACAATGCAATAACGACAAATGTCTCACTGGGCGCGATTACGCCCTGACGATTTTTCGGTTTCCTCATGATTTCTTGGATTTGAGACGTTGGGTTTAAAACTATGCTGTAGTTACTGTAGTATACTGTAGTTTGGATCTTCCTAGAATTCAGGATTTTTATTACGAGACTGTAGTTTGGATTTTTGCAAATTTATTGAATTAAAAATTTTGTTTTTTTTGGGGTTGAAAATGCGATTGTCGTCTTGGGACCAATTTTACCGTAGCTCTGGTCTTCCTAATAATTTAATTTGTACTTATAGAGTTATTTTAATTCATGGATTAATTTAACTTTAAAGAAAATTAGCTTTTTTAATGTGTTTCAATGCTAAAAAAATTCGTTTGAAATTGTGCCCGAAATCGTCCAAAAACCGATTTTCCCGTTTTGGAGTTTTTCAAAGTTTTTATGTATTTTCAACTCTTTAATACGATTAGTTTGTAGCCCTTCAACAAGTGCATCTGTTGGTGTAATCGAAATTTTTCGTGATCCCGTAAAAGAAACAATCAATAGACAAGCTCAAGCCTAAGCCTAAGCCTAAGCCTAAGCCTAAGCCTAAGCCTAAGCCTAGGCCTAAGCCTAAGCCTAAGCCTAAGCCTAAGCCTAAGCCTAAGCCTAAGCCTAAGCCTAAGCCTAAGCCTAAGCCTAAGCCTAAGCCTAAGCCTAAGCCTAAGCCTAAGTCTGAGCCTAAGCCTAAGCCTAAGCCTAACGCTTTTCAGGGTCCCCATGCAGCCTTCAATCGGGGTGATCACCCTGCTGCTGGGCTGTTGCCTTGCCCCGTTTATCGGGGCCCAGGAGTCGCCAGCACCCCCAACTGGCGGCCCTTGCGATGACGCCCCGACGCCGTCGGCCAAGAAAGTCTGTCTCCAGATGACAAAGTGGAACGCGAATGCGAAGGTACGAAGAATTGGCGGAAAATCGATAATTTTTGAATTTAAGAAAAAAACTTTCGAGAAACCTTCATTTTTCGTGACTTCCGAAAGTGAAAAATCTCACATTTCAGGTTTAACAAAAAATTTCGAAAAAACCTGGATTGTTCAAGTGCTGTCTCGAACTAGAACTCCGCTTCTTTTCAGGTAGAAGCCTCAAAGAAGAAAACCGTGGCTTTACCACCTGGAGCCGCTGCTGGCTTTGCTGCTGACTTGGCCCCAATTGCGACCAGCTTGGAGGCTTGTGTTGATATGGCCTGCATGTGCCAATTCTTGGCCGGTACGAATTTATCGATTTTTACCAGAAAATTTGTTCAGGAAGTCGAACAACCCCATGCAGCGTCAACGGGAAACCGGTTACGAAGGTAAATTCTGTTTTCGTCTCTCTCTCTCTCTCGCTCTCTCTCTCGCTATATCTCTCTCGCGTTCGCTCTCTCTCTCTCTCGCGCTGTCTATCACCTTCTGAAGTTTAGACAATCCGCAAGGAATACCGTATGATGACCGACGCGGAAAGGCAGCGCTTCCACGCGGCGTTCCTTGAATTCCGAAGACTTGGAAGGTTCACTCAGAACGGTTTGTCTTTTAGTTTTTCTTGGCATATGACTTAAAATGCCGAAAAATTTGACTTAGGCTTTCTGAAAAATTATAATTCTTTGCTTTCGATCTTCTAAAGCCTAAAGGAAGTCTAAAAAATTTCTGCAAGCGTCTTTTCTCAGGCCCTTTACAGCTAGAAATTCCCCGGTTTCAAAGTATACGAATGTGCCCTAAGAACAAGCATCGAAATTCTGGCTGGCATGTGCGTTTAAGAACCTAAAGGCCGATTTAGCCGCTATGCACAGCTCGATGGGTATGTCTGGAGGCGCACATGGAGGCCCAGCTTTTGCCGGATGGCATCGTGAATTCGTCAAGAGGTTGGAAAATCTATAATGCGTTTCAGCCCTTTATTCTAAAACCCTTCCTCACTATAACTTGCGCAATCTCTCGCTCTCTCTCTCTCTCTCTCTCTCTCTCTCTCTCTGATTATATCGGTACGTCATGTAGCTCACTGAGGTTTTCATACAGTCTTAGCTTCACTACCCCTTTAGGATCGAGTTCGAGCTGAAGAAGATTGATCCGGAAGTGTACCTCCCCTACTGGGACTCAACTCTGGAGTGGCGTCTGCCCAGAGGCCAGGACAGTGTCTTGTTCGGGTGGGTGTGGCAACGATTTTTTGAGAATTTTTCGCTACAAGGGAAGCTAGTAGAGACAATTTGAGCGCTGCCAAGGCCAAGTGGCAACCTAGAAAACACCCTTAGATCCAAAAAATTTTTAGAGATGAGCTTATGGGAACCCCGGTCGGAAACGTCGTCACCGGAGCGTTCAAAGGATGGACGGATACTAGCGTAAGATTTTGATGTTATTTTTTAACTCATCGACAATTTTAGAACCAACCCCTCCGTCGCAACACCGGAGGCGAAGGACAACCCTTCTCGGTGGGACTGTAGTATTCGGCTTAAGCGTAGTTTAGGACCCTGACATCGCTCAATTCTTGAACCAGGCAACGGTCCAGGCTGCTTTTGCCTATTCGCCGGAAGGAGGAGGTGTAGGTTTTTGAAAAAAGCGAGAGAAAGTGCGAGAGAACGAGGGAGAGAGCGAGAGATAAAGAAAGCGAGAGAGTGAGAGGGAGAGAGAGAGGGAGAGGGAGACAGAGACCAAAATTTCTTTGAACTTTCTAGTGCCCCGTACCGCAGAACTACTACAGTCTGGAGATGATCCACGGCAACGTGCACCTTTGGATCGGAGGTACGAAAGTTTTTTTGCAATTTTTAGCGATTACAAAATGAATGTGTTTTGGATACTGTGATATGGATTTTTTTATACTTATTTTAACTTTTTAAGGCCACATGGAGCGCCCCGAAAACTCAGCCAACGACCCCATCTTCTACCTCCACCATTGCTTCGTCGACTTGCTGTTCGAGTTGACCAGGCAGAAAAATCAGGTATATTTCCAAAATTCAGTCCCTTGATGGCTCTCATAATGTGGAAAAATAGGTAAAAAAACCCTGCCAAGAAAATCAAATTTTGAAAAATTTTGGATAGCTGGAAATTCGATATTATGAAATATTTTATCATTTAAAAACTACAGTATTTTAGCTTGTGCAGAACTTTTGCGCTCGAACTTGCCCAATATCTAAAAATGACATTTCCAGGACCGCAACCGCCGCGAGACCGAGTACCCACCGGATAACGCCCTCTGCTCAAACCCACAGCACTTCTCGGGCGCCAGAATGGCACCATTTAACCAATACAGGTACTGTAGCGTACCGTATTCTGTTTACCTGCAATTTTTAGGAACATTGATGGCCTCTCCAACAAGTACACCGACGAGCTGTACGAGTACGCGCCAAGGCCGACTTGCACTGCCCAGAACCCTAGCTGTGGCAGTCGGTAAACTGAATTTTTGGTTTATGGGGAGGGGAAAGCGCAGACTAAAATCAAAAGTAAAACTAAATTGAATTTTTCCATCGTAAGGCTTTTATAGCGTCCTTTCCAGCGTTCTTAGGGTGTCGTCAAACATTTATTTTCGAGAATTCGCCTTTTTTTTTCAAAATTTATGGACTTGGTCTAGCACAGTTTCAATAGTATATTAAGTTAGCAATACCTTGAAAAGAATACTGTCAAAAATCAGCACCAAAATGTAGCTGATCAACTTTTTTCAGCTTCCTCTTCTGCGACATGTCCCACGGGCAGGCCCGCTGCGCCAGCAAGGTTCGCGTCGGCGGCAGTGTAAGTTCATTTTGGGAATTTTAAAGGAGCTAGGAAGCGCCGGGGCAACGCTCACTAGAACCTAGGTCTCGCCAGTTCCTGAGAATTCTACAAAATGCTTACACCTTATTTATTAAAATCACGACTCGCTGTTCTCTGGCGGGCAAAAAATTGATTTGTACTTGCGTTTTGGGAGTATAAGGCGGCTGTCGAGACCTAGTCAATGGAGGGTCGATTTTGGGACATCCTTGGCTTTTAAAGGAACATGCAAGTCAACTAATACCTCAGATCTTTAGTGCCAAGGCTTCAACGCCAACGAGGACTCGTGCTACAATGGGCGTTGCCAGGCCGGAGTTTGTGTGGCTTCGGTAAGCATATACCTTTCGAGATACTGTAAACTATAATAACTAACTAAGAAACGAATCATTGGGCCTTATTTTACTGCCATAGACCAAATAATAACTTTTAAGGGCCCTCCAGTGACGACCCCCGCTCCTGTGACAACTACCAGGCCCAATACGAATACTGTACCGCCACAGCAGGTGAGGGAGAGAGAGAGAGAGAGAGAGAGAGGGTGCGAGAGAGATATTGAGCGAGCGAAGCAGACGCCTAATTTCAGAACGATTGTTGGAACGAGAACCAGTGTTGCCAATCCTGGGCCGACCGTGGAGAGTGCCAACGCAACGCTCAGTACATGAGGGACTTCTGCAAGGCGTCCTGCAACTTCTGCAAGCCCCAAAAACCGCTGAGAGATGGTTAGAAAGAGAGGGAGAGAGAGAGAGAGAGAGAGAGAGGGGGGCAAGGGAGAGTGAGAGGAAGCTAACTCCATCCTCTTTCCAGACTGCACCGATCGCCACAACTCGTGCGCGTCGTGGTCCCGCTCCGGCGAGTGCAACCGGAACCCGGATTGGATGGCCGAGGTTTGAATGGCCCTTTAAAATGTATTCTACATTCCAGAATTGCCGACAAAGCTGCAACAAGTGCCAACAGACAAGATCCCAGGCGTGTGCTGCTGGAAATCGTAAGTGAACCTAGCTTCAGCCCAAGCCTAGGCCTAAGCCTAAGCCTAAGCCTAAGCCTAAGCCTAAGCCTAAACCTAAGCCTAAACCTAAGCCAAGCCCAAGCCTAAGCCTAGTTTTTCAGAAGCCACCACGCCTCGACCGGCCGAAGACAAGTGCCTATCCCCTGGCTGCTTCAACGAGTTTGCCTGCTGCCCCTTGTGGGCTATGCAAGTGAGCTTTAGAGAGAGAGAGATAGATCGAGAGATAGAGAGAGAGAGATAGATCGAGAGATAGAGAGAGGGAAACAGACTTTACTAAAATTTTTAGGGCCAATGCCGCAGCAACCAAAAGTTCATGTCCTGCCAGTGCAAAGTGTCCTGCGGAATCTGCTACTCTCAGGATTATCCTTATGGATGTGAGTTTTTAAAGGGACTGGGAATCCACGTCCCACAGTATTTGATCAAATTTTTTCGTTTTAAAGGGACTTGGAAGCGAAAAGCTACAGTATTCTATCCGCTTTTTAGCTTGTACCGACTACCACAAGGACTGCGCCGCGTGGGCTCGAAATGGGGAGTGCCAGAAGAACCCATGGATGGAGGAGAACTGCCGATCGTCGTGTAATACCTGCTTCGCGCAGTGGGAGTTGCCGAATATGTGTGGAGCGACCAGCCAAGCTGGGTAAGGCGAGAGAGAGAGAGAGAGAGAGAGAGAGAGAGAGAGAACGAGAACGATAGCGCGAGGGAGAACGAAGGAGCGAGCGAGTGAAGATAAAGTGAAAGAGAGAGCGAGAGAGAGATAGAAAGAGAGAGAAATAGTGAGACGCAGGCGTCAATAGAAATTTATGTAGCCGCCGCCCAAACCTACCGCTTAAAGAAATTTTAAGCTCCTTTAAGCTTCTTTAAGTAGATTTTAAAATTCAGAGGTTGTTAACTCATTTTAAAAACCTTCACAATTCTTCAAAATTCCAGCCTTATCGCCGGCCGACGTCAGCAAAACGCTCAGCAGCAAACCCCTCGTGGTGGCTGGTTCCAAAACGGGTGGAACAACGTGCCGCAAGGAGGCGGACGAGGTGGAGGAGGGCCCAGGAGAAGACCCGCTGGCCAAAACGGATGGGGCCAACAACAATGGGGCGGACAGGGCGGAGACGGGTGGTCGCCGAATCAGGGAGGAGGCGGATGGAATAATGGTATGTATCAGTTAGCCTAGAAATTTTCCAAATTTAGGCGGACTCGTCGGCAACATCCTCAACAGGTTCGCAGGCGGCGGATGGGGCCAGGGCGGTTGGGGCAGGCGCCGGAGGTCAGTTTGGGTCGCTCGTTCGAGCTAGAGAGAGAGGGAGAGAAAGAGAGAGAAAGAGAGAGAGAGAGAGAGAGAGAGAGAGAGAGAAAGGGAGGGAGAGAGAGGGAGAGAGAAAGAAATATCAATGATTTTAGGGAAGCTCAACCGGTCAACGGAAGTTCAAAGCCTTAAATCACGGCTCGCCAGGGCCAGAATAACCCGAGGAGTAATAAAGAGATTTTTTGAAGTCGGCGAAAATACATCGAAATGCAGCGAGAGGGACAGACAGAGAAAGAGAGAGAGAGAGAGAGAGAGAGAGAGAGAGAGAGTGAGAGCGAGAGCCAGAGCGAGAGCGAGAGCGAGAGAGAGAGCATGAGAAAAACCTAGCGATTTTAAACTGCTAAACGAAAAACTGCAAGAACGCTGGTAAGCTTGAAATTTCGAATCCCGCTCAATGCCTAATTTGCATAATCGCGCTTTCGGTAAGCTATGCACACAAAATTCCCCATTCTCAGCCGCCCAAGCTACACCAAACGGTTTGTTTTCCTTCTCCTCGGCGTGAAACCGGTTGAAGAACATCACCCAAATGTTGCCCTCAAAGCTGCTCGCCTGCCTCTTGCTGATCAGCAGCCTGAACGGCGTCTTCGTGCGGGCCAATAACGCGACGACCCAGCCGCCGCCGCCCCGCTGCCCGCCCGGCATGCACGTCTGCACCGGATGGCAGGACGAGGAGCTGTGCATGCCGCTCAAATACAAATCCAACCCCGTGACCACCCCGCGCCCCACGGACCAATCGCCTCTGCCGGACTGGATGTACTGCAAATCCCTGATCAGCGGTCGGGATTTGATATCAAAATGGCTTAAGTATAATTTCGAGATTTTCACGTAGATGTTAGAGTGCAGTTCACTTTCCGCCAAAATTTTGCCAACTCGAAATTTTATACTGCCGAGATTTCATAATTTTCGACATTTCATCATGTCAAAAATTCGGGTAAGAGTTTACTTTACCCCCCCCCCCACAGCCGAAGGGTCCCACAGGTGTCGGTATTTTCGCTTATTTTTTCGGGATTTTCGCAACGCCATTCGATAGAGCGTCGAAAAATATACTAAGAGTTTTAATTTGAGCCTACAATAATGTAAAATAAAAAAGTTATAGCCAAAAACTTCCGGCTGGGGGGGGTAAAGTAAACCGTAGCCAAAATTCGAAATACCAACATTTTTTTTCTGTCGAAATTCTTCATCTCGAAATTTCGAATGTCGAATTTCAAAAATTTCAGAATATCGAAAGTTTGTAGTGTCGGTTTCGAAAATGCTTAATGTCGAGATTTCATAATCCCGGAACGTCAAAAGCTCAAAATATCAAAATTTTCCTGGGGCCGAATTTGATAAGGACGAAATTTGATTTGCGCTGCTGTAGCCCCCTCCCCCCGATAATGAACCAGAACCAACGCTTTTACGTACTCCGTTTAGACGAGGACAAGTGCATATGGGGCTTGGTCGTGTTCGAGGTGTTCGGCAAGCTCACCTGCACTTGGCCCATGAAATTTAAGCACAGCATGCTGCCCTACAACTGGACTATGGCCGGTCAGAATTTTTCAGTCGTGCCTAGGCCCGGCTAAGCCTAGGCCCAAGCCTAAGCCTAAGCCTAAGCCTAAGCCTAAGCCTAAGCCTAAGCCAAATCCTAAGCCTAATTGTAAGCTTAAGCATAAGCCTGAGCCTAAGCCCAAATCCATGCCTAAGCCTAAGCCCAAACCTTGCTTTTAGGCTGTAAGCCGTTAGAATTGAATTGTGCGCCGCAGACGCGAAAGGAGCCGCTCTGCGTCAACCAAGCCCAGGTGTCGGGTTGGATAGGCATCGATTCGCGTTGTGTGCATCCCCGTAAGCAGAAGGTTTTATATCTACCTCCCACTCTCTCTCTCTCTCTCTCTCTCTCTCTCTCTCTCTCTCTCTCTCTTTCTCTCTCTCTCCCACTTTCTTTTTCAACTCCATGGCTTTTTCAGTCTGCGCGAGGGCCGATCAGCACGGCTGTCGGGGAAAGTACGGCGCCGAGTGCATCGAATACAGCAAAATTCTCGAGATCAAGCGCGCGGAGAAAGCGGGCGAGCTCGACGAGTGCATCATGGAGCGGCCTACAGAGCCGCCTGCTCGGGCTGAGGGTGACGAGAAGAAGCCCACACAGTCGTCGCACGGTTGGTTTTAATTGGGGAGCTAAGGATTGGCTTATGCTTCGCTTGGGCATGGCTTAGTCTTGTCTTAGACTTGGCTTAGGCTTGGCTGAGGCTTAGGCTTGGCTTAGGCTTAGGCATGGCTTGGCTCGAAACCCGAAAACCATGTTTCAGGCGTCCCGCCCACCATGCCGGCCCTCGTGCTCCTCGTGCTCGTCCTCAAGGCGTTCGGCTAGACTGCACCTAGAGCGACTCGTCTAGGTGCAGTTTGTAGCTTGGAAAGTGGTCAATAACCTTGAATTTGGTTCTTTCGCATTATCGGGGGGGGGACAGGATATTTTTTCGGAACGATTTTTTAAATAGAAATATCGGAAGTGTTTCTAAACTTTTTTTGGCATCGCTAGACGTAAAAACTTTACAAAATTTTACTGAAAAATTCAAAAAATTAGGGGGTAAATCGATTTTTTTAGAATATAAAAATACAATTTCGATTTTTCAAAAAACTTGAAAGGGTTTAGATAGTTTTTCTAGAAAAATAATTTTATTTTGCCAAAAACATTTTGAAAAATTTCCTATCAAGTTACTAGGCATTGCTAGATTGATATTAAAAAAGTCCCCGCCCGGCCGAGAATGCCAAAGAACCATAATTCTATGGGATGTAAGTAATCTCACAGAACCTCAAATACAGTGTGGGTCAAAATGATAGGTCCATCTAGTTATTCGCAATTTTCTTGGCGGAGAAGAATTTTCACGCTAATCCAAATAGCAGGGCTTGTGGCCCTTGGAAGGACGAATTTTTTCATGTACTCGAGATATCTCTACAATAACGGATCACCGATTTATAAAGGAAAGAATGAAATAGTGCGAAAAACCGATGTGTCAAAATGATAGGTCCACACTTTACATATGATTACAATCAACAATGGGTATGAATATTAGATGCTAATCGGGATGCCGTGTAGAAAAATATGCATAGTCGCAAACTCATTTCGAAAAATCTAACCGGAAAATGATTACCATAATTAGGATATAATTAGCATCTAATATTCATACCCATTGTTGATTGTAATCGCATGTAAAGTGTGGACCTATCATTTTGACACATCGGTTTTTCGCCTATTTCATTCTTTCCTTTATAAATCGGTGATCCGTTATTGTAGAGATATCCCGAGTACATGAAAAATTCGTCTTTCCAAGGGCCGCAAGCCCTGCTATTTGGATTAGCGTGAAAATTCTTCTCCGCCGAGAAAATTGCGAATAACTAGGTGGACCTATCATTTTGACCCGCACTGTAGTAGGATACTTGTCATTTTTGCATTTTTCAGGCACTTTCCAGCCAGGACGACCAGCTGCCCGCCACCTACCGTATCCAGGCGACAACCCTCCGACAATGCGCCCAACCAGATAAAGCCGTCCCCTTTTTCGTGTTTGTTTTTGTGTATCGCCCCCTCTCCTTTTCTTCCCACTGTTTTTGTAAAACCCATAAACTTTTCGTTTTGTCCTCATAATTTCCCTCGCCCCAATCTCTCTCGTCGCCCCAAAGAATAAATCGTGAGCTGGTGCATTTCGGAGCCTTGGAAACAGCTTAAAAACCGGTTGAATTTCAGAATTGTGTAGGGGATTAACTCGGTCTTTTTAAAGGGTCACCTGTGTTTTAAAAATATCAATTCAGTCCAGCCTGCTTTAAAAGTCTCCAAAAAGCAAGGTCAAGTGGGTGTTGACGGGGGGTTTTTCTGGGATAACCCGCCAACTCCGGACCATTGCCTGCGGCCGAGTCCAAACTCGACGTTTATAAACCCCCGAAAAATGGGTGAGCCAGGTAGGGGAAGTTTCGGGGGCTGATGGGAAGCGCCTCACGGAGCTTGCAATTAGGGGTTTCTGACGAGTTAATCTTGCACGAGTTAGGGCCGAGAATCCGAGTCTTTGAAAGGAAGCGGTTAAGAAGAGGTTTAAACGCTTAAAACAGGTACTTTCGAACCTTTAATTGGTGTTATCCCGCGCGACTCGAATTTTTCGCAATCTGGAATCTTTTTTTGAGTTGCCGGTAGTTTCTAGTTGTCGTCGTGTACCTTGCGCGCGTTTGCGTCGTGTGTTGCGTCGCGTATTACTGGGCGGTTTGCATCAAATGCGTCGCGTGTTCCGGGGCGCGCTCTCTTGTGCGTCGCGTGCTGCCTTGCGTGCGTTGCATGCAGCGTCGCGTCTGTGTCGCGTGTTGCCTCGCGTCCTGTCTTGCGGACGTCGTGTGTTGCGTCGCATGCTGTCTTACGTGCGTCGTATGTTGCGTCGCGTGCTGTCGTGTGCGTCGCGTGCTCGTCGCGGTCTGCGTCGTGTGCTCCGCTTCGCGTTGCGTGCTAACTTGCGTGCATCGCGTACTGTGAGTTGCGTGAATCGGGTGCTACGCCGCGGTATGCGTCGTGTCGTCGCGTGCTTTTTTTTGCGTCGCGTGCCCTGTCTTGCGTGTTTCGCGTGCTGTCTCGCGTGCGTCACGTGTCACGTCGCGGTTTGCGTCGCGCGTCGCCTATTGCGGCGCCGCGAGGCTTGGTATCGGGGCTGAGGTTAGGCTTGAAAGCTTCAAAACGACGAAGCTCCAAGTACCTGCAAAGTTTCCGAACAATCCCAATAAATCTCCCCAAAAGCCGTTCCCAGCCATCAGCTGCGCGCGTTTTTTTTTTTTGAACGTTTCCGCCGACCCGGCCAGAACCGGTTTTCCCGTTTGTGCGCTGTTAAAACAACAAAAAAACATCTGCCGCGCCCTTGAAACTACAAAAAATCCTATTGCCTCGATGCGGTTTGGAGAATGGAAACTATCGTTTCCGGCGATAATTTTTCACTTTTCCAGCCGGCGGGGTTGATCATCAAAGATCCACGCGTAGAATTTGCAGCGTTTTTCCCTGGCTATATAAAGGGTAGGTCTCTGCTCCAAAATCGTGGAGCTCACGGCTACAGTATCCTACCGTAGCCCTCCAATTATTAGTCTGAATCTGTTAGGAAATGGACCTACGGCTCATCGTTGCTTTTGTGGTGAATTTTAGTTATTTTTTAAGGCGTTATCGTACAGTTATTAATGTCTATAGTGAGATTTTAGAAATTTTTCCTGGATCTTGAAACGGTAGGGGCTTTTGCATTATCGGGGGGGATTTGTCAAGGAGGACCAACTTTTGATTAGGGTTTTTTAATTTTTTTTCTTGGAAATCAAATATTACCAAAAAATTTATATTAGAAGATGTGAAGCTCATCTTATATTTTCCTTTCTTCAGCTCCTGACGCTCGGCACCTGCCGAAGAACGTACTGGCCGGTGCAGCGGTTGTTTACGCTTGACGAGGTGGGTACATTAGGTTTAGGCTTAGGCTTAGGCTTAGGCTTAGACCTAGGCTTAGGCTTCGGCTACTGAACCTTCCTGCGCCTTCCATAGTATCTAAACGTACCTTACAGCTTAACAAGGGCGAGACGTATCTAATCTTCTTCTACTGGAACCAATGTCAACGTTCGAATTGGTGCCTCCCGGAAATCCAGAAAGCAGCCCAGACCCTGTCAGACGAGTGGGGCATCAAGACGGCTTCATACGATTGGGAGGATATTGGCGTCGGGTCACTTAATGTGAGTTTTTGTTGTTCAAATACTAAACTAAACAAACTTTTTGTTAAAAATACAAAAAATATGGATTTTCCTCCGAAATGGTCGTTTGCTACAAAAACCTTAAAAAATTTTACCCCTTTTTAAATAGTTTTTGCGCTGGAAATCTAGCTAGGTTTTTGTAAAACACCATCAAAAACTTCAGTATTACGTAACTGCCATTTCTGAACCAATCGGAAAAGCTAGGTTTTCGAATTCCCCCCCCCCCGATAATGGAAAAGGCCTAATTGAGGCTGAGTCTGAGCGTTTCAGATTGATCAGCGCCTCGAGAAAATGCCCGGCGTGTACGTACGGGCGAGCGACGGGACGAGAATGAGGTTCCCCACCGATCCTATTGACGCCACTGCTGAAGGTATATTTTTTACATTATTTTTACATAAGGCCTTCGGCACTTTTTTTCTAGTTTTTCGGTCCCGTAGACGGGAAATTTCAAGCTAGGCAGGCAAGCTAGCGGAGAATCTTATGGAAAAACTATAGCGTCCGAACTTTCTTTGCAGACTTTGTCAACTTTGCCCTACGGTACCGGGACCACGCGAAGAAGACCGACTTTGGGCTGCATGATCACTGGGGAGTGGCTTACCGGTCTTGAAGCGGGAAACTCTCCACGTTTGGGTCAAATCGATACTCATATTGCTGTTTTTCTACAGCAACAAAAATCATGGCAATAAAATTCTTAATAATGTTTTTATTTTGAGGTGAGAAAGCGAAATAAAGAGAGAGACGCCTGAGAGAGCGAGAGATGGAAAGAGCGAGAGAGAGAAAAAGAGAGAGAGAGAGAGACAGAGCGAGAAAGCGAGAGAGAAAGCGAGAGAAAGGGTGAGAGAGACATAGACAGAGCGAGAGAGCGAGCGAGGGAGAGAGAAAGAGAGAGAGAGAGAGAGAGAGAGAGAGAGAGAGAGAGAGGAGAAAGATTGCAAACACTGCAAAAACTTTGTGCATTTTGCATCCAATTCCAATGCCTGATTCACACATTAGAGATTTCGTAAGCCATACCGGAAAATCATCTATTCTCAGCCGCACCAGCTACACCAACCGGTTGGTTTTTGCCTCGTAATCGCTACAGCCGTTCAAGAACATCATCCCATGCTGCCCTCGAAGCTGTTCCCCTGCCTCTTGGTCATCTACGCCCTGAACGGCGTCTTCGTGCAGGCCAATAACGCGACGACCCTCCAGCCGAAGCCCCGCTGCCCAGCCGGCAACTACGTCTGCTTGGGGAAGGACGACGCGGAGCTGTGCATGCCCGGAACATATGGGACCGTCGAGCCCACGCCTGGGCTATGCAAAATCCAATGGGCCCGTGGGACAATTTATTCAAACCAATTTTTAGTAAAATTTTCATGCAAACCGAGTGTCGTAGTGTTTATTAAATAACTCTATGGATTTTAAGTACCAACACTCTCTAAAAACTTTCGGCAATTTTTCAAAAAGTCGAATTTCGTCAAAAATCGTGATTTTTGGGCAAAAAATTGTTTCGTTATTTTTTGTGTTTTCTCATGAACATTTCTAAAATTTTTGCGTTTAAGAATAGTAAAAACCGTTTAGAAACACTTCCCGCTATTTATATTTGTTTATTTTCTACTTTGGCGCAACTTCAGATGGTCGACGGAACACCTGCCGGTGGGGCTCCGCTCCGATCTGGCTGTTCAACAAGCACTACTGCGTCGAGTCCTCTAAGCTTCTCCACAGCTACCTACCCTACAATTGGACGATGGCCGGTGGGATGTGTTCTTGATGTGGCGGTGGTTTAGGCGAATTCCTAAGCTTGATACCAAGCCTAAGCTTAAGCCTAAGCCTAAGCCTAAGCCTAAGCCTAAGCCTAAGCCTAGGTCAAGCCTCAGGCTAAGCCTAAGCCAAGCCGAAGCTTAAGCCGACGCGTTCTTGTCAACCACAACTGATTGCTGCACTCTAGGCTGTCCGCCGCTGCACCTCAACTGCGCGGCCGACAACGCCACGATCACTCACTGCGTAAACGGGACGCAGATGAGCCAACATACATACCCTGCGGTGTGCCAGCATAGACGTAAGCTGATACTGGCGGAACTTCTGCTCCTCTCGCTCTCGCACTCTCTCACTCTCTCTCACTCTCACTCACACTCTCAACTCCTTTCAGTCTGCCTCAAACCCGATCATCACGCTTGCCGTGGCCCGTACGGCATCATGTGCATCCCATACGGCGACATCCTCGAGATCAAGAGCAGCAACAAGGAGAACGAGCTCGACGAGTGCATCATGGAGCGACCGACAGAGCCGCCTGCCATGGCCGAGGGCGACGAGAAGACGTCCACGCAGTCCAAACATGGTTCGCCTGAATTTCGGGTTCTCAAAACCGAGGGCTAGACTGTGTCTTTCAATGCCCGAGCAACTAGGTCTTCACGGCGACTAGGTCTCGCCAAGCGAAAGAACTGAACAAAAAAACATGGAAAAATATTTTTAAAATCACTACGATTTTTTAGGAAACGCTCTGTCCATCCTGCCGGCCCTCCTGCTGACCGTGCTTGTCCTCAAGGCGTTCGGCTAGGTCGTCTGCTCGTCTCGTCCAGGTGAGGATCGTAGTTTGGACCCTGGTAAAGGACTGGATATCGCAAAAAAACTGCTATTTTTTTATGTTTTTGGCTCTTTTGCATTATCGGGGGGGAGGAGGAGTTTATACGTAGATCGAATTTTTCTAATATAATTAAACACGTGCTTCTAAGCTTTTTTTATGATTTCTAAGCGTAAAAATTTCACAATCTTGGAATTAACAAAAGCAAACATACAGAAAGATAATTTCACTTAAATAGTTTTATACAATATTAAACCACTGACTACTACTTTATTAGCTTCTCTGAATTTGTAGGAGATAATTCGACCCCCCCCCCCCCCGATAATGCGAAAGGACCGTACCGTAATCCGATATTATTGTGCACAAAATCTAACAAAGAAACCTCCAGGGAAACAATAATTGTCATTTTTGCGTTTTTTTTTTCAGGCAGCTCGCCAAGGACCACCAGCTGCCCACCACCTACCGTATCTCGGCCACAACCCTCCGACATACCCGCCCCCATTTTGTCGTTGTCTTTCCCCACTCGCCTACCGACCATTTTTTTTTGGAAAAACCCGTAAACGTTTCGTGTCGTCCTCGTGTAACTTCTTGCTCCTGGGATAAATTGTGCGCTGGTGCGGTTATGCCTTCAGATATACACCAAATATCCAAAACCGTAAAACTGAATTCATGCTTCTGCCGTAATAATTTTCTTGTACGTGATTTCTAAAACTAACACCCTTTGTAGATTTTGACGCACCGACAAGAAATTTTGTAGAAATATCAGAAATTGGCTTTTCCGCCCAAAAACGCCCAAAGGGTTTGGGCTCGCCGATATTCTTCTTTTCGTCCAAAAACGGCAATGAATATCATGGTAATAAATTTATTCAACTAAAGCTGGTGGTTGACATCCCGCGCCCGTCGGACGAGGATTTCCGGGTTGTTGAGGGTGAAGACGAGCTGGAAAAGAGAGAATTTAGACTTGAGAGAGCGAGAGACAGTGAGAGAGATAGAGAGAGAAAGATAGAGAGATAGAGATACAGATGAGAGAGAGAGGGCGAGCTAGTGCAAGATCGGGAGAGAAAGAGAAAGAGAGAGAGAGAGAGAGAGAGAGAGAGAGAGAGAGAGAGAGAGGGAGAGAGTGAACGGGAAGTAAAGAGCGAGGGAGAGAGATCGAGACAGAGCGAGCTAGAGCAAGATCGAGAGAGAGAGAGAGAGAAGAGAGAAAGACAGTTCTACAGCTCGATATTTAGGATATTCAGAGCTCTCTGTAATCCATTTCAAACCGTTTTGGATAATTTCATCTTGAATCAGCTACAACCCATTTAAAATTAATTTAAAACCAGCTAAAAGCTAAATCATATAAGGGGTACAAGATTGAAAAAAAATGAGGATTTGGAGGTTTTACAATTCGAAATCAACAATGGAAAACCACTTACATCATCCCCATCGATGCTCAACTCAGCAGCTAGCACAACTGAAATTATAGCCACCAAAATAAGGAGCAGCAACTGGGCGTTCATAGTAAAGTTTGGTCGCGTACTTGTCAAGCTTCAGAAAATACAGCCGAATAGCTACCGCAGCGTTTGAATGGGGAGCACGAGCGGTTTTTTGTCAAACTGAGCGTTCACCGGTGAAAGTAGGGTGGGTGAAGGCCGGGGCGTGTGTGTGCCCGCCGGGTATTTGGGTCATTTCACCCGGGGGCTACCAGCATTCCGTCCGATCGTCGAAAGGAGCATCCCGGAACGGACAGCAGGGGTAACAGCCAATTTAACGTTATCCAACGGCGCGCTCAAGCGACAGATGGAAAAATCGAAAAGAGCCGGTGTTTAGAGAAGCATGAGGGCAGAGAAACCTGCATTAAACGATGCGGTAACCTGCGAGGGAGATTTTAAAAACGCGTGGACACGAACCTCGGATGGATTTGCGCAAAATGTGCTCAATACATACAAACGTCCGCTTCCTCAATCAATCCTGATATTTTTTGAGGGCGGAAATTGGATGAGGGCGGCCAATCCGGGGCTAAAATCTTGTTACCAGTTCAAAACGTGACAGCGTGAAGCCCATTTTTTCATCCGGAAATTGCTTCTTCCGCTTTTCCTTAGTAAGAGCAAATTCTGGGCTTGAAAATGAAGCCTAGCTACCTTCTAGAACGCGGGAATCGAGTTTTCGGGCATAAGTTGGTCGGTGCTAGTCTGTTAGCGGGAGGTGGTGGTTTAAAGGGTGTTGCTATGTTTTCTTGGTTGCTAAGTTTGGTCCTTTTCATAAATCGTTATCAGAAAGGCAAGAAATCTATAATTTCTGCGGAGCTTTTGTATCTAAACATTGTGTAAACAAACTCCTATCAAAGGGGTTTATATTTCGCCATTGAACCGCAGTAATTCGTTCCCTCGCGCTAAACCGGAAGAGCGAGAAAATCGATCAATTCCAGCCATCTTTGAAGCAACTTTGAAATCTATCCTTTCCCAGCAAGCCTTGAAGCCCTAGTTCTAACCGTATTTGAGTCCCACTCGGCGGATCATATGTTTACATGTGGCCCGAGGCGAAATTGCGCCGGACCCAGGAAAAGTCGATGAAGACCATGTAAACATCACAAAAACGTCACAAACACATAAGCAGTATCCACAAAAACCGGCATGACATGACTCGTAAATCACAAAGATCAATGAAAGGCAAGGATCGAGCCACAGAGGTAGGGATTAGAGAGGGGAATTCCTAGGAAATGGGTACACAGAGATGATCGGGACAATTTCAACGCCAAAAACATTGAGCTGCAGCAAGGTGGGAGAATCTGGAAAATTGATGGCAAAAAGTGGCGAATCGGGAAATCAATTTACAAAGTATCAAACTGTAGAGAGAGTGATGGCACAGTGGGGGGGAAGGGGCGACTATAAACTCTTTCGGGCAGATTGTGGGAGAAACGGGGTGAAGGGCACGTATTCTTTCGTGAGCTCATGGCTGCGCCGCTTCTGGATGGCTCTCACTTTCTGAAAACAAAAATTGGAAGCACAATTCGGAAAACGCACTGCAAATATCGCGATCGTCGCCGCGGCCAGGCAACAAATCAACGAACCGGCGAGCAGCAGTTTCGTCAGGCCATAGGCGAGCGCAGTTTGGCCTGAAAATGACAATATACCGTATTTCCGAGCCAGCGAAAACACGTACAGAAGCCGCAGCAACGCAAATTTGGTCGTTTTTTTGCGCAAATTACCCGGAATTCACATGGCCAGTGCGGCAAGGTAATGAAAAAGCACATTAAAATTCGCAAACCCCTGTTTTTAGTTTTTTCGCGCATCTTTTAGCAATAGTTTGCCTTGAAAATTTCTAGAGGAAGTTTGTAGAAATTCCTTTCTAAACAACGCTTCAAGACAGCCATATCGAATGCCAAAATAAGAAATATTAACCAGAACCGATCGAAGACGAATAAATGTCGAAGATAGGGGCTGTTTGTACAGGCAGCAAGAACGTAATAGCCGCGCCAACGGCCGCTTACCAAGCAGTTCGTCCTTTATTCGCCGATACGAGTCCTCGTCCATGTGCGCCATCTCGCGCACCGTGATCACCGGCACGATGGAGGGGCGGAGCTTCTGGAGGCCGACCCTAAATTTTTTTGAGCATAATAGCAAACGCGAAAACGTACGGAAACGTCAAGCTCGGGTCCTTCCACATCGCAATGTTCACCTGGAAGACGCGCTGCGCGTGCAGGACGGCGCCGAGTTGCTGGAAAAAAAACCGAAATTAAAAAACTTAAACGTCTCGATTACCGGCTCGATGTCGACGTAGATCTGATCCGTTTCCGGGTTGCTCGCGTTCAGGCCGCGTATATGGGCCTTGACCTCGTCGGGCGCGCCGTAGAACGACGGCATGGAAATGACGATCGGGGGCTTGCCTGGAATTCAAAGCTAATCGATGGCCATCCAAGACTATGGCTCACCTTGCCGACATTGGCTGATTTCCAGGAGGCCGGCGGGCAGGCAGCCGGAGCCATTTTGACTATTGAAAAACCTCTAAATATTACTTTTATGCGATTAAAAATCAGAGTTACCTTATCGCTCGGGTTGCAGTATCCCCGGTTTTCCGGCAGCCTCGTATCGAAAACGTCGACCGGCAGCACAAAGCGATAGGCGGGAATCCCGCGGTATTCCACTTCTTTTTGAAACTCGAGGTAGACAGATCTAAAAATCAGATTAAAGGGGAATTATGTTAAGAAAGCCTACCGGCAAAGCTGGGTGATAAAGATCTCGAGTCGTTGCCCCTTCTCGATAAAAGGAGGGAAGAGGCTTCCCTCGGTGCCGCGAATTTGCCTCGCTGATTCGTGGCTCCACCAGGAGTCGTCGACCTGAAAAGGGATACTGAAAACTGTTTCAAACCGAAAAGCCGGAATTCGAACAGAAAAGTCCATTTTGTAAAGACCGGCTAAAGGCCGTTTTATTCCGCGACCGGGTAAAGTGGATTTGCTCGTTAGAAGAACAGAAAAAAAATTAGATAAAAGTGAGCCAACTCGCCGGCTTTACGTTAAAACCCATAATCTTTTTTCCCTTTCCGTAACCCGTTGAAATTGAAGACATTACGCTAGCGCCGCGTCTCGTCAGTTGGAATGTCTAGCGAAAAAAAGGTAGTGAAATCAATCTAAAAAGTTTATTTTGAAATCAAAAGGACTAGTGAAGATTTGTATTGGGAAAAAAATGTAATTAGTGCCTAGTGAGAATTCTTTTCAATTCTCGGTTTTGCCCGTTCCTAATTCCCGGAAACGTAGATTTCTTTTCAACTTCAGCCATCAATTCAAAACCTACATGGTCTTTGCCGTTCCATGTTATGACTCTTCCACGTGTGCTCGGGTCGGCTACGCCATCGCTGATCGTGAATGTCCCGTCGTCGGTGCCATTAGTCTATGAAGCTTTGTAGGAAAACCGATGAAAAATACCCCGTAAAGCATCCCAATCCGGTCGGGAATATTCAGCAGGCTGTCGCACACAATGTGCATAAACGGGATCTCGCAGACATTCTTGAGGAAGGGGTCCTTGTACCCGTCGAAGAGCAGCTCGCCAACCTGGAAAGGAAACCCGTAAAGAGACAATGATACCAATAAAACCGGAAACAATCCGAGAGTGGCAAAAACCAACATCGACTTCGAGAAACGGCGTTTGCGAGACGAGCGCCGTCGCGACGGGCCTCATCTTTGATGTTGACGCGACTTCGAGGAATTTCTGCAAAAAATCACGCATGCTAACCCATGGCTAACAACCAACCTGATAGATCAGATTCGGGACCCAGGCCCTATTCTCGAGGCTGCAAGAGCTGCACGACGCATTTTGGTCGTAGTATTTGTGGTCGACGCGCTTGAACGTGATTGTACCATTTCCATGCGATACAATCTAAAGAAGAGCTAAACAAAAGCCATAGAAGGAACCTGATTTTTCATCTTTTTCCGGAAAGCATAGGGGCCAGTCGTCGTGACCTCGGGCAAGTCGCCATCGAGGATTTGGTCGGGATTCGTGATCGAGTGGACCCAGACCTAAACAAAGAGTGCATAATGATTGCCAAAACCTTAAACTACATTAAAATCGATCTTGTATCGCGGCTCGGTCCACTTTTTCCATAGTGGCTCACCCTCGAGCAGGCGGGAATTCTGCAAACAAAGATAGAATCAAGCATCTAAAGTATCACCTTCATAATTTGTGCCCGGATCACTTCTGGTATTATCCATGCGTGGAGCAGAAGCCCCGTCGTTAGAAGCAACACGCTGGAGGCGACTAGGAGCACTGTATAAACCTAAAGCAGAATCTCAAGCGTTTTGAGAAGAAGACCACCTTCCATCGCGGCCAAGTTTGCCCACAAATTCCTGCCGCCATGTCGATGATGTAGTGAAAAACAATCCCGTCCGTATGAGCCTTAATTGCGACTTCAAAAAGCGAAAACCAGGGGCGAGAACGTCAACGAGAGAAAACGCAAATAAACGAGAATAGAGACGTATCTATATTGCTCTTCGAGCCCGATGAACCACTGCGCTCGCATCTGCGCGTCAAGCCAAACATTAATGGTGATAGCAAACCAGCGTGCAGGTCTTGAACCCATTTTCTATCCATATTCTGCATCGCATCCTATTTATTCACAGCGGAAATATGTGTTATACAAAAAATAGGATGGATGGATGGTGCGGGGGTGAGGGGAGGCGAGTGGGTGCCAGTGCGTCGAGTGTTCATTTCTTGTCCTTCTTCATCTTGTTCTTCTTGTCGTCGTCGGTCTTGGGGGACATCTCGTCGGGGATGGGCGGCACAGCGACATCGCCGTGCTTCGCCAAGACTTCGTTGAGCAGCTTCTGCGAGGCGGGCATGTCGCTGACGGTCTTGATGCCCTCCACGCCCTTGTTGGCCAGCTTGTTGGTGAACTCGGCGTACTGCAAGAAAGTGTATAATGTCAGGCAACCGGAAGGAAACGCACCTGCTCGTTCATGCCGTCCTTGCTGTAGACGCTGAAGTTCCGGGAAAGGCGCAGCATTTTCTTCACGCGCTCCTCAGCTGCAAAAAAGCCATGCCGCTAGAAAGAACAAGGGAAAAGGATTGGAACTGCTATATTCTGCAACTATAAAACATGCCCCGCTCTGGGAGTGAGGCCCTAACTGCAGGCAAGAAAAAGTAAAATGAGGAGGGAAACGAGAAGAATAAACGGACTTGGAGCAGGCTGTGAGAGGTCGCCGGCGTAGAGGGTGATCTTGACCCGGCCGGTTCCATCGCAGAGGATGCTGGACGCCAAGTTGCCCCACGGGTCGTAGTCGGGCTTTCCGAAGCCGGTCAGCACGTCCTTGCCGTTGAAGAATTCGACGCCGCCCATCGGAGGCTGAAACGCATAGTGAAATGATTTTCAAATGTTCCAAGAAATAGTATCACCTGGTGGCCACGGACGATCAGATCGAGCTGATTCCTTTTCATGCAATCGTGGATCACATCCGGCCCGAGCGCCAACTGCCCCTTGCGCTTGTTGTTGGGCTGCGCCCTGGAACGGCACCATACGTTTGGATGAACGAAAAAAACCACAAATCCATGCTACACTCTCCCGAGACTAGTGCGCACCCGAGAATCCCCTTCTGCGGGTCATTCCATAGCAGCGACATCAGCCAGGTGGGGCGGTACCGGGCAAAACGGTCGAACTTGTTGTACTCCTCGATCGTTTGCACGTCGGGGTCTGAAACAAGGATACAGTTCAGCGGCCCCCACGTCTCTCGCGGCACAAAATTTTTGAAGCCCGACCAATGCAGCCGTGCATGGCGAAAATACGGCCCATCGAGACGACGGCGAGCGGCAGCTGCCTAAAATGAAAACAATAGCAGTTTGCTGAAAAAGACAAGCATTTACCTGAATGCCCAGTTCCCGTGCGAGTAGAGCTTGTGGGCAATTTTGGCGTCGAAGCGACGCAACGTCTCGTGTTGAAAGCCGTACTTGCCGTTAATTTCCGGGGTTTCGTGGTTTCCGCGCAGAATGATGATCTAAAAGGCAAATTTTAACAAATAAAAAGCTCACAAAATGCTCCCGCCGCCGAATCGAAACCAAAACCACACCTTTGAATCAAAGAATGCCACGCTCATGAACAGGAGGATTGTTTCGTGCGAGGCTGGGCCACGGTCCACCAGGTCACCCATAACGACAAGCCTGTAAAAAAAAAGAAAAACATCATAAATGACAGGAAGGCGACGGAGACGTAAAATGAAGAAAACCAACCGGAGCCCGGGATGATTGCGCGCCGATTCGTAGTAGTCCATCAGCAAGCGGATGGCCTGGCGGAACTGTAAAGGGCCAATTTTCTACCTTTTATTCGTTATAAGGACGGTGAAAAAATAATCCAAGACAAATAAGGAAAATCACCAGGGTTGAAAAGCCGCTACGCGGCTTTTCACCCCTGGCCTTTGCGCGGGGATCTTTAAAAATTGGGTTTCGCATAATTCGGGCGAAGAGCTAGAGCGAACCCTAAAAATAACAAAAGCAACCGGCCGCGAGCGCGACAAAAGCTAAAATGAGGCTCCTAGCGCCTCGTATGCAAATTAGTCTATTTCCATATGTAATTAAAACGTTAAAATAGGGTATAAAACGAAATTTTAGTAAAAATCTGATAAGCGTGCGGTAATCTACGCCCTCGACTACCCCCTAACTACCTTATTTCTGGACCAAAAAATTCTTTCCCTTCGAGTTATGGCTGGAACCCGGGTTTTTATGCAAAGTGTCTACACACACACAGACACAGACATTTTTTATATATAGTAGGATGTTGCGAAAGACTGATAGAAAAAAAAAACAAAAATAAAGATGAAATTTTACATCGCCATGCAGGTCCTGAATGAACATCGTCGGGCCGTTGATCTCGATGACGTTCTTCAATTTGCGGGCCTGTATCGCGTAGCCGTAGTAGGCCCAATTCATCGCATCCAGATCGCCGTTGACGAGCATCGGCTGCAAAAACAAAACTTATTATGCTCCGAAGCATGGCGCACCAATTTAGCATCAGGCAGCGACATGTTGAAGGGATGCAGCAGTTTCTTGCGCAGATATAGGGCCGAGATCGTGCAGTACGTGGTGGCCTCGGCGGCGGTGCACTGCAGCCGCGCGTCAACCATCTTCTGAAATAAAACTATTAGTGCAAATATGAGTAGCCTTAAAGTACTAGTAGCAGCGCGCACTCACTCGCTCTCTCTCTCTCTCTCTCTCTCTCTCTCTCTCTCCCTCTCTCAGGCAACAATGAAAATCGACTATTTGGATCAAGGAAAACCCGACTGACAGGGGCGGCTGGCGGCTTGTAGGCGATGTTCTTCTTCGGCGTGGCGGCCGGCCCGGCCTGCTGAGAACCCTCCCCGGCGGCTGCCACGCGCGCGTCCTGGTGCTCCTCAATCGCCGACTTCAGCTCGCGCATCGTCTCGGCCAACGCCGCGGGGTCTTCATCCTTCGTGAGCTCCGGGTAGTTCTCCATCAAGCAGCGGACACACACATCTGCCGACTCTTCGCCGGGGCAAGCATGCGGCGGCGTCTCGACGGGTGTGTTGTTGACCGGGCGAGTGGGGGTGGAAGCGTCGGGGCCGCTGAAAAGGCAATGTATTGCTTTGGCAGGGGGGGGGCTTTGTTCCAAAGTGGCGACTTTCCCTAATATAGTCGTGACTCGACTTGTCTGTAGCAATCCTAAAAGTAAAGTCCAAAACCCAAAAATTTCCAATAAAAACTATAAAACAACGGTTTTGCCAGTAAGTTTGCCCCATCTCAAAATTTCAAGGTTTTTCCGAGGTTCCCTCAATCGGTCCCCCATTTGACTCGAACCGTATCTCGGTTTTAATAAAAGATTTGTGATGACGCACTGGCCACCTCTGGGCTTCGGGCAATTGATTCGCGCCCTACTAGACTCGTTTCTCCACGAAAATACGAAAGAACCTGCAGTAATCTACCCACATGCTGCTATCCTCCGGCGCAGCACCCCCGGGTACGCGGGCAGCGGATCGAGAGTGCCGCGGCACGTCGTCGGGCTGGCCGCCCAAACCTCCTTCCGCAAGCTTCGTCCCAACCTCAGCAAATAAATGCTCCACCTCGGTCGGATCCTCGCCGAAATACCTAAAAATTTGTTGTTCCGGCACAATTGTCATTTCGCATACCCGTTTTGCGGTGGCCCCGTTCTACGGGTTTTCGGCCGATCATCCTTAGCATCAGGATCGCTTTGCCAAGCCTTGCCGGCGGCCGGCAGGTTGTCCAACTGGGCAGAACCGGTCTGCGTGCTCGGTTTGACATCGCGTAGGCCATCCTCCTGGAAGATATTCAACATTGCTCCGTATTTTTCAACATCGCAAAGACTCTTGAATTAGTAACCTTTAACACCGGTTTTAGCCTCGCTTTGAAGTATCAGAACTTCAGGGTAGGCATAGGCGCCGGAAACAGTATAGAACCGGAAATTGTGCGCACCAGCAAATCGCGGCCCTGCATCACGACTCTGCACTCCTCTTCGATCGTTATTGGGTTGAAGGCGGTCTTCGGCGGCATCTGTGGCGGGACGACACGCGCCTAAACAGAAAAATACACGATGTTCACTAAAAAAGGCGATCGCGCTCAGTGTTCAGAGCCGTCCTCTGCGAAGCTTCCTGTCCTAGGCGTTCCTTTTCTTCTTTTTTTTTTCAAAAACTTTGGCTCGCTACGATGAATAATCAGAGGTCCAAGCGCGGTGTCTTTCTCAGCGGGCATCCAGCGGCTTACATTCGCGACGGCACGTTCCAACAGGTCTGGCAGGATGGTGATCCGGGAGAAGCGCAGCTTGCTGACATCGATTGTGTAGCTCTGAAAATCAAACGACATGGACAATTCAACTGAAAAACACCTCAAAATAGCCTCGGAAAAAAACTGGAATTCCCTTTTCCACTTTTTTTTTCGTTTTATAAGGTAAAGAGGGAATGGAACAAAGCAATTTATAATGAGCAGATTCGGAGCGACATAAACATAGATTGAATTTCTGGATTGACATAAACCCTTACTTGTTCCCCAAATGCCAGGTACTCGGCCGGGTCGAGCTTCTTGACGATGTGCCAGGGCCTGTTTTTGATGGCGTTGGCGGGCGTGACCGGATTGGTGTTTGGGTCGCTGGCTGCCGTAGCTTCGATGTCCTGCTTTTTTGAGGCCTCCGACTCCTGGTCTACGGCATCGTCGTTCTGACGCGACTTGTGCTTGATCCTGTAAAAAAAATGGGAAAATCAGAATGTAGTTGCAATTATTCAGGACAAGATACAAAAACTCGTCGCAAAAAACGTACCGGTAGATGGTTCCGCCGACGACGGCAAGAAGGAGGATGGCGATGACGGCCCCGGTGATGTAGATCCAGGCAAAGTCTCCTACGATCGTAGCTGCCTGGGAGGCATGGGAGGACTTCGATGGTGGCGCCGTAAAGAGGCAGATTTTCTAAAAACATAATCAGACCAATTAAGCTGCACTCACATTGCCAGTACCATCAGCATCGTCAAACGCCGAACAATCCTGCAGCTTCATGCGAAGCCGGGGATCCTTGTTCATCTCCAGGTAGATCGGATTTGTGGCGCAGTTCAACAGGGCGTCGTTGAGCACGTACTCCTTGTGCGAATCCTAGAAAACGACGGGTAACGACTCAAAAGTGTTTATATACCGAGAGCCCTTGAATTTCGATGCATCGAGGGTAACGGATGATCTTGTCGGCGCCCGCGCGCTTCAGCCGAGCCGCCACGTTGTCGTTTGTGGGCTGAAAAAGAAGGATAACACCCGGGGTGACGTTCCGAGTGCTTCCGCTTAACGGGCACCGGAGTTATAGGTATTATTCGGCCCGTGCGAATAATTAATACAATTTCATAGTTTTTACTAGATTCTGATTGCTACGCACTTTTTCAATTCCTTGAAAATTATAGGCGGTTTAAACTATTTTTCGCGCGTCTGTACGAAAGTCAATGATGTTGGGAAACTTCGTAGATCTTTTCTGAGCTTTTATATCTAAAATCCGTGTCACAAGCAATAAAAATCATCTTGTGTAAGGGAAGCCCCCAAATTCCGCACGCTACCATTTGGGGAGGAGCGTCAGACTTTTCGCCGGTTTCGGGTCCTGATGACACTGCCGGCTGGTTCTCAGGCGATGGTTTTGGAATCGGCGGTGAGAAGCGCAGGTTATCTTCGTCGGACAGGAACTTGGCGTATGGGCCAGACTGAAAGAAGGGTTTGGCAAAGCCAAATGGCAATTACCAGCAAACGACGATACGAGATGACGGTCTTCTCATCGAGGCGGATGTCCAGGAGGACACAATCGTCGTATTTCCCATCGACGCTTGGGTAATCACATGCCTTGTCGCAATCTGGCGCCGACCAGGCGGCTTGAAAGGCGCCGGGGCTAAATAGAAAATAACCGCAATAACGGTAAGGTTTTACGTTTTCCCATCAGCTCCGCACAAAGGCAGTGGCTGACAGCCGTCACCCTTTTTCCGCCCACCATGCGCGCAATACTAAAATCAAGAAAATTTGCGACATCCAAAAAAGAATACATTGACATCTGGGCCCGAGACATCGAATTCGTAGTCGTTGAGCGGCGATCCATCAATTGCCAAATAGCCGGCCGCAAGTTGAAGGCTTGGAACGCAGGTTAACTCAACGCGCATGTCAAGCTCTTTGGCCGCAATTACGACTCTAAACGGTTCAGAGTTCAAGCAACACAACAAAAACAAGCCTCGGGACCGTGAAGCCAACGTCGCATTGCACAACGTATTGGTTTGACGACTTCATGCTCTCAGGGATAAATGGTGAAGTGCTCCTGAATTGCTAGTTGCTGACCAAAAAGGGTCCATACAGTTTATCCAGCGGGCACTCTCCCCTCGCCACCATCTCACGAGTGCACACGTTCATCGGAAACAAAACTGCAAAACAGTTTTCAGTAAAAACAAGGGATTGTTATGCAACGCCGGCAAAAGCAAGCTGATTCTCCCCCAGAAAATCGATGGTTTTCGGTAAAGGCAAATAATTTGTCGAATAGCCTCCTTTGGCTGGGAGAATCAGCTTGACTTGTGCGGTTTCCAAACCTTTGTATCGATTGATGTCCACCGGCTTGATGCAGTCGTCGGTCTGCCCGTCTTCCTGAAAACAATGACGTGATGAAGAAAAGGATAGAAATCGGTAAGATTCTAGATATTCAAGATCCCATCCGGCCCACAAATCGGTTTCCTTTAGCGTAAGTATAAAATATACATATTATCTGCCCGTATCGCTAAAAGAATGACGTAATGAAGAACATGATTAAAATCGTAATAAAAATTAAGAAAATCGGTAAGTTACCATATATATCCGAGGCTTAGGCTCAAGCTAAGGATAGAGGAGAAAGGGTAGCCGAAATACATTAGGTGCTTGTCGGCAGGGAGTCTAGGCACAAAGTATTGCTTACACAAAAATTGGGCTTGCATGCGTACGGGCTGCTGGCATACGGACGAAAGCCTGTTTCGCTAGCCCATTTCGTGGACTCGGCGCAGACCCTGTCCGGCAGCTGGCACTTCACGCACTGTAAACAAATAAATTAGTTACTTTCAGCAGCGCCGTTTTTCCACGGATCGGGGAAAAATTTGCATGCGTTTCCGGTTAGAGAGCGCGTCCCGGTGAGAGACGCAGACGTTTCGTATGCTAGTTTTTCCGATTCGTGGAAAAAGGGAGGTGCTGAAAGTGCCCCTTTAAAATCTGACGCGCTTGAAATCAACATGCCTTTTGCGAGAGCTCGGGATCCGTGTGAGCACTGAGCTGCGGGTACGGCTCCTTCAGGGCATCGGCTGAGTAGCAGACGAACGGCCGATTAGCAGGACACTAAAAGTATGCGAATTGCGGCTAAGGGAAGGACGAAGCGTACCCGTGGCAACTGTGGCTCCTGCGCCTCCGGGGCCTTCAACGATTCGAACGCTGCGTGCGGGCGATTGGCGGAAACCCTGGAACAAGTAGAGTTGAAAATGTCTTATCAAAAAGGTAAACTTATCTAAGCCAAAATGAAATCCCAAAAAGCATTAGTTGAAAGTGTTAATATAAGCCACGGTAAAAAAATAGCTCCTCTCTACAAATTTCAAATAAACTCTAGGCGAAGACCCTCGCTCGCGGATCCAATTTTTATATAGAGGCTGCTTTTGCCAAAATATCTCTTCGAAAAGTCCAAATCACGGCCCGCCTCGTGTAAAAAAGACTTCAGCCAACTCCAGCTAATACGCTCAAAAAGCATTAAAAAAATCACTTGGCTACAACGGGGACGACCAGGCTGCAGATGATGTAGAGGAAGAGCAGCCCGCGGCACCACCACGGGCTCGGACGGCCGGTACTCATTGGATGCGGCTTGGGCGCGCGGCGCGTTCGGTGGCGACGGTCCAGCAGAAGATGGCGAGGATCCATCAAAGGGACGCGGGGCTCCATCATGAGGCGGCGAACAGCCACCCGAACAGCACGACGGCGATTGATCAGAATATTGTTGTTGTTGGCCACGAGCTGGGGATCGACCATCGACAGCTGGAGGGCAGCCATCCGCAGAAGACGGCGTTTCTTTTCGACCTGGTTAGAGGCCCTGCGCAGCTTGCGGCGATCGGCGCGCTCCAAACGACGCGACATCAACACCATCGGACGTTGACGGCGGCCCATCAGTGCTCGGAAGGTGCTGGCTGAAGCTGGCGGATTGAGCGAAGGAATGATGGATATACGCGCCGCGAGAACCTCTCATGGTTTATGGAAATTTTTGCGCATTCAAAGCAGGGATAATAAAGGCAAATGATCGGAAGTGCAATTAGCAAGCGGCGAACGGTTTTGGATGGTGACTTTTGCCTAGTCTAGCGTTGTCTGATAACACATTTAGGGGATCAGCGCACCTACAGGTAAAATACGCGAGTTTCGAGCCGGAATACGGATGATTACGCTAAAGTCTATTTCAGACATGGCAGGAGAACCTAGGGTCCATGGACTGGGTGAGAGACAGGCTCCTGGACACAGGCCTGCACGGGGTGGGGGGCAGCCCGGCCCGGCCCTCTAACCCCGATTTCTCCGGCCCGGCCCAGCCCACTAACCCCGATTTCTCCGGCCCGATCCGGCATGCGTCAAGATTGCGTCAAGATTTGTTAGAAACTTTTCATCCCAATCATGAGACCGCGTTTCCTTCAATTCATTTTTGCTCGTCGAAAGTGGGTACCTCGGCCCTCCTAGAACTAACCGGGTGCTTGGCTTGGTGCGTTCAAGCTAGCAAGGGTATCAAAATGTAGCCCTTGATCTCGCTATCTAGCAAGCTGGCAGTTGTATCCATTTGCGCTTTCAGCTGCCCGTCAAGCCAGGCATTAATGGTGATAGCGTGTCAGTGTGCAGGTCTTGAACCCATTTTCTATCCATATTCTGCATCGCATCCTATTTATTCACAGCGGAAATATGTGTTATACAAAAAAAATAGGATGGATGGATGGTGCGGGGGTGAGGGGAGGCGAGTGGGTGCCAGTGCGTCGAGTGTTCATTTCTTGTCCTTCTTCATCTTGTTCTTCTTGTCGTCGTCGGTCTTGGGGGACATCTCGTCGGGGATGGGCGGCACAGCGACATCGCCGTGCTTCGCCAAGACTTCGTTGAGCAGCTTCTGCGAGGCGGGCATGTCGCTGACGGTCTTGATGCCCTCCACGCCCTTGTTGGCCAGCTTGTTGGTGAACTCGGCGTACTGCAAGAAAGTGTATAATGTCAGGCAACCGGAAGGAAACGCACCTGCTCGTTCATGCCGTCCTTGCTGTAGACGCTGAAGTTCCGGGAAAGGCGCAGCATTTTCTTCACGCGCTCCTCAGCTGCAAAAAAGCCATGCCGCTAGAAAGAACAAGGGAAAAGGATTGGAACTGCTATATTCTGCAACTATAAAACATGCCCCGCTCTGGGAGTGAGGCCCTAACTGCAGGCAAGAAAAAGTAAAATGAGGAGGGAAACGAGAAGAATAAACGGACTTGGAGCAGGCTGTGAGAGGTCGCCGGCGTAGAGGGTGATCTTGACCCGGCCGGTTCCATCGCAGAGGATGCTGGACGCCAAGTTGCCCCACGGGTCGTAGTCGGGCTTTCCGAAGCCGGTCAGCACGTCCTTGCCGTTGAAGAATTCGACGCCGCCCATCGGAGGCTGAAATGCATAGTGGAACCTCCAAGCACCGAAAATTGATTTTCAAATGTTCCAAGAAAGAGTATCACCTGGTGGCCACGGACGATCAGATCGAGCTGATTCCTTTTCATGCAGTCATGGATCACATCCGGTCCGAGCGCCAACTGCCCCTTGCGCTTGTTGTTGGGCTGTGCCCTGGAACGGCACCATACGTTTGGATGAACGAAAATAGCCACAAATCCAAGCTCTACTCCTAGGAGACTAGCGCACCCGAGAATCCCCTTCTGCGGGTCGTTCCATAGCAGCGACATCAGCCAGGTGGGGCGGTACCGGGCAAAGCGGTCGAACTTGTTGTACTCCTCGATTGTTTGCACGTCGGGGTCTGAAACAAGGCTAAAGTTCAGTGGCCCTAACGAGAGACGCGTCACAAAATTTTTGAAGCCCGACCAATGCATCCGTGCATGGCGAAAATACGGCCCATCGAGACGACGGCGAGCGGCAGCTGCCTAAAATGAAAAAAAATCTACGTTACTGAAAAAGACAAGCATTTACCTGAATGCCCAGTTCGCGTGCGAGTAGAGTTTGTGGGCAATTTTGGCGTCGAAGCGACGCAACGTCTCGTCTTGAAAGCCGTACTTGCCGTTGATTTCCGGGGTCTCGTGGTTTCCGCGCAGAATGATGATCTAAAAGGCAAATTTTAACAAATAAAAAGTTCACAAAATGCTCCCGCCGCCGAATCAAAACCAAAACCACACCTTTGAATCAAAGAAGGCCACGCTCATGAACAGGAGGATTGTTTCGTGCGAGGCTGGGCCATGATCCACCAAGTTACCCATCACGACAAGCCTGTAAAAAAAACATCATAACTGTCGGGAAGGCGAAGGCGAGGTAAAAGCAAGAAAACCCAACCGGAGCCCGGGATGATTGCGCGCCGATTCGTAGTAGTCCATCAGCAAGCGGATGGCCTGGCGGAACTGTAAAGGGCCAATTTTCTACCTTTTATTCGTTATAAGGAGAGCGGAAAAATAAAGCCAGACAAATAAAGCAAATCATGTGGCAAAAAGTTCTGCTCATGCCGTTTGATAGAGAAAAAACAAAAACATGAAATTTTACATCGCCATGCAGGTCCTGAATGAACATCGTCGGGCCGTTGATCTCGACGACGTTCTTCAATTTGCGGGCTTGGATGGCGTAGCCGTAGTAGGCCCAATTCATGGCATCCAGATCGCCGTTGACGAGCATCGGCTGCAAAAAAAAACAAACTTATTATGCTCTGACGCAAGGCGCACCAATTTAGCATCAGGCAGCGACATGTTGAAGGGATGCAGCAGTTTTTTGCGCAGATATAGGGCCGAGATCGTGCAGTACGTGGTTGCCTCGGCGGCGGTGCACTGCAGCCGCGCGTCAACCATCTTCTGAAATAAAACCATTAGTGCAAATATCATTAACAGCTCTCTCTCTCTCTCTCTCTCTCTCTCTCTCTCTCAGGGAAGGATGAAAAACGACTATTTGGATCAAGGAAAACCCGACTGACAGGGGCGGCTGGCGGCTTGTAGGCGATGTTCTTCTTCGGCGTGGCGGCCGGCCCGGCCTGCTGAGAACCCTCCCCGGCGGCTGCCACGCGCGCGTCCTGGTGCTCCTCAATCGCCGACTTCAGCTCGCGCATCGTCTCGGCCAACGCGGCGGGGTCTTCATCCTTCGTGAGCTCCGGGTGGTTCTCCATCAAGCAGCGGAGACACATATCTGCCGACTCTTCGCGGGGGCAAGCATGCGGCGGCGTCTCGACGGGCGTGTTGTTGAGCGGGCGAGTGTGGGTGGAAGCGTCGGGGCCGCTGAAAAGGCAATGTCTTGCTTTGGCATTATCGGGGGGGGGGCTTTGTTCCAAAGTGGCGAATTTCTCTAATAAAGTTGAACCGTTTCTCCCTGGCAGTCGGAAAGAACGGGCAGTAAGCTACCCACATGCTGCTATCCTCCGGCGCAGCACCCCCGGGGACGCGGGCAGCGGATCGAGAGTGCTGCGTCACGTCGTCGGGGTTGCATTGCTGCTGGCCGCCTAAACCCTCTTCCGCCGCCTCGGCGTCTACTTCGGCGAATAGCCGGCTGACGTCCGCCCCGAAACGGCTAAAAATGTGTTGTTCCGGCTGAACTGTCTTATGGCGTACCCTTCGTCCATAGGGGTGGCTGGTCGCGGGCGTGCATCCGGATCGCTTTGCCAAGCCTTGGCGCCGACCGGCAGGTTGTCCAACTGGGCAGAACCGGTCTGCGTGCTCGGCTTGACATCGCGTAGGCCATCCTCCTGGAAGATATTCAACATTGCTCCGTATTCTTCAACACAGCAAAGTCTCTTGAATTAGTAACCTTTAACACCGGTTCTAACCCCGCTTTGAAGTATCAAAATTTCAGGGTAGGCATAGGCGCCGGAAACAGTATAGAACCGGAAATTGTGCGCACCAGCAAATCGCGGCCCTGCATCACGACTCTACACTCCTCTTCGATCGTTATTGGGTTGAAGGGGGTCTTCGGCGGCATCTGTGGCGGGACGACACGCGCCTAAACAGAAAAATACACGATGTTCACTAAAAAAGGCGATCGCGCTCAGAGTGTTCATATCCTCTGCTAAGTTTCCTGTCCTAGGCGTTCCTTTTCTTCTTTTTTTTCAAAAGCTTCGGCTGGTTACGATGAATAATCAGAGGCCTAATCGCGGTGTCTGTCTCAGCGGGCATCCAGCGGCTTACATTCGCGACGGCACGTTCAAACAGGTCTGGCAGAATGGTGATCCGGGAGAAGCGCAGCTTGCTGACATCGATTGTGTAGCTCTGAAAATCAGACGACATTGACAATTCAACTGAAAAACACCTCAAAATCGCCTTGGAAAAGAAGCTCGAATTCCCTTTTCTACTTTTTTTTTGCGTTTTATAAGGTAAAGAGGGAATGGGACAAAGCAATTTATAATGAGCAGATTCGGAGCGACATAAACGTAGATTGAATTTCTGGATTGACATAAACCCTTACTTGTTCCCCAAATGCCAGGTACTCGGCCGGGTCGAGCTTCTTGACGATGTGCCAGGGCCTGTTTTTGATGGCGTTGGCAGGCGTGACCGGATTGGTGTTTGGGTCACTGGCGGCCGTAGCTTCGATGTCCTGTTTTTTTGATGCCTCCGACTCCTGGTCTACGGCATCGTCGTTCTGACGCGACTTGTGCTTGATCCTGTAAAAAAAAATAGGAAGATCAGAATGTAGTTTCAATTATTCAGGACAGGATACAAAAACTCGTCGCAAAAAACGTACCGGTAGATGGTTCCGCCGACGACGGCAAGAAGGAGGATGGCGATGACGGCCCCGGTGATGTAGATCCAGCCAAAGTCTCCTACGATCGTAGCTGCCTGGGAGGCATGGGAGGACTTCGATGGTAGCGCCGTAAAGAGGCAGATTTTCTAAAAAAAGTGTAATCCGACAAATTCAGCTGCACCCACATTGCCAGTACCATCAGCATCGTGAAACGCCGAACAATTCTGCAGCTTCATGCGAAGCCGGGGATCCTTGTTCATCTCCAGGTATATCGGATTTGTGGCGCAGTTCAACAGGGCGTCGTTGAGCACGTACTCCTTGTGCGAATCCTAGAAAACGACGGGTAACGACTCAAAAGTGTTTATATACCGATAGGCCTGCAATTTCGATGCATCGAGGGTAACGGATGATCTTGTCGGCGCCCGCGCGCTTCAGCCGAGCCGCCACGTTGTCGTTTGTGGGCTGAAAAAGAAGGATAACACCCGGGGTGACGTTCCGAGTGCTTCCACTTAACGGGCACCGGGTTATAGGTATTATCCGGCCCGTGCGAAGAAGATTCTGATTGCTACGCACTTTTTGAAATCCTTGGAAATTATAGGCGGTTTAAACTATTTTTGGTAAGACTCCAGATAACCCCCCCAGCCGGCACCCAACTTTTGTATCTCGGCTCCCTGTTCATCTACAGGTGTGTAAAGTATATCAAAATGTTTGTCTTGCTGTGGCGAGTATTTTCGTATACTTTACACACCTGTAGGTGAACAGGGAGCCGAGATACGGTAGGTGGGGGTCGGCTGGGGGGGGGTTATCTGGAGTTTAGCCCTATTTTTCGCGCGTTTGGACGAGACGAAAGTCAAGCATTTTGGAGAACTTCGTAGACCTTTTCTGAGCATTTATATCTAAAACCCGTGCCAAATGCAATAAAAATCATCTTGTGTAAGGGAAGCCCCCAAATTCCGCACGCTACCATTTGGGGAGGAGCGTCAGACTTTTCGCCGGTTTCGGGTCCTGATGACACTGCCGGCTGGTTCTCAGGGGATGGTGTTGGGATCGGCGGTGAGAAGCGCAGGTTATCTTCGTCGGGCAGGAACTCGGCGTATGGGCCAGACTGAAAGAAGACTTTGGCAAACCCAAATGGCAATTACCAGCAAACGACGATACGAGATGACGGTCTTCTCATCGAGGCGGATGTCCAGGAGGACACAATCGTCGTATTTGCCATCGACGCTTGGGTAATCGCACGCCTTGTCGCAATCTCGCGCCGACCAGGCGGCTTGAAAGGCGCTGGGGCTAAATACAAAATAACCGCAATAACGGTAAGGTTTTACGTTTTCCCATTAGCTCCGCACAAAGGCAGTGGCTGACAGCCGTCACCCTTTTTCCGCCCACCATGCGCGCAATACTAAAATCAAGAAAATTTGCGACATCCAAAAAAGAATACATTGACATCTGGGCCCGAGACATCGAATTCGTAGTCGTTGAGCGGCGATCCATCGATTGCCAAATAGCCGGCCGCAAGTTGAAGGCTTGGAACGCAGGTTAACTCAACGCGCATGTCAAGTTCTTTGGCCGCAATTACGACTCTAAACGGCTCAGAGTTCAAGCAACACAACAAAAACAAGCCTCGGGACCGTGAAGCCAACGTCGCATTGCACAACGTATTGGTTTGACGACTTCATGCTCTCAGGGATAAATGGTGAAGTGCTCCTGAATTGCTAGTTGCTGACCAAAAAGGGTCCATACAGTTTATCCAGCGGGCACTCTCCCCTCGCCACCATCTCACGAGTGCACACGTTCATCGGAAACAAAACTGCAAAACAGTTTTCAGTAAAAACAAGGGATTGTTATGCAACGCCGGCAAAAGCAAGCTGATTCTCCCCAGAAAATCGATGGTTTTCGGTTCAGACAAATTTCTAGTTTGTCGAATAGCCTCCTTTGGCTGGGAGAATCAGCTTGACTTGTGCGGTTTCCAAACCTTTGTATCGATTGATGTCCACCGGCTTGATGCAGTCTTCGGTCTGTCCGTCTTGCTAAAACACTATTGTAATGAAGAAGATAGGTCGGCAAGATTCTAGACACAATCCCCGCGAGGTCTACTTACGCAAAAGTTGGGCCGGCATGCGAAATGGCCAACGGATGGGCGCAGGCCTTGTATGGTAGCCCATGGCTCTGACTCGCAGACCGTCTCCGGCAGCTCGCACTTCTCGCACTGAAAAAAATTATGGTTCTTGAGTATTCCCGCGGGGGGGGGGGGGGGGGGAAAGAATTCGCGGGGGGGGGGGACCCCACTTTTTTTCTATTGGCCCTGGTGGGCATAGTAATCAAATATAAAGTGTTTTCACATTGTTTTTAGCAAAATTGAAAAAGTCAAAAATTTGTCATTTTTGGGTCGAAAAAATTGATTTTTTAAAAAATCTAGGCTCGGGCCGAAAAAAGTTCGGTTCCCCCCCGCGAATTCTTTATCAGACGATACAATCCCCTTACAATCAGCGCTTGACAATCAACATGCCTTTTGGGTGTACCGGGGTTTCACATGCGGGGTGAAGTTCGGGTACGGCTCTTTCAGGGCATCGGCAGAGTAGCAGACGAACATCCGATTAGCAGGGCACTAAAGTAAGGGCATTGCGGCTAAGGGATGGGAAACGCATACTGGTTGCAGCTGCGACTCCTGCGCCTCCGGGGCCTTCAACGATTCCGACGCGCCGTGCGGCCGATTGGCGGAAACCCTGGAACAAGTAGAGTTAAATGTCTTATCAAAAAGGCAAAACTTATGTAAGCCAAAATGAAATCGCAAAAAGCTTTAGTCGAAAGTGTTAATATAAACCAATTTATCTCTACGAATCGCAAATAAACTCTAGTGAAGACCCTCACGCTCCCGTGTAAAATTTTTGTATCGCGGCTTTTTGTGCCATTGTTTTTGCCAAAATATCTCATTGAAAGTAGAAATCGCGGCCGGGCTAAGTGTAAACTAAACTAGCCAACTCCAGCTAATACGCTCAAAAAGCATTAAAAAATCACTTGGCTACAACGGGGAGGATCAGGCTGGAGATGATGTAGAGGAAGAGCAGCCCGCGGCAACACCACGGGCTCGGACGTCCGATACTCATTGGACGCGGCTTGAGCGCGCGGCGCGTTCGGTGGCGACGGTCCAGCAGAAGATGGCGCGGATCCATCAAAGGGACGCGGGGCTCCATCATGAAGCGGCGAACAGCCACCCGAACAGCACGACGGCGATTGATCGGCTTGTTGTTGTTGTTGTTGTTGTTGTTGTTGGCCACGAGCTGGGGATCGACCATCGACAGCTGGAGGGCAGCCATCCGCTGAAGATGGCGTTTCCTTTCGACTTGGTCGGAGGCCCTGCGCAGCTTGCGGCGATCGGCGCGCTCCAAACGACGCGACATCAACACCATCGGACGTTGACGGCGGCCCATCAGTGCTCGGAAGGTGCTGGCTGAAGCTGGCGGATTGAGCGAAAGAATAATGGATATACGCGCGGCGAGAACCTCTCATGGTTTATTGAAATTTTTGCGCATTCAAAGCAGGGATAATGGATGCAAATGACCGGAAGTGGGTCCACAGGACAATTAGCAAGCGGCGAACAGTTTGCATGGTAATATTTGACAAAAGAGCGTTTTCTAACAACACATTTAGGGTATCAAAGAATAAAGGTAAAATTAGCTATTTTGAGCCGTTTTTCCAACCATAGGTCGGTACGCGGCGCCTCTACACACACAAACTGTCCAAGGACGGTGTATTACGTACTTTTCAAACCAAAAAAAGGTATATGTCGGCTACGCGGGGGGGGGGGGGGGGGATTTTACGCGGGGGGACGGACTGTTGGGGCCGAGCTAACTATTTTTTTGCGTTTCTTTTTGCAACAAACAAAACTCTTAGTATATTTTTTGGCGCTCTGTCAAATGGCACTAAAGAAATTTTGTAAAAATGTCGAAAATGTCGAAAACTTGATTTCCTTCTATGTCCTCCATGGAAACAACGTTTAATACTTGTTTTTGTTATAACTATTTTATATTACCTTATTTTGAGCTAAAATTAAAACTCTGAGTATATTTTTGGATGCTCTATCGAATGGCATCTTTAAAATGTCGAAAAAAATAGCGCGAATATCGAAAAACAGCCGCTCAAACCGATTTTCAAAGCTTATTTTTGTATTTGCCATAACTTTTTTATATTACACTAATTTTAGCTAAAACAAAAACTCTTAGTATATTTTTCGATGCTCTATCGAATGCCGTTGCGAAAATTCCGAGAAAATAACGAAAACATCCAAAAAGGCCTGCCTGTCCCGTCCCCCCCCCCCCGCGTAGCCGACATATACCCAAAAAAATCCCCAGTCGGGTGATAAAACACAATCTATCTGAAATCTAAAACATTTTGAGCTCCACGCATCAATAGGATTTCCAAGCGCGAAGGGCATGCTATCCGTGCCTATTTGACTGTTTAAAACCTATAAACCTTACTTATATGCGGTTAAGGATATCGCTCTCTCGTTTTCTCTCCCTCTCTCTCTCTCTCTCTCTCGCTCTATCTGTCTTATCTCTCCATCTCACACTTCTTCTACTTTTAAAGCTCCAGTGTCTCAATACACACACAAAAAGCCGCTTCCTCAATCACGCCTGCTATTTTTGAGAGCGGCAATTGGATGAGGGCGGCCAATCCGGGGCTAAAATCTTGTTACCAGGTCAAAACGTGACAGCGTGAAGCCCATTTTCCGATCCGGAAATCGCTCCTTCCGCTTTTCGTTAGTCAGAGCGGAGCTGGGCTTGAAAATGGAGTCCAGGAAAGATTTAAGCTTTTCCTGGCTTTCGGAAATTGCCTTTTTTTTCAGGTGTAGGTGTGTGCGTACTAGTCTGATAGCGGGGGTGGACAAGCTTCGTGTGTTATTCCTGTGTTTCAAAGAGTTGTTCGCGTAATTTTCGATGGCGCGGAAGTTGGAATAAATGTTTTCTAGTTTTCACAATGTCAAAATTTTGATTTTTAATAATTTTTCACACATTTTTGACCTCCAATCAGAAAATTTCGAAATTTTTATAATTTTTATGTCCATTTTTTTATATGTACTTCTCAATACTGCATAAAATACCATATAAAAAATTGCTTTAATTTTGCTCTGGTTCCCTAGGGTATGACTGGGAAAACAATCCCCCCACTAACATCCCAGTAACCTAACTTCGATCTCCGTTTTACTAGACGCTATTTCAAGATGCCCAGACGGGTGGGCGGACCAACGATAGCCTTCAAACACTAATGAAACGCTTTTCGAAGGTGCGCGGCGTCGGTCAAAGCATATAGTGCCCTCGAAAACCGTTCATTTTCGAGGCGCAAAACCCGTCATTTTCGACGCGTTCGACTACAAGTGGACTGGAAAATTAATAATGGCTTTGATAATTAATAATGGTATTTTAAGTACCGCGTGAGGGGCATTCCGGTCTGGGTACTCGCCAGAAGGTGGTAGGAAACTAGAGTTTCGTGACTTTTCGAGGCTAGAAAAGTTTAGGTTTAGAAAGTGAAATTTTTAGATTTCTAGAGAATTTCTAGATTTTTTGGAGCTGTTAAGGAGGTTGAGTGGTTCTCAGGCTCTCTTTAATGCAGCATAGTTTGGAAATAGGAAATAACCACATTTTAAAGAGCGTTATACTTGATTTGAAATGCAACTGAATTCGAGAATGATCTCTCTCGCTCTCATTCACTCTCTCTCTCTCTCTCTCTCTCTCTCTATCTCTCTCTCGCTCGCATTTCTTCCCAAAATTCTATCTTCAGATGGACCTCATCAGCCTGCTCCTCATCATCCTCCCCTCCCTCGGTATTCTGGCCAGCCTCCTGCTCCTCCACATCATCTGGAGCGAGCGCAGCTTCCGAAGCCACTATGCTAATTTCCTAATCTGCATGTTCCTCTATAACATCTTTTATTCGCTGTGCAATATTGCGTTTGACCCGGTAAGTCTAAGCCGAAGCCTATGCATAAGCCCGTGTTGAAGCCTAGGCTTAAACCGAAGCCTAAGCCGAAGCCCAAGCATAGGCCCAAGCCTAAGCCTAAGCCTATGTTTTCCATTTCGAGATGTTCGTCAACGACGACAAGGGCTATACAATTTTCTGCTTAAATCTGTATAAACTTTACGGGCCCCAGTGGTCCTTTGCCGGCTGTGTTTTTCAAATTGGAGCTTTCGCTAGTGGTTTTGCGCTGAGTGCGACTCATGCGATGTATCGGTACTGTACCATTACCGGGTGGGTGATTTTACGAATAACAAGTAGAGCGAGAGAGAGAGAGAGAGAGAGAGAGAGAGAGAGAGATACCTCCTGATTTCAGCAAACATCCCAACATCTTCGGCACGTTCTGGGGCGTAGCTTGCGTGATTCTTGTATTTTTGGCCTACGATGCGGCTTGGATGTGTCTGCACATGTTCACCATGTGGGTAGGTGCTCGTAAAAAACTTTATACCGAGCAAGTGACAAAGAATGTTGCAATCAAAAATTTTGCAAATGCAGCCGACCCCCGATCGACTCGGCGAGCGTGGACCGATCATCGAGAACCTCTTCAACGTCACCCTGGTGCCAGGATCTTTCATTGGGGCGCAGTATTGGGTACGTTTAAGCCTTAAATGGACATGGGCGGCTCCTTCAGGACCCAATCCATGGCCTACGTTGGCTCGACCTCTTTGGGGCATTTGGCGTCTCAAGCGTAGCGGGCGGCGCTTTCAACTTGGAGGTCTTCTTGACCTATCGATTGTAAGTTTTCAACATAAACTTCATCGATTAACTTGATGATTACGTTTTCGAAACGTAGTTAACACGTAATTTGAAGCAGTAGATGACCAATTACAGGCACCAATCGGTGAAGAAATCTGTGTGCTCGAGCACGACTCGCTCGATGCAAGCCCAGCTGGTTCAAATCCTCGCTATCACGATTGTGGCTACGTTTTTCACGGAAATATTTCCGTTTTGCATTGTGATGCTTGGAGGGGTTATTGGTAAGTTGTTGAAGCCTAAGCCTAAGCTTAAGTCTAAGCCTAAACCCAAGCCTAGACCTAAGCCTAGGCTTAGGCGTATACCTAAGCCTAAACCTAGGCCGATGCCTAAGCCTAAGCCTAATAAGCCCACGTCTATGTACTTCTTGCAGGCGTCGGCTTCCTCACTCCACTCACTCCAGTAATTGCTGGCGCTTTCCCGATCACAGACGCTATCATTTGCATATTCTTTGTAAAGGTAGGAGCCTTTTGTTAGCTTTGTATATACTTCAAAAAATAGAAATTATTTAGAAAATCGTTTAGGCGTTCCGGAATCGCGCCTTAGCCCTGATGAATCAAATCCTGCCTGAGTCATGTCAATATCGGTAAGAAAATTTTTTAAGCTTTTTACCGCCAAAAACGGCTTCCTCATTTTTGGTCTCTACTTCCCACTACGAAATCATGGAAAATGCCAAACTTTACCCGGACGCCCCCCTCTTAAACGGGTAATTAGGCCCATTTTCGAGGCGCGGGGCAGAGAGCACAATCCAATTTCCGGTTAGAGTGCAGTTTACCCCCTTCCCCCAGCCGTCACCCGTCTTTTGTATTTCGGCTCCCTGTTCATCTACAGGTGTGTAAAGTATACCAAAATGTTCGTTTTGTTTTGGCGAGTATTATGTTTTATTTTACACACCTGTAGATGAACAGGGAGCCGAAATACGGAAGGTGGGGTCGGCTGGGGGGGGTAAACTGCACTTAAGCCTTCACCCCAATTTCCGCTTCAAATCCGGGGGTTTGAGAGGTAATTTGGGGTCTTGAATTCTCGCCAGATTCTAGGCAATCTAGCAAAGATCATTGAACAATTTGAGCTCGTTTAGACCCCGCCCGAAACGGGTCGAATGCTCCTCGCTTGGCCCAACCTCATTCAAGACGATTCCTGAGTTACACCGGAAGGGCAGCGACAAGTCGAATAATGTTACGGTCGAGTTCCCGGATGCTGATTCTTTTAATAAATAAGTATTCTGTAATGAATAGTTTATTCAACGATTTTAAAAATCACAATTTATTAAATTCGCTGAAAACGTTGCGAATTTCCGGTCGAAGGAGTTGAAGCCGCTGTCGGGGCATCATCCATTCCACTGGTGCTCGAAACCCTGGCTCTCGGGGCTTCCTCTTTCCAGAAGAATGAGATGAGGTACTCCCGGTACGGCTTCATGTAGTAGATTGAGCACATGAAGGAGATGATCTGGAATTAGCTAAGGTTAGAGGGTGACCTGGCTGTCAAGCTCAAGCTGTTGCTCACTAAGGCTAAGCGCTAAGCATCTACTATGAGCTACAACTCTACTCATCTTGTAGAACGCGACGCGACGAATCGTTTGGCGTAACTTATAGCTGCCGATACGCCAATGCAGCAAAATTATGGTCTTTAAATTATTTTCTATACCTTTGCCGCACCCCCTCGGCCGAAATTAAGTGTTGCGAATGAGCTTAAAAAGGCCTAAAAACCAACCCGAAACGAGTAGAAGCCAGCGAGGGCCCAGTGCTTGTACAGGTTCGAGCCGACGACGTTCCAGTCTTCTGCCAAGAACCCGTATAGACACACGGAGCACGGGATGACGAGCACGAGGGCGGGGTAGATGTTCTAAAATATGGTATTAGATACGTAAAATTAAAAGTTCAACCAGTACGCCATAATACCGGATCTCCCTCGAGCACTCACCTGCACGATCAGCATCCGAATGATGCTCTGATGAGCCCGGAATGTCTGCGCCGACATGTGGCTCCGCATCCCGTTCAGTTTTTGGAGCATCACCAAGGCTGCGACCATATTTATCGCGTAGCAGAGCACGAGCCCGAAGATTATCAACTACAAGCTCGAGGTAAAAAATCCGAAGTTGTGTACCCCTCCAAAAAGCGCCGTCCAAATGTTGTGGATGTCCATCGCCACGATGGGGGCTTCATTCTTTACGTAGTACTCCACGTACTTAATATCCCCGAGGCTTTGCATTTCGGCGAGGAAGACCTGAAGGTGGGCTTCGGGCTTAGGCTTAGGCATAGGCTTAAGTTTGGGCTTAGGTTGAGGTGTAGGCTTAGGTTTAGGATTAGGCTTGGGCATCGGCTTAGGCTTAGGCTTAGGCTTGGGCGTAGGCTTGGCTTAGGCTAGGCCCTGGCTTCATTCGAGTTTAGGCTTAGGGTTAGGCTCAAATTAAACTGTTCGTTAGTCCGATACCTTTGGATCCATTAGCGCATTATAAAAGGTAATTCCGAAAGGGATGCCACTTAGCAGACCGCCAAGCAGGGCAAGCGGAGGTCCGATGTACCTGGAAAAAATGACGTTTGAAACATAGCTAACGGTAAGGCAAAGTGCAAAAAACCCAAAGTATCTTCATGAACAACGCACCACGTAAAAATCAATCTTATCATCTGATCGTTTTCGTGGATAAAGAAATTCCGTACGTGGAGACA